AAACCAATCCTGCCTATCGCTCTTCAGTTGTTTACTATACCTTATCATCTGATTTCACAAACACTTGAGCAGAAATATCGAAGTTTAAACGCATTTCCGTTCCATGTTCACGCTAAATTCCTGTTGGAAAGTTGGTAGAGGATTGGATGATGAGCTAGGAGTACACCTTGCCCTTCGTACTTCCATATTAAGGTTTGTCTTGGAAGGGAGACATCAAACTAAAGCTATATGAATGTTATGATTGTTGAAAGAAGATAGAAACTTGTTAATACCTATTTATTACCTACCTATAGCGGTGAGCTATTATAGTCTTCAACTCTTCAAGGGTCCTCAGCTACACAAGAAACGTTGAACCGGGGAATCTTTCCACGGAACATGGCAGCATGGAAGCCGGTAGACGTAACCTGTCAAACAATCGAAAGATTCTACCGACATAGTGGATTTATAAATAGGCTTGTTTAGCACAAACTATGACAACTTGGGCTATAATACCGATATCAATATCAATAATCTGAAAAAGATGGGATAGTCCCCGAAGACGAACTCTTGAGTTGAATGTGACCATAGGAATTTCATGACACTATCTCGTAGGTTATCGATCTAATGCGTATGCGATGCTATCTCCCTAGCATGCATAAATGCGGAGGAATACAATTCCTTGTGGCATTGTTAAAATCCATCCCGTTTCCTATTCTCGCCTACCGTGTGGTCGTTGAGCGATAGGTTGTTGGTTGGTCGACCAGCTAGAAACTTGGAAGACGTTGTTGGATAGGAGTTAACCAATGTAACATGCGAATTCTAATGATGATTGGGTCAGATTGATACAGTTGTACAATTGGACCAAAGTGAAGGTGGGATAATAGGAAGGCCATCTTGACCCAAGGAGAGGTTAGCGCCGATGTCTGGCTCCAGCTACTTTTCTGAAGCACTGCTCCAGGCGTGTTTCAGATTTACAAGGAAGTCAGAGAGAAGTTCACAGGGATTTAAGGATCCGCGTGCCAATGGCACCATTCAGCGTCTTTTGTTCTTGGCACCTATCGACAGGGGAAGCAGGAACAACAGATCATGGATCCATGGATCCATGAATTGCGCAGGTACGATGCCCAATACTAAAATACAAAATACAAAATAATAGAAATGCCCCTATTTTACAATAATTATTTTTCAATGCATATCTTATATTCATCTCATTAATGCAGCTATAGGGGATTATGCGCCAAGAGATGATTAAGCAAGTAGCCCTGGAGGCCATTAAATAATAATTTGAATTGAACAAAGCGTGGCAAATTCATAGCATTTACACCTACGGCGTACACTACTCTCGCTTAAAGCAGCAGTCATTAGCAGCGAACAATTTAATATTTATGTAGGAACGGCCTTAGTGCATCGCTTAACTATTATTAGTTATCGAGGTCAGAGTGTCTTTGAATCTTGCGATTCTTGCAGTTTGTCAGCGATTCCTAATTCTATAATTCAGTTCACAAATTCAAGAATTCAAGAATTGAAAAATTGAATTATCGATTTCGGTACATGGAATCCGATGAATACATGCGCAACCGACGATTGTAATGAGCGGTGATAAATCCTGTTCTCCCCTTTCCCCTGCTGCCCGTGTCTACCTTGTTCTTGTCATCCCGCGATGTACCAGCATACGGAGATTACACGCTGACCCATACATACATAGTACATAAGCCTCGATTTCCAATTGGATTTCCAATACAGTGACCTGTCTAAGACTCTGGATACATATGTAGAAAACTTACAACTAGGGCAGTACAGATTAAAAGATGACAAGCTAATTCAAAGACAAGAACAGTTGGACAGGATTGCGGCTGTCTTATAGCATTCTTTGTTGCACACATATCCTTTGGTGGTATGCGAAGGGCACCCAACCAAAAAAAAAGCCTTCCGTACGGATGTACCCAACTAAATCTGTGATGAAGAAAATCGTAACCTGATATATTGGCCTGCGTACGAATTGTCGAATGTGCCCGGAGTAAATGTACAGCCCAATCAAAGGTGGTAGGATGCTATGTCACTCTGCTATGTTGGAGTAGACTTTGTGATACTCGCTGCCTTAACTTTGGCGAACCCCTATTCATCTATACCGTGTAGGTGGACATCGAAGAAACATATTATTTCAAAGCTACCTTGGTAACGTCGGGAATTGAATATGATTTTATAGCTTTACAGCTTTACAGTTTAATTGCCTTGCCCCATTATCCTATGAGTGACACTTATTAATTCACTAATCTTTGAAATGCGTCTCTTCGATATCCGTGTTTATCCATGTAACGAGGAGACTTAAAGACGACATCCACCATTAGCTCGGTAGATTGACACTATCCTGCTCGGTTCGACACCCCCTAATGATGCAGTTGATAGCGGGAAAATAAACCGATGCTAGGTTCTTCGAGTCAGTGCAAACCTGGCATAACTAGCCATATGTGCATACTTAGATCCATTACGAGAGAACTGAGGAACTCCGAGCACGGGATAGTGGGTAAAAAGAAGGACCGTGTGCTGAGTCCACGTAAATTACCCTTGCAACCTGATTCTAAGGTAGCACTCACCCGTCTATTCAGTTAACCATCCCTGGCCCCCAGTGGATAACAAGAGATATTCCCCGAGAGATGACTTCGAACGAGGCGAGTGAAAGCACACCTACAGCGTACATAGTACGAGATCGCCGGTTTTCATATTCTTGAATAGATGGCCAACGATGGGGAAAACGCTATGTCCACCATATGAATGTTGGTACAGGTATGCAGATGTGATATGACAGGCAAGGTTGATGCATTAAGAAACGTGCTGAGGAGATTTTAGTTTATATACAGCACGCGAAATAGCATATGCCGAAAAGGGGGAATCCTCGCTCTTTACATATTGCTACATAGTATGTAGTAAAAATAAGGCTGGGCTACATATATACTACCGTACACTTGATATTGCTGCTTCCCTCCCACGGCAAGGGAACAGTGATATGTATGACGGATGGCAACTATCGGGTTGGCATTGCATCGCACATAGTATCTATTTCTAGGTAAATATATTAGCCCGCCGAATAACTATTAATGGTAGCGGACCCGAAGTAAGATAACTGCTATCCATAGTGCGGTGAGCCTCTCTAACTGGTTGTTCTAGAATGTAGGCAGCTGAGCAAACTTGACTCCTGGCCTTCTCGGCGTTTCCTTTAGAACATAACATCTCGAGAGAAGATGTTTTCTTATCATATACCGTGATTGTACGACATCGTATTAATTCTGATCTTGTCTGTCTCTTCCATGGAGTACCTAGTAGCCTACGTAGGGTCGGGTTCTTGTTCCTCTTGCCTTTACAGGCCTTTTTACAAGCATCTCCGAGCAGCCACATTTCTACGTTGAGGGTGTGTAGATGGATTGGTCGACTGGCAACAAGGTAGGTATGTACCTATGCAAGACTCAAGTATGCAAGTTCAAAGACGAGGAGGACGGGGGGCCACGCGGGTTACAAAGGTCCCAATTACTTAGATTACATATACAGATAATAGTAGGTAATTAGGTATATACTACATGTTGCTCTTGCGTAGTAGTGTGGTGTGGTGTAGGCAGCGTAGTCAGTGCAGTGAGAGGGAATGGAAAAGAAAAGAAAAAAAAAGGTACAAATGGACGTGCGCCATTGAACACATGCGTATGAGTACATGTGTACAACCGCCGTTTAAGTGGGAAGAGGGAACATTCAAATGTCGTGCCCAATCTCGTTCCTGGATTCCTTGCAGACCTTGCAGAGAGAAATAGTTCCAGTTTAAGGCAAGCGCGTAATAAAGGTGTGGTAATGGGTACGAGTACCTTTCCCATTTCGGTTTAGACCAGGTCAACGGGTGTACCGGGCTAACTGGCTGTGCTGGCTGGTGGCTTAACTGGTTTATTTGCATTAAGCCCGTTTTAAACAAGTCTCTCCGTCCACTCGCCCACTTGCCCAATCGTTCATGTCGCCCACTTTGCCCACTCCACTCTAAATCTCTTCTCTCCTACCCGACACCACCGCGCCATACCAGACTGACCAAGACTGACCTGGGTAGAGCAAAAAGAGAGCCCAGACCCCCAGGCCAGCGGAAATCATTAAACCCCCCGAACTCCTCTTCCTCCCGTTTTTTTTCTTGACCTACCTACTTTGAATCTTCTTCGCAAGATAACTTGTTCTATTCAGAACCCCTCTCTACACTCTCTTTTTCCCTTCTCCCTCCCCTTTCTCGCTTCTCTCGCCTCGCCCTCCTACTCGTGTTGCAGGCAATTACACAACCACTCACAGTCTCTCTTCTCTCACCAACTCCATACTCCTAATCCTTTGGAGAAAGCCCGCACACGAAGAAGATTCAACCAATCTTCCTCTCACTTTTTTAACTCCGCGGCCGCGAGACGTTTTTTCTCTTCTCATTTGATACCAGCGTAGACCCGACTGTCCGGCACAACCGTAGCCCCATCAATCAGGACCTTGATTCTCGGGAAGCATCTTGTTGATTATTTCCTCTGTTTCGTCTCTTTTGACATTCAAATAAACAAGATTTAATCCAATTCGGCCTGTCGGATTTTCTTAAGTGGTCTTGGCGAACTATCGACAATTATAACAGCAACATTGAACATTTGAACATTAAACCCACTACAGCAACAACCCTCAACCCGGCGAGAACCTGGAAGGGCAAGCGGCAAACCTGCAGAAAGCGAGTCGACGTTATTTTAATTCAACGCGCACAGCATCCAATATCGCATATCAATTCCTCGGTGCACGGTTCGCACTACGACCACAGACCGTGGAAGATCCCAATTGGAGCGTTCGCCATCTTTCTTTTTCATTATCAACTGTCACCTTGAAGGTTCGCACCGACGACAACGCCTGTCCATTCGCTTGAGGCAAATTGGGGGCTTAATATCGTCTGCATAACAAGACTAAAACTTTGTACGGGCTGGACTCGGCATCAAAAATCAACGACACAGACCTCAGAACTCTTATCGGTGGATCACTCTTTGAAGAAGAAGGGCTGTGCCTTGAAGATCCCCCTGATATTAACATCTGGAAACGACGATAGCGCAAACGAGCTAATACGAACCATCTTCTATTGTTATTCATAAAAAGAAATCTAATAGCCACATATCTCATTGGTCATTGCAAGAGGCTAAGGCCCTCGACTCCCAGCGCCATTCCCGAGGCAGTTGTGTAGTACATCATCATGTACTCACAACAGGCGGCAATGGCGGCAGCAGCTCCCCAAAAGCCCGAGACTTTCATGCTGAGCACCGAAGCTCAGCAAGCCCTACCACACGATGCGCAAGTGGCATTGCAGCAAGTCGATAATCGTGAGTTCCCCAATCTCCCACGCTCAGGCACTTTTCGTGTTCCGCCAGCTTACCATTGATCGCAGTGAAATACTTCCTTATCTCGGCACCAGTAGACTGGCAACCCGATCAGTACATTAGGCGATTCCTATTGCCCACAGGCGAATATGTTTCTTGCGTGCTATGGAATAACTTATTCCACATTTCCGGTACTGATATTGTGCGATGCCTTTCATTTCGATTCCAGGCCTTTGGCCGACCCGTCAAGAACTCTAAGAAGTTCGAGGAGGGTATTTTCTCCGACCTTCGAAATCTGAAGTCTGGAACGGATGCTTCGCTAGAGGAGCCCAAGAGCCCCTTTTTAGACTTCCTCTACAAGAACAATTGCATTCGAACGCAGAAGAAGCAGAAGGTCTTCTATTGGTATAGCGTACCGCATGACCGCCTTTTCCTCGATGCTCTGGAAAGAGATTTGAAGAGGGAGAAGATGGGTCAGGAGGCTACTACCATGGCTGTTAGCGAACCCGCGCTATCATTCCAGTACGACTCTTCGCAATCCCTTTACGAACAGCTAACGAAGGCGCAACAAGCCAACTCTTCGTCTTTCAACGCCCAACAAGTTTCTTTTTCTCAGTCGCAAGCCCCATCCCCGGTGATGAGGGCAATGGATCCCATGCCACCCCCGCAAATGATGCCTCAGTCGATGGCCCCTTTAGCGGATGGGATGGACGCCATGGTACCATACAGCACGATGGCGACAATGGCTCCGGCTATGCCCCAGCAGGTCCAACACGTGGTTAAGAGGGAACCCGATTTCAGCCGTATGCAGTACAACCAGAATGGTGTGCCTATGTCTCATAGCCACCAGCGTCACGCCTCCATGCCGGCGTACGGTCTCGAGTACTCCCCTGCTCCCTCGTTTGTTTCGTCCCATTACGAGGACTACAGCAACCGAGGCATCTCTTTCGAGCCAATTACGCCTCCCCAGCAAGCTTTAGCGATGGGCGCCGAACCGGCTTACATTGCTAACGAGGAGACTGGTTTGTACACGGCAATTCCCGACCACCTAGCCGGTGTCAACGGTTTGAACGGGATGATGCAATTGCCCCCCTCCAACTTAGCTGGTCCACAATTTTCGCGTGCCTATGGTACCAACAATGTCTACTCTGTAATCGAAGGATCGCCGACATACAAACAGAGAAGGCGGCGTTCATCCATCCCCCCTACAATGTCGGCGATCGCAGCCGCCACGGCTCAGGCTCAGGCCCAAGCAGCTGCCCATCGACCGTCGGACTTGAGACGATCAGTCTCGGCGTCGGTCGGCCCAGTAGCTGAAGGTGATGAATCCCAAGGCAACTCACCTCCTGGCCTCTCATACAGCACTTCCACCATATCGCTCACCAACCAACAACATATGGAAATGTCTAGACACGGTACCCCACTATCGACGGTAGAGGGTAGCCCTGCTCTTAACCCTCTTTCTCTCCAACGACAAGACTTTTCGCAATACGCCAATGAGGACCTCAACGGTGACGGCTCGATGTCCGAACACCGAGTAATGCAGGCCGGTCCTAACGTGGTCCGCCGAGCTCGCTCAGCTACCGTCATGGAGTTGGGTCCTTACCCGCAGAAGTCTCACTCGTGCCCGATTCCCACGTGCGGTCGTCTCTTCAAGCGCCTCGAGCACCTGAAGCGGTAAGATCAATTATTTCTTTTGTTTTCTGTGGTGCACCGTTGTGTATCTGACCAAATATTTAGACACGTGAGAACCCATACACAAGAAAGACCCTACATCTGCCCCTATTGTAGCAAGGCATTCTCTAGATCCGACAACCTAGCACAGTATGGCTCCAATTTTTTATATCAAAATTTCTTTTGTCAGCTTGAAGATCCTGTGATGAGCAACGATGTTTGTGCGGCATGCACTGAGACCGAAACCAATCAATCAATCAATCCGAATTAAGCCACAACATGAAATGCATACAACAGTACCTACATCAACTCATCATCAGGAGCGACAAGTTTATTACTCAAGGCTAGAGCTAACTCTATTCTCAGACACAAGCGTACGCACGATCGCGGTGAAGGTGCCGAAAACGGATTGAACTTGTCCGGTGAAGACGAGGAGGAGTACTCGGGTGAGGATCAGCTCGGCTCGCTTGAGGAGGCGTCGCCAAACTCCGAGTCGGGTTATATCCCAACATCACTGAGCTCCGTCGCAACGTCGACACCCACGACCAATGGCCTTGCCACGGGCGGGATGACCCAGTCATCATTCAACCCTCTACAGACACTGAGTATGCCCATGACGATGAGCCAACCAGCGGGGGCGATGTAATCGCAATTCATTTTCAATGCGGAATGCATCACGATGGGGTATAACCATCGAATTTTGGCTTTTATCTCGGGTTTAGCGGTTTGATTTTGCATGGCATATTGTGGCTAGAATTGGGGATTTCATTCATAACAGCGGGCTAGAAGAGCCCTGCTAGACATTTAATCGCGTTGCACGGCGATTGCTTTTATCATTTCAGCACGAGGGATACCAAAAAACGAAGCATTTGATAGACGGGACGGCTGATGCCTGATGGGACAGGCTGGCCGTTTCACAGTAGAGGAGCGAAGCCGAGCCCCTTCACATGATCAGCGGAAGAGATGGAAGGCCGTCGGAGAAGCACCACTCGTGTATTTGTATATATATTTGCTTTCTTTATTCTTTTTTTTATTTGTCGCTTGACATTCTTACGGACCGGCTGTAGGGAGCTACGGGAGATGATACCAGGTTTAAAGGGTCGACGTCGACCCTTCAAAGTATTGAAGATATAGTCATGACGGGACTAGTCGTACAAACTTTGAAATTCAATAAATATTGATGTATAAATATCTAACACATGCTTGTTCCCTTTCGCTTTTTGTGACATGGTTGAGGCTGACTGCATTCGAGCATAGAGCATCTAATAAAGTGTTCTATTGGGTGTGTGCTGTGTGTGGTGTAGGAAATCTGAGTTTTGATTCCCTGCATTAGATCTCTGGATCCTGGATTGTATCCTTGCAACGCATTCCCATTGTCGCTTGATATATCGTATGAAAGGCAGGTAGGGAAGCACTACGGACAGACGGCGTTGTGAACCTCTACACATTTCACAATTCATATCATCACGTAAATATGCACATTTAAGTGACAAGACAACAATTATCCCATTATAGTTGGGTTGCTATGAAACCCGCAGTTACATGTCTCCATCCGTAATACCTTTTCCCATGAATAACAGTGAACAATTCCTAATCGCCGACACATCTAGGGATGAGTCGTTCGAAATACAAAGATTATCCGCGGAAAACAAAGACATCGTAGAACTCGTGGGACCGTTGACTGTACGCCGTTCGCCATCTCAGATGCGGTGTGAGAAAAGAGAAGAAATTTTGTCCAGTGCGTAAGGCTTCTTTTCTAACTATGCTCCAAAGGCCAACAACAGTCGGCGACCAGTCAATATGAATCTCGGTTCTTGATTCGACAACAAGTTACTCGTCGGGCTGGTTGCGCTCGAGAATGGCCCAGGCAGTGGTGACTGCGAAGACGTCGTCAGGCTGGAAACACAGGATGAGAGCACTGAATAAGTTGTGCAGATTCCAGTCCTGGTTCAACTGAGCGGCTTCGACGACATGGAGCACCTTGCCCTGGGCCTCGCTGCCTAGGTGGCTGTAGGCGTAGAAGAAGCGAGTCTCAGGCGATCCGATGGCGTCGCCGTCGAAGCGCATCTTCGCGATCATCTGCTGGATCCACTGCGGGACGTGGTTGCGGTCGACGAGCTTGTTCGGGAGAGGCAGCGTGGATTGTGCGCGGTGGGGGATCCCGGAGATGTGGTCGTGGAGGAATTGGATGTCGTTGTAGATGTAGGTGACTTCGTGGCGGAGGGTGTTGAGCTCGTCGTTCAGCTTAGAGATGTCGTGGTGGAACTCCTCGAGCTGGGCTTGGATGACGGTGCGCGTGTGACGGAGATCGTCGTCATTACGCTTCTCCATCTCCTTCATTCCGGTGTACATTGCTCGGAATGTCGAATCCATCTTGGCGGATACGCTCTTGATGTTGTTCGACAGGCGCTGAACTACTTCGTTCAGCTTGTTCGCGTCGGATGCCATGATGTTTTGCGTGAAAGACTGCTGCGATGCCATGTTGGCGGTAATGGTCGGATCTGTGCGTAGATGTATGTGTGCGTAGATGTATGTGTGCGTAGATGTGCGTGTGCGGGTTAAGTGATGATGGGTTCAAAAGAATGTCCTGACTTCACGTCGTGTGAAGGGGAATGAAAGTGTATGTGGAAATGTTGTTAGAGTTAGGTTTGTGATATGTGAACGACGGACTGAACGAGCCGCTAGAAATAGTGTGTAGGAGTTTAGGTACTGGTGGTGCTAATCGTGAATGTGGTCGCCTGGCAGCTATATATTATAGGGAGGACGAAAGTTGAGTCATCTTACACTTCATTATTGATTTATATCGGTTAACCTTTACACTCCTCGTCACCTTCGTCTCCTCTTCCCACCACCCTTACCACCTGATCTTCTATCGTGACCCTGAATTTCAGTGATATCTTTCTGGCTTAGCTTTAACATCCCATTTCTCAATCTCCCTACTGCTGGCGCATCGACAGCCTTTTCCCTCCTTCTCATCTTTGTGTTTCCTTTGCTAGCTCCACTTATGGGTCGTTCAAGAATAATTCCATTTTCACGCGCCTCCTTTCGCCTCTTAGACTCTCGAGATGTTGCCGCCGCTGTTATCCCCTTTCGATGCGCCATAGGCATTTTCTGTTGCTTATATATGCTGGCTTTCGAACCCAAAGATGATAATCGTATGTCTGTTGCTATGTGGCGATTGCGACCCGCATGTTCTGTGCTACCCTCATTATGTCCGGATTTTGAGAACAGGTGCGATTCTGATAATAGACGCTGCAATGCTAAATCGTTCTTTAGGAGTGATGGGGCATCCTCATCCGTAGTCGTTTTGCGTTTCTTTGTTGAGATTGTTGTAGATGATGATGAGTCCAGCAATGATGATGGAATTCGCGAGGAAAGATATGCTTTACTCTCTCGTTTTGATAGAGGGTCGTTAGAGAGCGCTGGAAGCACGTTTGTATGTGAGACTACTTCAACGATTTCGGCTACCGAAGTGCTGGGAGATGAATTTTCCAGCTCGTCATCCGACCCCTCGCCAGATAATCCATCCCAAGAGCCGTCCGAGGCGTCGTCTGAATCAGATCGCAGATCTTCAAGCTCAGAAGCCTGTACTGTTCTTGGAATTGGTTGAGTTTGTTCTAACGGCGCGAACTGCGCTTCGAAGTGCCGCCTGAAGATTGCTTGAGCATCCTCTTGATTTATTGAAGATTCCTCTTTCCGTGGACGAACTTTTCGTTTTCCGAGAACCGTGGCCATCTTTGGATTCATTAAATGGGTATTATATGAAGTTGATATAGAGTGCGTTTGACGTTTGACGTTTGATGTTGAAAGAGTCTAAACTTTTTAGTGGGTCTCAGAATCTTCAGCTACGTACCGGAAACGGCGCTAGTGAAGTAGCCCCAAGCCTTCCCATCCACAATTTAAGACCCACCAATCAACTGTGGCAATTATCTTTAATCCTTGCCAGTAAAAAAAATCACCCCGCCATAGCCTCGTGATACTTAGCGATCGTCAAAAACCCCCACCCTGCGACAAGTTTCGATAGATGATAATTCTATCTTAACTCTTTCGTAACAACTGAGGATAATGACACGGTTCAGGCCATGTATAGACCTGCATGCAGGTCAGGTTAAGCAGATTGTGGGCGGAACCCTCGATAGCTCTACCGCCGAGCTCAAGACGAATTATGTTTCGCAACACTCCGCGGGTCATTTTGCTAGTCTATATAGAGAACATGAGCTCGAAGGCGCGCATGTGATTATGCTAGGTCCCGGAAATGAGGAAGCTGCAAAGGAGGCTTTAGCAGTATGGCCGGGTCATCTTCAGATCGGAGGAGGGATCAATGATCGGAATGCAGCTACATGGATGGAGCTAGGTGCCAGTAAGGTACGTGGTATTCGGATTTTCAGATAACATTACTATCATAAAATACCAATCTATATGTTTTACTATGCATTGTTACTGATTAAATGTTCCAGTAGGTCATTATCACATCTTTCCTCTTCCCAGAGGGGAAATTCAGCCAGGAGCGGCTAGATGCTGTACTGGCTGTCCTTGGGGGGCAAAAAGAAAGCCTCGTCATCGATCTTAGCTGTAGGCGGCGGGGTGACGATAAGTGGTTCGTGGCCATGAATAAGTGGCAGACGATTACGGATATGGAGGTGAATCAAGGTACTCAAATATTTGTCTTCCAACTCAGAAACATACTCTGCTAAACGTTTGCTGTATAGAATCTATAAAATCTCTAGAGCCATATTGCTCTGAGTTCCTCATCCACGCTGCCGACAACGAGGGTTTACAAAAAGGCATTGACGAGCAGCTCGTCCAGAGACTTGCCGAGTGGTGTAGCATACCGGTGACATATGCTGGCGGCGGGAGAAACCTTGATGACCTAGAGCTGGTGAAGAAATTAAGTGGCGGTAAAGTAGATCTCACTATTGGCAGTGCGTTAGACTGTTTTGGCGGTACAGGGGTCAAGTTTGATGATTGCGTTGAATGGAATGCTAAATAATAGGGGTAGTGACAATATAGGTAATGAGCATAACCCTCAAGCCAACAAACAAAGGATATTAAAATAAAGCAAGAGAAAAGCTTGCTCAACATGACGAGAATACACCAAACATGCATCGACTTCACCTATCCACGTCAAGGGTGATGGGAGATTCTGGTTGAACATGTATCAATACAAAGTGATTTTTTTAGGAACGTCAACGTATCCCCATGTACGAGATATTTGCGATCGCCCGTGCATGCAACCTTCATCAAGATCGGTATCCATCCACTACTCAACACCTGCCCAGCTCTTCTATCTTGCCCCAACACATATCCCTGCATCCTGCTACATCACGACTTCAACTCCTCCAGTTCTAGCTCGAGTTGCCGAATACGTTCGCTCTGATCCTGAGATCCAGATCCCACCCGTTTCTTTAGGCCATCTACTTCGTCTGTTAGATGACTAATTTGTTGGCTTTGCACGCTAATCAACTTTGTCTGCGTTTCCAATAAGTTCTTGATTTGTTCCAAAGATGTCTCGACTCCTGGGCCACCAGCTGTCGGGGATAGAGGTCCATGGGCGGCAGCAGTAGGGGCTGACACGTAGGCAGGTGATTTGAGTGGCGGTGCCGCCTTCGGAGGTGGTGCTGACGTGGTTTTGGTTGGGGAAGGGGGCTTTGGTTCAGATTTTGCAGGTATCGAACTGCGCTGAACCGGCTTCGAGATTTCCTCGAAACTCGAGGTTTCATCATCATCCACCTCTTCGCCGTCCTCATACTTCGAAGCTATCGCTGCCATGGATCGATTTTGATCCTTCATGGTGGGAGGCGGTGCAGGTGTCGGCTCTGGGTCCTTTTTCGGAACAGGTTTGGACACAGGAGCTGGTGCTGGTGCTGGAATGGAGGCAGAGGGCTTATATTCAGCTGGAATCTCAATTGGAGCATTGCCTTCGTAAATGCTCTCAAAATCAATCTTCGGCGGTAGTCCGGTTTTGCCTGATAGCCAGTCGCTGGCGCTACAACCTGGCTTGATACCAGAAGCTGGCGGGAAGATATCGGATTGGAATGTCTCAGCTCGTCTAGGCACGGTGAAGGAGATGGGTTCAATATAGGCGTCGTTGACAGTCTTGTAGGCCCTCATAATTTCATTCTCATGAACCTGCTGAGTGTTAGTCCAACATCATAGCTTTAGGCGGGATGCTGACGACTTACGTTGACCCCACGCTTGGCAACGAAAGCAATACCTCTCTGGGGTTCTACAGACTTATACTCGGAGAGGAATTCGAATTTATCATGCTCATATTCGAAGTAGCGGATGTTTCCATCACTAATGCAGTCAAGATTAGACACCAAGTTGTGGATCATTCATTAGACAACCGAAGGACTTACCCCTTTCCGGCGAGGTATAGGCAGTGGCAGCCATCATCTGTACCAACGTTAGATCCGACAGACATACACATGGGACACTATCTTACCCCAAAAAGGCATGCAAACACCAGAGATACTATCGAGAGTCTTAAATCCGCCAATAGGGGTATTGTTGCCGGGCTCCCAAAGGGCGAGCTGTCGATCGCTCATTTTCGAGAAACCAGTAGTGGCAAACCTATTTTGTTCTCCTAACCATACCGTTCGACTATTCTTGGCCCCCTCATGGCCTGGACCTTCATGGGCAGGACGTTCCTGTCGTACATCCCATACACGAAGCTTTTTATCTCTTGAGGTTGTAACTAGCATTGTTCCGCTAGCATTCCACGACAGACTTTGAACAATATCAGGGTGTCTTAGCGTATGGACGGAGGAGCCGGCACCCACATCCCATACTTTGATCGTAAGGTCGCCGGAGGCGGAAGCAAGGATATTCTCGGCGGCGGGATTAAATAGGACCTGACCGACCTTCCTCGCGTGACCGGTCAATTTAGCAACGGGAGCGACGTCGGCTGGTTCCTCAGCATCCGTAAAGAGAGTGAAGCCCTGAGGCACTTGCCACAACATTACTTTGCCATCCTCGGAAGCTGAAGCGACTAGGCGATCGTTAAAAGGGTTCCTTGAGTAAGATTAGGTTAAAGTCTTCGGAATAGGGGGAGTCAGCCACTCGAAGGGTCGCGTGCGCACCAGTCGGTATCGAGAACGGCGGCAGTATGGCCACGGAATAGAGGAATTACATCGGGAAGTTTCCCCTTCTCGCTTAAGGGAATGACGGCGAAGGCACCTCCACCACTAGCCTCCCAATTGACGGCGAGATATTCTGGGTTAGCCTATTGCGACCAAAATCGTCAGTCCCTAAGTTACATATATCTATATAGCTGTAAATGTGCAAGGACAGGAGGAAATCAGACCTTAACCAGGTTGGTATCCCAAGCATTTCGGCTTATGCGAAGATTATCGTAGCAGAATTCTTTTCGTGTAGATTTACCGAAGACATGTCCTTTATCGAGGTTAGTCAAGTTATTGTAATGGCAAGCTACTCGCTACTCGAAGGGGGGAGCGCAGCGCAGCACAAGGCAGAAGACATACGATATTTGGACGCTCGAACGAAGCGACCAGACATGATTGGTCGTGGACAATAGGCAAGTGAGGGTAGGTAGCAAGTAACAAGATGGAGAATGGGTAGATATTCAGTCGGTGAGCGTATGGCGCAAGGAAGAGAAGGCTTAGGGAGGAAAGTGGCGATAGGGGAGAATGATCAGAACGAAGCAATAAGGATATTAGGTAAGGTTGATGGAAGGACTGAAACTTGAAGCCCATGTATTCATGTACTCCTATTAAAATCTACGACCGTTTTTTTGCAAGCAGTACCGACTAGGTTAGACCCACTGTCTCCTTAACTGACTGACTTAAGGCAAGTGGGGTTTTTCAACGCCCCAGAATTCATGCGGTTAGGTGCATTATTCAGGTACAACTTGAAAGTACAATTTTGAATTACATAATCGACCAATAGCTAATGGAATCACGTGTTCAATTTACGCCAAAAAAGCTCCTAGCTTAGCTAAGGTACCGCGTCGACGCGCCTTCTCTTAAACTTTTCTCTTCAAGAGGCGGCGGATTTTGAACTATCGCATTTTCACAACCGATTTTATCAATCGTTCCGCAATTTAAGCAACCTTCTTATCAACATGGCGGCTTTGTAAGTAGGGAACTAACTAGATTCTGTACGATCTTATATACTGACTAGGATGGCCAACAGTGAGAATTTCGATAGCATCTTCCTGGATCTATCCAAGGAATCTGGAAAGTGCAGATTCGCCGAGAATGGATTGGGTTGGAAACCCTCAGCAGGCGGCAACACATTTACCCTCGATCGCGGAGATATCGTCAATGCACAATGGAGTCGTGCTGCGAAAGGCTACGAAGTCAAGATTCTGAAGAGATCTTCCGAGCTTGTTCATCTTGACGGATTTCAACAGGAGGTAAGAAAAATAGATTATAATGTTTCGATAGGTTTTAGCTAATTATCACTACCATTGCAGGATCTAGAGCGTCTAAGCAAAATCTTCAAGAACTGGTACAGCATAAATCTAGATCCTAAGGAACATGCGCTACGAGGCTGGAATTGGGGAAAGACGGAATTCAGCAAGGCTGAACTTGTATTCAATGTTCAGAACAAGCCCTCCTTCGAAGTACCATATTCCGAAATATCCAACACCAATCTCGCTGGTCGCAATGAAGTCTCTGTCGAATTCGCCGCCTCGAACGAGGATGATACGGGTACAAACGGACACCTAGGCGGAGCACGAGGTCGTGGCAAAAAGTCCGGTGCAGGCAAAGATCAGCTTGTGGAGATGCGATTCTATATTCCCGGCACCACCACTCGCAAGGAAACAGAAGGTGAGGAAGCAGGAAGCGGTGCCGAAGAGGAAAAGAACGCCGCTACATTGTTCTACGAGACGCTCATGGACAAGGCTGAGATTGGCGAGACTGCGGGCGACGCGATTGCTACTTTCTTGGAGGTCCTCCACCTTACACCTCGGTTCGTTGACTTTACTCCTTGCATTGGCTATTTTTTTCTCACTACTTTTTAGTGGACGATTCGATATCGACATGTATGAGGCGTCATTCCGTCTCCGTGGTAAGACATACGACTACAAGATTCAGTACGAACACATCAAGAAGTTTATGGTGTTACCGAAGGCGGACGATTTGCACTTTATGTTGTGTATTGGCCTAGATCCTCCTCTCCGTCAGGGACAGACGAGGTATCCCTTCATTGTCATGCAAGCTAAAAAAGACGAAGAAGTTACCATCGATCTGAACCTCACAGAGGAACAACTAAACGAACAGTACAAGGATCGTCTACAGCCACACTACGAACAACCGCTCCACCAAGTCATCACTTACATCTTTAAGGGCCTCGCCAACAAGAAGATCACCTCTCCAGCCAAGGATTTTATGACGCACAGGAACCAGTTCGGCATCAAGTGTTCCATCAAGGCAGCAGAAGGTTTTCTTTACTGTCTCGAGAAAGCTTTCATGTTCGTGCCTAAGCCTGCGACTTACGTATCCTACGACCAGACGTCCTCTATCGTGTTCTCCCGTGTCAGCGGCGCTGTCTCGGCCTTGTCGACTTTCGACATTGCAGTCCATATGAAGAGTGGAGGCGCCCCGCATTCCTTCAGTAACATTAATCGAGAAGACTTGAAGGCGCTTGAGGGCTTCTTCAAACTAAAGGGCCTACGTGTTAAGAACGAGATTGACGAAGACGCTAACCTACTTGCGGCCGCTCTGCGCGAGGAGGCCATGGATGAGTCCGAGGAGGAGGTAGTCGGACCTAGAGCCGATCGCGGATCAGCCGACGAAGACGAAGAAAGCGTAGACGAGGACTTCCAGGCCGAGAGCGAAAGTGATGTGGCCGAAGAGTACGATTCCGCTCACGAATCATCGGGCTCCGGTAGTGCGGAGAGCGATGTTGATGGCGGGGCGGGTGACAACGAAGATGAGGAGATGTTGGACGAGGAGGAAGAGGAGGAAGCAAAGCCCAAGGCGAAGAAACAGAAGATTTCCAAATAAAGGGGATGCTCGTCCCTTTTCTGTGCCTAATCATCCCTGGCATAAACCTGAGTTTTATCATTGAATGGTTCAAGGGCAAGGTCCGGTGGCAATGGCGTTAAGGTAGCTAACTAGCTCTATTGGCTTCGTTGGGTCCCTGGAGTAGTTGCAATTACGTTTGTGCGACCAAGGGAATCTGATTTAAGCATCTAACCATTTTGATAAGTTCGTACTGCGTTTATGAACGATAAATAATCACGCTCATGTAGTGCTTCCCATGGCTAAAGCAGCAGATCGATCGTAATGATTCCCAAAAACAATGCTCTACTGCATATGTAATAAGCATACGTTAAATTCAGGTATAGGTACCTAAGTGCTTAATATGCAGGTTGAAGATGACATGAAGATGTTTTTTATACGTCATCACGGCTATTGAAGACTTTAAAAAACGAGCAAGGCTTTAATGTCCGGCATCACAGTACCTAGTACCTAGGGATCTCCGACATCAGCCTTTGTACATAGGTGCAGCTCCTCCAATGCCAAGCAGGGATGTGTTTAAGACATCCGTAACTTTTTTTTTTCTTGTTTGATTTGGCTGACGCCGCATCGCAATTGTAACCCCACCCGTTAGTCGATCACGAATAGCAGCCCTAGTTAATGGACACCAATTTGCCGTCAGATAACCTTTTTCAATGTTTCGATTCATTTACGATGCTCTTCTTTCTGCTCGGGTAGGTTACAGAGTAACGTACGATCTATCAAACGACATATTATATATATTTATCACATGCCTCCTATTCGACGGATTCGACTACGGATGGCTAGGCGAAGTCCCTATGACGTACGAAAGCAGCCGTTTTATGCTATGCCATAAATGCCATGGATGCCATGGATAGTTCCCGGTACATACCTAATTGGGTATATTTTCCAAAGTAGGATTCATTCTCCATCGTTTTTCCTTCCCCCTAGCCTTTTAATGTTTTTAATGCGTTTAATGTGTTCATGTACACTGCCTATGTAGGTAGGTACATAGGACATACTAACACAAGCGAAAGCATGTGGTTGCAGCTTTTTGCTCTATTGGGCATGGTCTGTTTCTAAATTTTACCTGTCTACCCTGCGCTCTCTCACTGAGCCGTATAGGTTTGTACCTTATGTAGTACAGTTACCGAACTTTAATAATAAATAAAGACAGAAATGTCGTCAGTTATCAAGGTAAGACTTGCCAGTTTTCCGATCTGGTTGAATTGGTTTTCTTTTCTTGCCTTCAGCTGAGTCGTTCCTGATTTCAAATTATTTGTACAATACATTTTTGTCTTGTAACTTTTAATCGATTATCCTTTTCTATCCCTTCTCTTCTATTTCTTTTTTTCTACTCTTTCTCAAAATTATCCATCCGACGCGCCGTCAATTAATCACCAGAAAACCGACCAACTACGTTTATATAAACGGAAGGTTAAGAAGATTTCAGATCAACGACACTGAATGCAAGCAACCAGCCCAAGGTCCACGCATAGCCTGGCCTAGAATTCAGTGGTAAGGTCAATCAAACTGATCAGCCGACTCCGCATCCTGGCAATCGCGTCGTGCGAACACAAGACTTCGAGAGGAACCGAGAAACAAAATCCCCCCAAAAAGTATCCCCCCCACTGCGAGAGTCCCATTTGAGATATCAATCAGCCAACTCCAACTCCGCATATCGTTTTTATTTCCTGCAAGCATTGCAAGCATTGCAAGCATAGGTCAGAAAAGAAAAGCGACCGTTTATTCATCCAGTCGAGAACTAGTGCCGTCATATCCATTATAATTTGTTATTATCACAGTATTACTAGCTTAAAAAAACGGTCTAAGCTTCTTGAATCACACACAGAAGTTTGGCGGATCTTCTTCCAGCCCAAGCCTAAAGGCCCCCCCGGATTTCCCTTCACTGATTTCCCACACACCGTAATAAATGTTCACTGAACCTGCGCCTCCGCCAGCAACGGGCTATTTCCCGACCATCCCACTCTCTGCAACTACACCATCGTCGTCCTCATCTCCTCTATCTCCAGGCCGAGGTAGTAGGTTAAGGGGCTTAATTCATTTACATCGATTGTCGCGTGATATATCTAGCCTTGCTCATTATAGCATTAGAGCTGATACATCTGCGCCATCGGTTTCGCCTACTTCCCCCACTAACTCCGGTCAAGGCTCGACAGGCGGCGCTCCCAATGAGCCCCATGAAGTCGACCCAGACCCACCTGACACAACAACAGACCAAAACAACGATTCGACGAGTAGGATTCACCGTCGTCGTACGAGTAAATTCTCTGAGGCCGCTTCCGAAGCCCTATTGAATTCCAGGTCAGAACCCAATACGCAAGTCGAGACTCTTGACGGGTCACCCGACGAAGAGATGACGCGAACCCGATCAGCAACGACCGGCGACTTAAGCCACGACATGTTACCGACCATACGATTTTCCGCATTCTATGATGCACGTTCAAATCGGCCGTCCCTTTCCTTTACGCCGATCTCACGGACATTACCTACCGGTAAAGAGGCGATTAAGGTTGGCCGATATTCCGAACGAGAGAATCATGCCCTCGTCCCTATCAACACACCGTCATCTGCTCCCGTAGGCTTTAAGAGCAAGGTAGTGAGCCGCCGCCATTGCGAATTCTGGTTCGAAAAGGGGAAATGGTACATCAAGGACGTAAAAAGTTCTTCGGGTACTTTTCTCAATCACATTCGTCTGAGTGCGCCAGGCACCGAAAGCAAACCTTTCCCCATTAATGATGGCGACATAGTGCAACTCGGAATAGACTTTAAAGGTGGAGAAGAGATGATATATCGATGCGTCAAGATGCGCATAGAGCTAAACAGAGGCTGGCAATCGAAACCCAACACTTTCAAGTATGATCTACTCTAATTTTCTTCTATATTTTTCTACTTTGTGTTGGATCCACCATATTTCTTTACAGGATCTGTATCAGGGATTCTCCCCCAAACGATCTTTTACCTTATCTTATTTTAATATGGATTTAATTACTAACGAGTCTGTAGCATGGCAACACATAAACGGTTACGAGATCTAACCTCATCTTCGTCGGCCCACGCCCAAGATTGTTCCATTTGTCTAAACGCGATAGCAGTACGTCACCCGATTATAGAATTAACTACACTACAACTTTTCTTTCGTTCATTTACTAATCTGAATTTACCGTGATAGCCTTGCCAATCTCTCTTCGTCGCACCTTGCTCTCATACTTGGCACTACAAATGTATCCGGGAAATGTTAACTGGGCCATCATCGCCAATCTTCATATGCCCGAATTGCCGAGCTACTGCCGACCTGGATGCAGAAGTAGATGAGCCGTCCGACGAATGGCAGCAACTGGACTCGGGCATGGAAGATGCCCAAGAGGAGAAGCCTGCACACCTGATTTCTCAAGCAAAAGAGATAGTTGAATCACCCGCAACCTCGCCAGTTGATAGCACCGGTGACGAGCATCAGTCGTCTCACGAAGTTGACGTAGGAGATGTGACAATGCAGATCGATGGCAGCGTGCTGCAGACGGGTTTGCTGAGGCACGCTGCGACGGAGCCAGTCCCGATACCAAATGCGACACCTCGCATGGGTAACGGTGATCGGTCCGCAACAAATCGAACGCCATCTCCGAATCATCACCCGTTGGTCAACGGTCATGAGGGACCCATCACCCCCCGTAATGACGCGGGGCCGTGGGTATTTGATGGCAATCCCGCACGAGTTAGCCAGGAGAGCACTAGGCGAAATGGCATGAGTAGTCTAGATGCGGCAGCGCAGGCGGGAGTCGATAGATCATAGAGTGTCTTTCTGGCATTGTCCAGCCTTCATCCCCGGGTTATCTGATTAGATATTCCCACATCCCTTCTCATGGCAACACGGCGTGGGCTTTACAAAAAGTTTTACCTGTTAAAATATTGCACCCATACTTGATTTTAGCTCGAGGATTCGAGCCCGACGAATATGCCGCGATTTAAAGAAGCCTATCCGTTGGCATGCGGGGTAGCCATTGGCCGTATAGTTGCGATGACTTATACTAAGCCTATAGGTGGCCATGAGGGGGGAATGATCGTGGATGAAAGTGTGGATGACATGGGCTTTCGTGCAGCATTGGCCAGAATTGGACATTATAAGATGTCCAATCTCGATTCAAGAGACCGAGCCAGGAATCCAGCGATAAGGGTTCCTTTGTTGATATTGGGTTATATCTGAACGTCCAGCGAAGTGGGTTACCGAAGCGGGGGGTCGATATTCTATACTACCTATTCGCGGGCCAAGTGGTTGTGGCATACATACTTGCTTGACGTGCACTACTTCAGCTGGTGTGAATTTAACTGCGTTCTCTTCTTTTTTTTGTGGGTACGGAGTCTACGAAGCATATGTCCACGGATGGTGTACAGTATAGAATGCATTCATGGGCTAGGCTAGGCGGAACTAGTGATGGGTTAGGAGTCTGGTATATGCCTCAAGCATAATAATATCATGAATCGGACATAGCACAACAAAGCACAACAGCAAATGGGAAATCGAATCCGGACTTACCCGTATACTTTCGTAGTGACCGGACATCGGTCGGCTGAAGGATCTATAGTTGTTTGAGATGTGATGTAAAGGAAGACTACGGGCTGCATAGCCTCAAATGGCTTCTATGATCTAAGACAGCCTTACCTACACTATGCGTAAGCTTACCTAATTGAGGGCATTACTAGGTACCTGTTATGCGCCAATGTGATCCTACGAAATTCAAATGTAAGTACCCGTACAACTAAGGTACAATTGGTAGAACTTAGAAGTTCTAGTGTCGATAGTTATGTACATATTGATCGAGGCGCTAGAAAGTGCACTAATGAGAGTATAAGATCTACTAGATAGCACTATATGTACTCACTATATGTACTCGGTGCGAGCTCGGAGAAAGGATGTTGAACGAATTTGGAGATGAATTATTTTCTTGGGGTTTGGCTGCGTAGTAGGTACTTCGTACCTTGTAGGGTCCAAAAGGCTTACCTCTAAAAGACTATTTCGTTGAATGAACTTCATTGTTAACCAACATATAATAAAAATGTACTTATAACTCTTCTCTTTTCTCCGTTCCCTTTCTTTAACACTATTTACTCTTTTCCACTACTAGTCCTCGTAGCAATTGAAGTCGGAGATCGAATCGGGGTATCATATGCGGTGATCTTTTTTTTTTTCTTTTCGCCAAGCCGATTTTCGCCCTAGTACCTTTAAGTTACAAGGGAGCTCGCCTCAAATTTCTCTGAGACCTCGATTCGCACACAAAGAACAAGATCAATTCGAGAGGTGAAGCGAGCGGATCGCTCGGGACGGCGTCATGTCGACTACAGCTGGGTAGGAAACTGGTTATTTCGATATGTCGAAGCTTCAAAAGCTAATCCGAGAGCTGTAGGGCCTTCATAGCGGGCGGTATAGCCGCTTGCGGTGCCGTCACAGCTACGCATCCCTTCGAGACGGTTAAGATTCGGTACGCATGCCACTCCCTCGTTTGTACCAAGACTCCCCAAATAGACGAGCAGATAGTCAGTTAGCTAGTTCGATATGGGCATATACAGGGCGTCTGGGAATATACTCCTTTTTCCTGATAAGACATATACACATACTGTATGCACGGAACGCAGCTGACGCAATGCCACCGCAGAATGCAGCTCCAAGGCGAGCTCCAAACGAAAGGCCACCAACCACACCACTACCGCGGGCCGTTTCACGGAGTCAGCGTGATCGTGCGCAACGAGGGGCTGAAGGGGATCTACCGGGGTATCGGGTGCGCGTACGTGTACCAGGTGCTGCTGAACGGGTGTCGACTGGGGTTCTACGAGCCGATGCGCAACGGGCTGGCGACACTCCTGCTGAAAGACGGCGCGAAGCAGAACCTCGGAATCAACATGCTCTGCGGCGCCTCCTCCGGCATCATCGGCGCCGCCGCGGGGTCTCCCTTCTTCCTCGTCAAGACGCGTCTTCAGAGTTTCTCCCCTTTTCTCCCCGTTGGCACACAGCATAATTACCGCAATGCGATCGATGGCCTCGGACAGATTTACCGCGCGGAGGGCTTCAGGGGCTTGTATAGGGGTGTTGGCGCGGCTATGATTAGGACCGGCTTTGGGAGCTCGGTTCAGTTGCCGACGTACTTCTTTGCGAAGAGGAGGTTGGTTAGGCATTTGGGCATGGAGGAGGGCGCGCCGCTGCATCTGGCCAGTAGTACTGTGTCGGGGTTTGTCGTGTGCTGTTTTATGCATCCGCCCGGTAAGTCTTTTTCTTCTTAGATTGGTCTGTGGGTTGTGGATAGAGGAGCTATGGGGCTGACAAACAAACCGCAGACACGATCATGTCGCGATTATATAACCAAAACGGTAACCTGTATAAGGGCGTCTTCGACTGCCTGGGCAAGACGATCCGGACTGAGGGCTTCCTCGCTATCTATAAGGGCTTTTTGCCTCACCTCGCGCGTATATTGCCGCATACTATACTTACTCTGAGTCTGGCGGAGCAGACGAATAAGTTGATCCGTAAGATCGAACAGAAGATATTACCTGCTTCGACTCTATGAATGTTTGAGTCAACACCAGCGTCAGGGAGGAGCCAAGGGGTAAAATAAAGGTAACGGTGAATAGAAACATATAGGATGCCTTGAATTCCCCAAGCGAGCAGTTCTTTCAAGGAGCTAGCTTGTGTGTTTGAATCGGGTCATACTGGTCCGAACACAGGGAATATTTATCTAAAAGGACGGGGACATGATCTCCATCATGATATCTACGATCTAAGTATCGACGGATATATGTACCGAATTCGTTATAGAAGGAGCACGGTTAGATGGATGGATACTCGGACGCTTCACGGTACTATACTAGGGTAAACTAGTTTTTAGAGACGGTCTCGGGGACTGGGTAGATAACTAGGTACACGTATGGACATAAAGCGTGTCTGCTGAAAGGGGGGTGGGTGTCAATGAAGAATATTACTGATTTAACTTTTCACTGTGATTTCTCTGTATCGTTGAGTGCTACCTCGTATCAAATGGCAAAGAGTAAGTCTCGAAGCCAGTGCTCAGCAGACAATAACTACCTACCCACGCACCGACCTCTCACACCCATAACACAACCTCCTCTTCCCAGAACCACCATCCCTCTCACCAGCATCAATCCCAATCTCCCCCCTCCACCGCTCATCCCCCAGCTCATCTAAACCAGCACCGCAAAGCCCGCACACAGTCTCCGTACTTCCCCCACTACCCCCGTGTCCCAGCTTCCCCGTCGTGCGCACCACGTTCGCGACCACGGACGGGTAACTCGCCTCCACGGCGCCGAAGTACCGCGCCAGCACGTCGTCGATACTCAGGTCGCGGTGCGAGACCACGGCGCTGTTTGTATTACCCGCGGACCCGGTTTCGGAGGCTGGCAGGAGCGGGGTTAGAGGGGGCGTGGTGTGGGAGAGGTAGGTTAGGAGTTCGTTTCGGAAGAGCTCGCGGAGGGGGCTGTATATTGGGAGGCTTGCGGGGATGTTGGGGTTGGGGTTGTTGGGGTTGGCGGCGCCGCCGTCTAGTCGTGCGGGAAGCGCCACGGCGCCGTCGTTTACGAGGGAGGGGAGGGAAAAGCCCCGCCCTTTCGCGGTTTCGGAGAGCGTTAGCTCTGCGAGGGAGGTGGTGTTGTGCCCGAGGAGGAGGGCGTCGCAGGTGTGTTGTGTTGCTGTTGCGATGAGGATGTGCCGGACTAGCAGACGGCGGATGTCGGCGCGGGAGGTTGTGGAGGGGAGGAGGGAGAGGATGGAGGAGAGGGTTTGGGCGGGTGTGGTTTTGGGGGAGGGGGGAGAGGGGAGGGAGGTCCAGTCTATGGATTGTAGGGTCAGTGCGGAGCTTAGGGGTACGCTGAGTATGTCTGCGTCAGGGAAACGCGCGCGGTACGCGGCGAGGTAAGATGGCTCTTCTGGTTCAGCTGAAGATGACGGTAAGGTGTCGTCGACGACGTGCACGGCGATATACTCGAATCGCGCAGTTTTCTGCCCCCGCGCACGCTGCTGCCGCACGTTCTCAGTTAGAACGTGGAGGAGAGTCGTGGATGAGGGTCCGCATGATAGTCCAACTAGATACCGCTGCGGTCGCCTTTGACCCCGCGGCCCGCTACCGCTGCCACGAGGCGCGGATGTCTCCCGCTGTAGGGCTTCGAGTCTCTTGATGGCTTTGCTGGAGACGTAGTATGCGAAGCATGACCTATGCGAATAGTAAGTATGTCATACTTTACGGATAGATTTCTTGGGCATAGTATAGCGTATATACATACTTGCATACTGTCTCGGCAACCCGTAATTCTATAGTTCCTTCTTGCTCTTTGCACCGGTTGCACGGCCGGGAAACCCCGGTCGCATCCGCCGGAGATGTTGCCGCTGTCGTCATTGAGCGAATTTGCAACCTCCGCTAACAACTTTTATATCTAGGATAAACCGTACTCGGATTTAGATGTGGTCTTCTAGAATGTAAGAAAGGGGTATATGTGTATTAGCAGATTTGTGTTAGTTGTTGTTTAAGTTGAGAGTTAGGTTTGAGTCATTGAGAATTCTCTTTAGGGATCACGTGGACCCAATTTTCTCCCCTATACCCAGCTTGAAAACTTCGTAATTCAAATTCAGCATCAATTATCTACTCAAGCAATGTCATATTTGATGAGTTTCACTTCATTTGCAGCTCGGATTTTACATAGTATTTGACTCTCGTTGCTTTCCGAAAAGCTTAATGGCAATTCATCTAGTTATATCAAACAAGCAAGCAAGGTCGCCCTCTTCGAACCATCGGCGGTCTTTCTTCCAAGCATGGACCACAATATCCCTTCCAATGCGTGCGCAATTCTCAACCTGCTCTTGTGTGCCCCAACCTTGAACTGATGTTCCGAAATTGACTAGATGAGCTCCGGCTTGGATTGCGGTACGGAAAGCGAAGTCTTCGCTCACCGCGCCATAGCCATTCACAAATCCCTGGACCATCCAAAGCCCGGCTGCGATGCCTTTATATAGCTTCAATTCGTATAACTCGGCAATCATCTGACCTAAGTCCAAGTTCAACTTTCCCAGCTGTGCCATCTCCCAGTCGACAACGAACATCGGTACATCATCTCCTTCCTGGATCGGGCCCTTGGGTAACAGAATACTAGTAGATATATTAGTCAAAAGTCTTGCAGGATAGAGACATTGGTGCATATCCATACTTTCCTGACCAAAAGTCTCCGTGAATCACCTGCAGTTGGCTTTCGTCGCTTAATTCCGCAGTAGCCATATCCTTTACTTTCGTAAAGACGGCTTCGGCTTCGGCGAGAATAGATGGGAACTGTTTAATCTTATCGAACAGCCATGAAAAGTTGATTATATGTTTCAACTGCTGCAGCTCCTTGTTTTTAGCAACCATGCTTCGGAGTTCTCCCTGCTGCGCAGCCCAGTCGTGGAAAGTCCGAAGCCATCTTCCCAAGGCCTTTCCAAGTTGGAGAGCTTGGTGCTTCGTTGCCTCTGAATTAGAATTGGCATACGTCTCCAGAGCGTAGGTTTTCAAGTCGACACCATTTTGCAGATACTCCTGGATTTGGCTGTTGTTTGTGTCGTCGAAATGGAAGACTTTAGGCGTCCTAACGGCGAAATTGTAAGGATCGCTCGGATCTGCCTTGCTGACGATGGGGAAGTCCGATAACGCCTTCAGGCAGCCTACTTCAATATTCTAAGAAAAGTTAGTACGTCGTCATTACAAATCCGCATAGAACTGCAGTTTCTCGTATTAAGTGTTGCATACACAACGAGATAGGGTCAATTTGAAGCTTGAGGAATTTGCAACGTAATCCTCGGAATGTTTAACTAGGACATTTTGTGTCCCATCCTCGAGTGGGTTGGATAAAGTTACTCGGTATATGAAGTTGACTGTACCCCCTGATAGTACTTCCAAGGAATATGCCTCGTAGGGAGTCCCTTTGAGAGTTTCGAGAACGCTCGAAGTGATCTCTTCGCGACTCGTAGATGCCATCACCAAATTTAATCAATGTCTTTACAACGTAGATGTTTCCAGGCTTAGTAGAAGCGAATTGCGGATAATAGTGACAGAAAGCAGGCTGGATTGACACATAAGACAAGTTGCGGAATTGTACCCTTCCAGGCACCATTGACCAGAGCCTCGTGTAGACTATAATTCATCTTGTTATTTGAATGCCCTCTACCAGTACCCAACTGTGTAAGCACTTGATAGTTAGGTATGTTCAGCCGAAGCATGCACTAGTGTAAGTTGCATCGGCCAGTGACTCAATGTAGAAGCAGAAAGAAATTGAATAGTAAGATTCGGGTAACACGGCCTGTACCTAATAGTATATTGAATTCGCATCGTCCTTTCTTGTTAACATTAAGTTTCATCGTTCTTACCTAGATATGTAGGTATATATATCCATTATTCTGAGGTCGTTCTTGAGAGTTGTAAAGGTTTTTAATTCCATTAGAGATACCTACGAATAGCGAGGATTAATTATTGGGTACTCGGGTACCACTGCTGAAATTTAATGGCGATAATACGTGCTGTACATAATGTAACACAACATCTACATATGCATTTGGGGATAATTGCGATTGGAGAAGAAGCTCTGGCCAATCAAGTGTCAGATAAGGGTTGGTTGGTCGGTACCTCAAACGCCTAATTGTTTCGTTTCTTCCGCGTTACATCACTCCCCCTTTTTCATTGGATCGTCTCGTTTGAGTCTTACCTGTAGGGGCCAATTGTCGGGTTACTTCTCGAACGAATCGCGACAATCGACAGGAGTTCATCAAAAGATCACTAGTGGATATGTCAAGATATGATGCGATAGCCACGAGTGAGATATCCCGAATCCCGTTAATGGATTGGCTGTTCCCGCGTTATAGGTCAGGGGTATCGCCAATACTGCTAACGGTAGCCAAGGGATTTTCGTGTTTCTTGAAGGCAGCTGCTAGGTGCTATCTGCTAGTTGAACTAGGGTCAGAACGATCTCAAATGGAAAGCTCGAATCTGGAATAGGAAACGCATGGACTCCTGAACCTTCTCTTTTCTGGAAGGAACGCTGAAAATGTTTCTCTTAAAGTGTTTCCTCTACTCTATCTATTATCTTCAATATTTCCATTAATTTAACTATTTAATGAATTTTTCGACTTCGGCTGCCATCGCTGTCACCTTCGTGGCTTGAATCCCTCGCACGAATACGGCGTGTCGAGTGCCAGAAATAAAGGAGCTGTGCTTCTCTCCTCTCTTTATTCGACATTCGTTCCAACTGCCTAGGTGCTGTTTCGCATTGACTGCAATTGGCGACTGAGTTGCTTTCTATCACAGCCTTTTGCGCCTTTTCCTACCTGTCTTACTACATATAATTCACTTCAAGTGGTTATTTCACTTGCTCTACGCGCCACTGTCTGCCCCTGGCCTGCAGCTTAACCCTCTAACACATTCGTATCTCGCGCCGTACCACGCTACCCAAGAGGACAAACGCCCAGTGTCCCCTATATGAAGAATACTTCACATCGTGGACCCCACCGTGCCCCTTTTGGATATAGCAGTAACTGGCTTATCGTTCAATTCCCAACGGCGTTGCCGTGATCAATCATTAGCGGTTCCTTGGGTTGTTTGATGTCATCGTTGACATAGGAATAATATCCACCGAAACTTCGCGATCTTGGATAAAGCCAGTTTACGAAATTTGGAAACCGAGAGGTTAGATATAACTATATCGATCAAGAATCGTATTGAACCTGGGCACTACCATTCCCAGACCTCGTCAAGCATTCCCATTGGACTAAGTCCTGGCCGCTCCGTCATTCAGAGACTCCTGACACAACTCGCGTTTCGGCGTGTCGATTTTTTTCGAGCAAGCTGGGAAGCTAGACTTAATTAAGTCGTGCTCCAATTGTTCGGTTAGGACGTCAGGCGACATTGTATATTCCATCAGGCTATATTCTAAAAGATCAGTCGCTCTTGTCAACCTTCTCCAGTATCCAACGACTGTAAGAAGATATCGACAATTCGACAGATCGATCGACGATTATCGTAAAAGGCTTTCTCGCAGGAAATGGCGCATCGGCGACAACGGCCGCAGCGACGACTGTTGAGATGTGTGTCATTGTTAGCCATAGCCTCGACATCCTCGGCACTTAACTTGTCCCAATTTCAAGTCATTACGTCAAACCAAATACCAAAGAAGTGCATCAAGGCTTACTCAACCGATATAGAAGGTTGTACGAGGAGTGACTTTACAAACGGAAGGCAATGCTCATCTAGTTGCGTGCAGGGTCTCGAGGAGGTGAAAGATGTTATAGACGATGCTTGCGAGGGTCTGAATGTCAGTGCGAAATCGTTGCTCGGAATCGTGTTATCTGGCGGTTTAGTCGATACCTTATGCCCCGGCTTCGATACTACGACAGTTACCAAGACTGTACAACCTTCGACTACGAATAGAGGGTTTTCGACCATAAACCCAGCACCAACCACTACGTCGGCCGCCTCTAGCAAAACTTCATCCACAACATCACGGAAAACTACACCAACGAGTGACTCATCGACAATAGTACAATCGACAACAAATCAAGAAACCTCGCCACCATCAACGACGTCCGAAATTCGTAGCACTTTGACACCGTCATCCACCGATCCTACATCAACACAAGATACTGCACAATCGGCGGTTACGAGTGCAGCACAATCAACATCATCGGATGATTCAGGTGATGATGATCCTACACTTGGCGGCGCGGGTGGCGGTAGCCCATTCGATCAACCGATCGAGAGTTTGGGTACGACTCTGCGTCCAGGGTTTTGTACAGAAGCCTTGACAGCTGTAATATTTGTCGCCATGTTTATGTTGCGGTAACAGCCGCATTCCCTTACCAATGTCGAGGATGTATACCCGACTATGTACGAACAGTAGTAATGTCTAAAATGGTGTGAGATGATACCCGGCGGTGCTATGGATTTAGAAGAAAGGTTGTGTGGGGTGAAGGGGACAAGTGAAAACAAGCTTGTAATGTGGAATGTATTTCAAGACCCGTGTCGAGATTGAACGGGATTTTGAATACCTTGTTAGAATAGATATCAAACCAGGAGGGGTTTATGAGATCAAGTCTCATAAGTTTGTACAATAGTAGCTTGAAACTCAACAGCTAGAAACGAGAAATGCCATGAGAAACTATTTAACTTGACTACCATCACTGTGATATTGTTATGCAAGGGTATGCTTTATGAGGTCAGCGATCGGTGGGGATTCTGTAATTTGGCTAAACCGCTATAAGTTAAAGTATACCGATGTACCTAGCCTAGGTATGCAAGAGCCTCCTTAAACCGGAGTGCCGAGGTAGAGAGACTTTCAAGACTTTTAAGTTCAACGCGCGTAATAAATATTAATTTCAACGACGCCGACGTCTTCTCAGCGATATACGACTAACCGTCGTAACAATTCATCAATTCAGTTTTTTGTCTTTGTTGCATCTGAAGCGTTTCGCGCTTTGTTTTTAAATTGAAGTTCGCATTCGAGATCGTCGGTGCTAGCTGAGCTGTCTTTGCAGCAACCCCTTTTATCGATAGTAGAGCCAATTATTACTGCTTTACCTGTTCAAATATCATCTGATTTCAACATTCTTCCTACCTATTCAGCCATTGTTCCCGCTGTCTATGTAAGCCTAGCAGACAGAAAAGAAGGTCTACACACCCGCTTGAAGAAATATCAAAAAGAAAAAAAAAGAAAGATACGAAGAATTCACGATGAGCGCCACCGAACTCGCAACAGCGGACCTCCCGTCCGGCGACCCGATCCCGTCGTCCGCGCCTCCCGCACCGGTCCCCTCGCCAAAACCGTTCCCGATCCGCGCCCTCCTCGCCGCGGCCCCCTCCAACGCAGACGCCTTCCTCGCCCACCTCCAGCGCTGTCTGCAGACCCCCTCGGGCATCGACACCACCCTCCTCCTCATCTGCTACGCCTCGCGCCTCTCCGCCTCCGCCCTCGAAGCCCTCACCCGCCCCGCCATCCGCCGCAGCGCGGACAAACTCCTCGCTATCGCAGCGAGCTTGCCCCCCTCCGCCACCCTCGTCTTCTCCGCCCGCATGCTCCCCGGTGGCGGCGTTGCCGCGATCCTGGAACTCGCGAAACGCCTCCGCGCGCTGAGTGTTCTGCTTAGTGACGCAAGAACGTTCCTGCGTCTGTGGGGACTGCTGAATATGTATTTCTGGGCGAGGAGACTGGTTCTTAGTCGGAACGCGGGAGAGGCGCAGGAGAAGGACGGCGCGGGGAGTCAGAGGGAAGACCGTGTTGAGCGCGCGATCTCGTGGGTTCAGATGTCGGCGTGTGTGGTGTTCCAAGCCCTCGAGAACGGCGCGTATCTCTCGTCGAAAGGCGTCTTGGGCTGGTCGGCTGCGACGCAGCGCAAGGCGGGGCTGTGGAGCGCGCGGTTTTGGGCGGCGTTTGTGGGGGTCGAGGTTGGGAGGCTGTTTTATGAGAGTCATCGACGGGGGCTTAGGACGAGAGAGGAGAAGTTCGCTGGTGGGAAGACGGCGGCGCAGGTTCAGAGGGATGAGATTGAGTGGGGTGATGCGTGGAAGAAGAGTGTTGCGCGGAATTTGGCTTGGGCTCCGTTGACGGTTCATTGGAGTCTGGAGCAGGGGCTTTTGGGCGAGATGGCGATTGGTGCGCTAGCGAGCATTCCTGGCGTTATTCAGATGAGGGATTTGTGGAGGAGGACGGCGGAGTAGGGGTGACGTATGGGGGTCAGGGATAGGGGAAGGGAGAAGGAACCGGTTATGGGGGATGAATGGGCGGCTGGCTGGCTGGGTTATTCGAATTAATTCGGTGTTGATGTATGTTTATGGGGAAGACGCCGTTGTCGGTTTCTTTATAATGCTCGAAGTCATGATGAGATCATCCGGCCTCGTGGAATGTGACGGTGGTTTATACGTGTTTTCCTACTTCGTTATGAAAAAAGGGGAAACCTTGAGCGCATTGGGAGTCGATAGACTTTTCTCTTGATGGCGAGTTGTGAAGGTTTCATTCATGCAGTGTATAGATCTATCATGGCGAGGAGAGATGGTTGACATCTTTCTGACCGTTTCTTTGCATAGTCACTGTATCTCATATTCCTATTTCAATACGACTAGGACTTCTCATTCGTTGTATTTAGCTTTCGATTTCGGTGTATAAATAGTTTTGTAGCTGTTGAATCTGTGGGTAGGATCTCCTCCCCTGACAAATTTAGCGGGATGGTGATGTTGCCGGAGTAATTCTTTCATAAAACATGTTCAATTCATTTTCGCATATTCCCCTAGAGGACTATTTCGTGGTTTAATTTACATATGATTGTGGAAATCATTTGAAGATGGGTAAAAAAGCAAACAAATACAACTAAGCATATTCCACATCGAAGTACTGACTCTAACATATGAGCATCGCATCTATAGACATGTTGGCCTTGTATTGTTTGTTAGGGAACAATGAGAAGCATTGGATTACAAGAGGCTAATTGAATTAATCATCTTATTATTTGGGTCATTTCAGATCCCCAGGATATTTATACAATAAACTCGGACGACTAAAGCGACCTCATTTCCAGTTCTTTGCCTGGAGTTGGTAATTATATAGACATTAAGTATTGAGGCTCGCCAACCTCGAGAGCCAATCCCCTATCCAACACACGAATACAGGAGCCTATGTTTTCTATGACAAATCGGCAGAATGGCGTAAAACTGCGTATAGATTAGGCGAAGATTTATCGCAATCAACGATCTTCTTTAATAAGAGCGTCGGGCTGGAGTGTGGTGGGTTGCTGGATTGCTTCACCAAACGCATTGAAGCATAGGTACGCTCCGTTTGTGGCGGCGTGTTTTCTAGCTTGCTTCGTCGTTTCCAGGCGTATGTTTCCCTGATAGTGCCTAATAAGCATACATGGATTATGTCCCGTGCTCATATTTATATCCCTCCACCGACTAGAAGGGTATTCTCTTTTCCTCGTCTTCATCACTCATCCCATACCGACGAGAGAACAGTAATAGTTTTGCAACATGGCTGAAACCGTATTTCTTACGATTGATGTCATCAAGCAAGCTGCATCAGTCGCTAACAGCTTCGCCCAATACACGAAAAGCGTGAAGGATGCTCCCAAAGTAGTCAAAAGCATTACTCTAGAAGTGAATATACTGAAGGGTATATTGGAGTATCTCGGAGCAACCATTGAAGGCGACATAGATCCCACAAATAAAGCGTCGCTTGAGGAATGCCTGAACAGTTGTAGGGGTACGTTGTCCGAGCTTGAGAAGCTTGTGGCCCCGGAGGACAAAGACGATTCGGACTCTTCAGACTCGTCGTCGCATGGCAAAACTGCAAGTGTTTTTCGATCATTGAAAGCAACCCGAGAAAAAAGAACCCCATCACCATTTAACAATCCTAATCTTTCCGATGCGATGGGTGTGAGCAAATTAGTGTCCCCCTTCGAGGAACTGAGGTTTCCTGTGTCCAATTTAACCTTCCGCACGAATATGGACTCATCTCAACCTCTCCCAGTAAGGACGGCTACGCCTCAGCCTAGGCAATCGTCAATGTCCCTTCGCAGACGACTCAAATGGCCGCTTGTACGTCAAGGCAAGGCGGAGAAGTTGCTGAAAGAGCTAGAAAGACAGAAGTCTCAGCTTAATATAGCCATCCAGGCTGATAATCTGTGAGTTTAGCTCCGGATGATTCGGTAGCTTATTGGTTGACCTCATTAAATAGTTCAAATCTCGCCGTAATAAGCAATGCTGTAAAGGACGTCGAGGCGGTATTGAACGGTAAGATAAATCTAATTCCCCTTATGATTGGTTGCGCCATCACTGATGCTTTTCCTGGTATGTAGACAATGAAAAGAGGAGAATATTGTCTTGGTTAAAACCGAAGATTGACATGCGTGAGTTCCACGCCGAACAGCATGATAAGCAAGAAGACGAGACATGCACATGGATAACTGAGCGCGATCAATGGAGAGAGTGGCTTGAAGGGGTTAAAGCTGGGCCTGACAGCTACGAACGCTTTATTTGGATATTCGGGATCCCCGGTGCCGGAAAGACGGTCCTCGCCTCATTTCTCATCGACGCTATTGGGACGTCGTGCAAAGCAACCGGGTACTCGTTCTACTATTGCCACCACGAGCGGAACCAAGATGAGACACTTCACTTTCTCCGTTGGATAATTAGTGACTTGAGTAGACAGATTGGACGCTTCATCCCAAAGGAATTAGAAGAGTTGAGCAAAGGGGAAAACTTTAGTATCCCGGGTCTCATGAGCTGTTTCTTGGCCATTAGCCAACGGTTCGCGCAGAATGGTTCTCGAGTCTTTTTAGTAGTTGACGCTGTGGATGAGAGTAGAAAGCCGCGGGAAAGATTCCTTAAACAGCTAATCGAAATCGGCACGAATCCGATGTACAACAATGTCTCATTATTGATGACGAGCCGTGAGGAGACTGATATCAAGGCTATGATGACTGGTGGCGAAGAGGATGAGGTTCCATCCTCAAAGAAGGTCCTGCACACGCATATCACGATGTCGAACGCTGAGGTCATGCATGCGATACGGAAGTACGTCAAGAAACAGTTTGGAAAAAATAACAAGTTCAAAATATGGCCCCCAGATTTCAGAACCAAAGTAGAGGAGACGTTAGCAAGAAATGCCAGAGGGATGTAAGTTCTCAGCTACAGCACCAAGACTCGGATATTCAGGAATTTTCGCTCAATGCCTAACTTAGGTTCCGGTGGGTCGCATGTCAGGTCGATATCATCGAGCGTCTTTACCTTGACCAAAGTCGGGTGATGGCGGCTCTCAATAATCTGCCGGAAACTCTCTTCGACACATATGCGAGGATCCTCGAAGGCATACAGCCAGAAGAGCGCGCATTCGCTCGCACAGCTCTCGCGTTAATATGCAGCAACACCTCCAATATTAAGAGCGCAGACGTCCTAGTCCAAGCTTCACTTCACAATGTCCGTCACGGCGCAATGCATATGTATGACGTACGCGCGCTGGAGGGGATACTCGGATGCCTTATTAAAGTGACACCTTTGCGCGTGAAGCCGCAACACATTTTTAAGCGCGAGGATGACGGACTCTGTCTGCAGAAGGTCAATATCGCGCACTATACCGTGCGGGAGTTCCTCTTTGCACCATCTAAGGACGGTGATGACAAGCCGCGCCCCGCCGGCGAGTTCGCGCTTACAGACCTAGACATCCGCATGTTAGAGATGCAGGTTGTCTTCAACGGGCTGCAGCAGTGGGGCCGAAACCGACCGGCAAACCAGCGAAACCCCAGCCGCTACGAGGAGCACTGTCTTGAGATGAGTGACTGGGCTTTGCGCGGTGATCGCCGTAACTTGATCGTCAGGTTCCAGAGCGTCTTTGATTCAGTGGTGCCATGCCTCAGACCCGATGCCGAGCACGTTAAATCACTAAGAAGCGAGCGACTGCGAAAGCGGTTTACGAAATGGCGTAAGCTATGCGCATTTGGAGAGTACGAAGACGGGACACGACGACGAGTGCGACATGAGACCAGTACCCTAGCAAGCTTAGTGCTATTACGGTGGCCGGAATTCGCACAGAAGCTTTTGCGGGGTGCTGGGTGGGAGCGACTTACACCTGAGCGCAAGCAGATGGTCTGGACGGACGAGTTTACAATTGATGCTGGGATCGACGATAGTCTGCCGCCGACATTCGAGAAGGGTGAGCCTGTGAGTCTGCTTCGCTTGTGCGTGTCCTGGAAGCGCCTTGAGTTTTTGGAGATATTCATCGAAGCCGGCGCCAATTTCGTCAACGAGCCGAACATCGTATTCGTGGCGCTTGAGCATCCTTACAGCGAGGACGGGGATGATGGGCAGATGACAGGCCAACTTTTGAAGATGATCCTTGAGAGCGGAGCAGATCCAAACCCCCCCGGGTTCTTGTATACGCCGCTCCAGGACGCGGTGCATCGCCTCGAGGAAGGCTGGGTGCAGAGTCTGCTTCTCGAGTGCCGCGACGCCAATGCAATAGGCGATCCTAATGGTACGCACCCGTATAATATAATCGAGGAAATGGCATGGCACAAGCAGCACCCGCTTGAAATTTGCCGGACGGCGAAGCCGCATTGGAAAGGCGGCGACGGACTAGAAGAACAGATCGAGAAGTCTCGGAAACAGGTGCATTTATTGCTCTCTCAATATGGAGCAGGTCGACCGGTACCAGGAGCTGCCGAGCCTGAAGTTATTGAATTAGACGATTCTTAAACCTAGAAGACTGATTTAGAGGCGTAGATATTCGACGGATTGTGTATCGGGATGGGGAAATATGTTGGCCTTAGAGAGATGTTTCCCCGTGTCGCGATGCAAACTGACTAATTAGGTCGGAGGCGAGGTATGTTCCGTAGTAATGTACTACGATAGGTGGAATCGATACGTGCCCCCGTTGTCAGACTACGTGACCCTTTTCCAGTGATGGTAAGGTATCCCTATTCGATCGTTTGATGGTACTGAGAACTCTTATGATATGATGAAGCTTTGTATTCGTATCCTCATGATCGTTTCTGACCCATTTCTTCCATGCCGATATCATCCCATTCTTCGCTCCACTCGCCTATTTTCCCGCCTATCCAAATCCCTCCTGCTGTAACCACGCTTGCTAAAAGGAACCAGCCCTCGAACCATCTATCTACAAACCCTGGTTCCAGAGCGCTTTCGAGCGCGTCGCCGACGGCACTGCCCACCTCTTTGGGAAGATTACTGCGTAGGAGGAGCGCGGCAGAGATCACATAGATGGCACTGATCTGCCCAATCAATAAAGCCAAATTTGCCTGAGCCTGATATAAAAGTCCAGGGGTCCATTTGGCGAAGAAATGGAATGTCTGAAGTGCACTGTTTGCGCTCGCAAGGAGGATTACGCCAGATAATAAAAATGAAATCTGCCTGGCCCATGCGATTTGATCAAGTTTTGGGTCCCAATGTTTGGCTAAGAGCCCGAGGAATCGATTAATCGGATCAGACGAGGAAAACGAAGCGGCTGGATAGTATAAACGCCGCAAAGTAGTAAGAGTAGTTGCTATTATACGATAAACGCAATATACGCTGAACACGTAAGTGGGTATCAAGAGAAGTTTCCCGGAAAAAGTAGCAGCGCGTGCTGAGTTGGCCTGCCTTGAACGCAACATAGACAGAGATGAAGATAGATTTGCTTCCATAGCTTCCAGGCCAGCGATTTCGAGACGTAACGTACGGATTTCTGCAGCATCGCCTCCACCTCGAATAGAACCGATGACTTTAGTGACAAATCCACGTTTCTCGGCTGAAGACGTATCTGATGCCTTGCGCAGTAGACTCTGTAGACGATGTCGTTTAGTTATTAGCATCTCATTGGTGGCATCTAGGCCCGCTTGTTTACGGGAAACATCAGCCTCTGTCACAGGTCGTCGCGACGCACGACTTCCGAATGTATGCCATGGTGAAGAAACAGAGGCGAATCCGGATAGCAAAGCCATCAGTGAAATACCAATGACGCCGATACGCTCAAGACAAGCGCGTGCTAGAGTTGCAGATAATAGGGGCTCCGCGCGAAGTTTTTCCATCCTAGCACTAGAACGCCCGACCTCGCTGCCTACCGGGACAAGATTCCCAAGTGACCAGAAGGCAAATAACCAAACGCTAAACATGGCAAACTGAAGCACCCAAGCAACTCTAGGTATATTTCCTTTCGAAGTGCGCTGAAAAGACCATCCCGAACCGGTAACGAGTGATTGAAGTTCGAGAAAAGGGATCAGCACGATGAGGAGGAATAAGAGAGTCGGGACGGTGATTCGCAGAGCCAGTGCTCGGGCATAAGGGTTGACCAATTCCGATATTTCACATAAGATCAACTCGCCCAAAACAACTGCCAATCCAACAGTCGTGCAAAAAGCACCTTCTGCTACCCGTCTTCGTATCGATTTGGAGCCGTGCTCAGCATGGGCTTGTTGAAGTGATAGGGGCGCATCGGAGGGGAGGAAGTGATCTTCGCCATCGCGTGAATTTTGGACGCGCGCTAGTTGAGGGAAGATTTTTTGCGAGACTAGGATAGAGACGAAGACAAAAGTGATGGTGAACGGTGCCAGAGATAATGACATGGACGCTGCTGAAGGCGCGGCCAGACCCGGTGCCAAACAGAGGTCGTCTAGGCAGTCGGAGGATCCCATTGGAAAGCTCGGAGTATTTCGAAGACGGACGGCTACGAAGGATTATATTGCTATTGCGGTGACATTCTAGCTCTTTGAATACAGGTACACATAGGGCATAAGGTATAATCCGATACTTATCGAGGAATAGTAACGAACGGATTCGAAGGGGGTGGCAGTACAGATCGGCAACTCGAGATTGACATTGACATGTTTGTTTAAGTTTTGCGATACGGGAGTTGAAACAGGAAGAGAAGTGAGAAGTGAGAGTTGCTTTCCCCAGACAAGCCCAGACCAGATGACGACTGCCGCTTGACGGTTAGCCCCACCTCGCATACAGCCCATCCAACCACCACCGAGTTCCCACAATGGAAGTTACTGGATGATCGTACCTAAGTACCTTCCCGACGGATCCGTAGTTTCATTTTCAATTGTTAGCCACAGATAACACTCGGACAATTATGGAAACCCCGCGGTGTGGCTCAGGATAATTGTGGCTCACACTTTGCAACCAGACAGGGGTGCTCGAAAAAAGTTCAATATCGATATTCGCAATACAGAGAACATATTGAAGCTGCAGAATCTCCGCCATTGACACCGAGAGAAGCGCTGTAATTGCTACTCCGAAATATGGCGGCCTCAAGTAGAGGTAGCAGTGCTGCCGCTGCGTTATTACGAAGTAAGTTCTCGTGCGAAAACCATACATAACTAATATACTAATAATGAAAATTCATAGGAGGACAATCCAGTATATGCGCCAGTTGCAGGAGCACCCAGTTCCGGTCATATTCATCCAGCGCCGAAACTGCTGCGACGGCTGAAGCCGATCAACCCAAATATCCCCCATCGCCGCAATACCCCCCAGCAGAATACCGCATAAAATCCGGCATCATCTTAACCCGAGCGCCTCTACTCACGCGCACACTTACTCCGTTCGAGAACGCATTCTTCTTCTACCAGAAACGGTTAAACGAGCGATTAGTCTTACCCTTCCGACACACTCTGTTCTTCAAGAAGGACACGGCCACAGACTTAGACTGGCGGATCAAGTTCAACGAGCGAGGCCGGATACCGGCGAAAGAGTTAGGCAGATACTACCCCCAAGGACGTAATGCGTGGAACGACGAGCTTTTAGTCGGAAGCACACTAAGCAGCGAAGAGCGATTACGAGACATCCTGCTCAAGGATGCCGAAAACCGGGTGACCGAAGATGGCGAGGAGGCGAAAGGGGACGAGATCATCCCCGTCGAACGGCCGATGGACAGAATTACTGAGGCCGACAAGACGAATGACGTGAGGCGGTTAGATCGCAAGCTGGACAGAACGCTTTACCTGGTTGTCAAGGCCAGCGATGGAATATGGCAATTCCCATCTGTAGATGTACCAACAGACGGAAACTTACACGAGGTACGTTGAGCGCAACTATCACATTCACAATGACAAGATTGTTCGCTAACCACATTCATAGTCTGCCGCAAGGGCTTTGGAATCCGCAGCAGGTGTTAACATGAACACCTGGATGGTGGGCCGAGTACCGGTTGCTCGTATGATTAGGAAGCCCGAGTACAACGAAGATAATTCCTTCAAACAGAGGGGTGAGAAGGTATTCTTCTTAAAGGGAAGAATTATGGCCGGCCAGGCAGATTTGAAGGGAAACAAGCTGGGATTACTTGACTTCAATTGGCTTACGAGGGAAGAGCTGAAGGAGATATTACCAGAAAAATACTTCTACTCGGTAAGGAACATGATGGCGGATCGATAGATATAGGTGTAAATTACGGCATAGAGCCCCCTGTATCTACAATACCATCAATTGTAAGAATAATGTACCATGTTGTGTTATGTTATGCCATATATCTAAACATTGACATCTTGACGTGTAGCATCCTCCTAACTCTTAAACCATCATGATAGACAACAACCATCCGGCTTGTAATTTCCTCCCCTATGAACTTCTAGCTACTCAATAAAATGCTAGTGGCAGATGCTGGAAAATTTCCAAGATTTCCGAGTGCCTCGTACTAATAGTTCAGTACTAGGTAATTGAGCTGCTTAATTTCATGCAGCACTGCGTGTGTAACTCCTAGATATTGGGTATTACCTAGGGTTGTGAGCTGAGTCGCGTTGAGGATAAGGTTGTGACTAGAGGCGTTTGCCATTGCTGCAAACGCGCGATATCTTGCACATCGAATGCATAATTAGCATTATAGCTAACTATAGATTCCCCCTTGCAGTATTCGCACAATGGCCACCAATAGCTTCTTCGTCGGGTTCGAGGACCCGTCTATAGGCGAGGAGCTGCAGTCCCCCCGCCGCCTCCCCTTCATGAAGGGGTCGTCGTTAACGATGACGGTGCCGATCAGGGGCCAGCAACGTCTACTTAGTCTGTTGGCAAATCCTAACTCCCGTATCCGACCAGCAGATACGGCGATATAGTGATGTGGGGGATATAGGAAGATCCACACTCCGATCAGACGATGTCTGCCCTTGTAAGCCACCGTCTCACATACACAACACCGGACGGCTGGCTTGGGCTAGACCGAGACATGCATGATCATAGCATGTGTGTAGTGGTTGACTAATCCATCATGATCAAGCCTGTTTAATAGGCGTGAGGCGGAGAAAAGGCGACACATGGGAAGCCCATCTCACTTCGGGCTTGTGATGCCGCAAGTTATACGACACAAACGGTAGGACTATCGGATATAATCCCCGATATGTCATCCGCGATGGTATTCAAAGGGACTACTGTCAGGTCCCTATTTTGTTCATGCAGTCACCTGCAAGGAAGTTGTCATAGATTCGGTTACCACCGACAACCAATCACCTATTGAATAGGAGCTGGCCAAATTAGAGGTAGGTAAAGGAATGATGTCAGGTTAACCATACGGTTAAATTAGTAGACGAACTTCTAATAGATGAACGTGTTATCGTGTCAGTAATTCGCAACAAGAGTGCTCCGGCAATGAGGAACACCAAGTTGGCGTATGGCACTTCCCCGAATTCTATCACCGGGGAAATAATCGGATCCGTGAGGGAATTTCAAATAGCCAATACAGCAACCATTCATCGCTGTTCGACATGGTTGTTAACGAACGTTCGTCGCTCGACTCTTCGGATGATTTCTCCGACTCCATACCGGAAGCGTTAAAACGGAAGGTGCTTATTAGCCAACCGCCGCTGTCGCCGTCTTTCGAGCGAGAAGTTATATGCTAATTCAATAGCCCGAGTGAGGGTACTAGGTAGAGGGTACAGGACTCCCCTTACACTAGTTTAGCCGTCTTCAAGTTCTTCCGAGACACCGTGGTACGTCTAGAAGTGACAAGGGCTTTGGGGAAGTCCGATAGACTTAACCGACCTGACGGTTCGTCTTCGGACAACGATATCCTGTGATAATAGACCCGTAGTCCTTTTAGGCAAGGAACGGACCAGATGGGATTCTTCCCCCATATCAAATCAGCACTTTTACGTTATCTGTGTAAAAGCCACATTGGTGCGCCCTAAAATAGGGCAAGGTATCTGCTTGAGAGAAGCCCTCTTCTCTGGGCCGGCTTCGTCTCATTACCTATAATACCAACATACTTTGGGGTATAGGTAATTGTGTCACCTAGGGAGATCCAATGATTCCAGCGACAAGGTGGCCGCTATCAATTCACTTCTCCTTTCATCATTAATGACTGGGGTCCGGCCCCAGGGGAAGGACTGAACTCCTCGTGGCGGTCGAGATATGATAATGAGGGGTTAGTAAGGCCCTCATCTCCCTACCAAGGAGACTCGTTGTGCAGTAGGATGTCTCAGGTCACCTATGGGTGCCTTCCAAACTTAAGATGTTAATGAAGCTCGCTATATTGCACCTCTTCTGTAGAGGAAGTCGACATAATAAAGGTTATAAGTCGCTGACCCTTGATACCGCAGGGCTTACTCAAAGCTTGGTATTGCCGAGAGCTATAGGATTAAACCATCCTAGAGTTCCTGCTTTTGCCAGGCTAGGCCCTTGGTCGAGTGTGGGGTGAAGTCGAGGAGGCAATTATTTATGATAAGAGTGCCGATAGAGAAGAGGTTCTCGCCAGCGAGAATAACGACGATGGTGAAAGGAGAAGGATCCTAGACCATCTAAGTCTTCTGGGACGTGTTTTTGGGCACCATGTACTACGTTCGGTAAAGGACTCCAGGAAATAAAGCGTGATCTCGCCTCATATACAGCGCTTGTGTAAGATATTTTATAGACATAAATTGTCATGGGAGTAAAGACCACCTTGGGTCATCATCAATGGCCCATCAGGTGTCCATTTCAACAACTTCTGTAATCTTGTCACCACTCACAAATTGCGGCGGCGACTAAGCAGATCTTCCTAGTCGAAGCGAACAGGAATATCCTAGTCAGATATGGAAAGGTGTTCTTTCTGAACGCCACCCCCACACAAAGGCGTAAGCCGAGCACGTAGCTCATGGGGTTGGATATAAACCCTTTTGTTTGCTATTTAGCAAATTGTAGGGAATCGATTATGAAAAGGATATGTGGCTTATCCCCGCAATGGAGGATTTGTTGCCGTAGGTTCTCCAGAAGGTATCCATCCAGGGCGGGATCATGTGAAGTTCCCTTTCTGAATATGTTTCCCCGGGTATCGATACCTTCTTGCGGTAGGGAGAACAAGATGATCTTCGTTCGTCCCGTTTGGAAGCCTTGGCTTTCTCAGTGATAGTAAGGGATATTTGTTTTGAGGCAGATTCATCTGCGACGAGCACGTCCCATTTTTGGAGAGCTCCTAAAGTGCCAATCTCCTCTTCATCAAGCAAGGTATTAGCACTGGTATCGGACCAGGAAGTTGTACTAAAAATAATGGTTAGCGAAATATATTAATGTGTCGGATCGCATTGAACATACCTTGAATTACTGTGATTTGTTGAACTTTTTTCTTCCTGGTCTGATGGTGGCGTGGCCACATAACACTGCTCCTCAATGACGTTCAAATGCTTCCTAGTAATGAATAAAGCGTGAGCTTGCTTCAAGAATAGGACTGCCGTCATGAGGCCTATTGATGTTAATAAAAATATTCTAGTAATGATTGAAGGTGTTGTGGACTTACTATCGAACCCAGCATTATGCGCGCAGGCTCGCCCGTTGCTGAATCTAGGATCGCAGCGAAAGGCAGGGAATTGCTGTTTAGCGTAATAATAATGAAGTTCTTGTAGTGTGCTGTCTGTTTCCATCATATGCTTATCCTTTGTATGCATAAATTTAGTATCTACAATACGTGGGAAAAGTGTGTGGATTTTATTGATGAAATCATCAACTTTTGGTGGGAGAGGTTCGAAGAATGTTTTATAAAGAAAGGCAAGATCTTGTAGCAAATTATGGCCAACTAAAATAGGCCTAGATTTACTGAGGCTTGCTTCACAGTCCTGAAAGTTGAACGCTTGATTAAACTTGCCCCATGACTCAAGGCCGATAGGAGGTCTGTTCCTGTACTGAGCCCATTCTCGACTGGCTCTTGTGGCAAAGGGCCCTCCAGATAGTGCCTCGAGCAGAATCTGTAGGCCTTTAGGCATGTTAGATTGAGGAGTCATGTAATAATCACATGGTGTGTCGATGAACAAACCTGATAATCTCTTTACCTCGTCTATGTCTAGCTTCTGGCGAAAGTCGTTCTAGCCCAAGGCATTGTTAAGTTAGCTACAGGTATATACTTGCGGCAGGGCCGTTACAGGATGAATCCACTGGGCAACCACGAACCTTGAGTCTTGCAGCTTCGTCCAACAGACTGACAGAGATACTTCCTGCCATAGTACCTGTCGATACCCTTTTAGCTATACACGCCGGGAACTCCTCCCGGATGATCTGATGTATCAATCGAAGCTGTAGCCCGTTAAGTTTACCCCCATATGGGTTCTTTATGGTGAATCCCACGCCCTTATAATTTATTAGTTTTATGAATGCTGTCCTAGATCGAATGCCGTACCGGTGTGGCGCTTTCAGTAACAAATCCTGTGATTTGTTTTCTGACATACTTGTAAAAACGCTGTGACTCTTCATCAAGTTTCAGGGGGTCAATCCCCTTATGACTATAATTCCTAGACAAGCAATATTCCTCTGCGCGTCTCAGTTCCTCACGGCTCAGATAATGTATGCCATTATCCAAACTATGAGCCAGATTGAATTTATTCTGTTGGAGAAAACTGTACGATCTAGCCGAGACACAGAATCTTCTGTCTAGATACCGAGTTAACCCATCTGATAAAGGGCTTCTAGGAAACAGCGGCGAGAGATGGCAGTTAAAAGTGCGAACAATATGTTCAGCTAGATATGCGCATTAGCTCTGGTTGTTGATTATGCTTTAGTAACCTTCTCACATCTGTCCTCATTGTAGTGAGAAAATGTAAACCCAACCTGTAGCACTTGGTATTTCTCAGCCGCTTCTTTGATTCCAGTATATGAATCCTGAATAGAATTAATGTGGCTAGCGTGGCCGTGAGCAGAGGAGATACCGCTCATCTCAACGTCAATCGCTACGAAACGAGCTTTCTGTGCCTCATGTAACATGCATGGAAGCATCCAGAAGAAGTTGTTCTTGTCAATCTCCATCGCTTCGATACGATCGTGCCTAATATGGCGCCAGCGAAAAATCTCGTAAATTCTATAGTGTTGGGTAAATTAAATGTGAGGGAGAAAAAGGGGGGCGATCCGCTCTCACAAGTCGAAGAGATATATCTGTGAGAGCATCAGCAGAACAATTGATTTTTATGTTACAAAAGAGTAATAATAGGGAAACGTGTTTTATTATGACTTAAACATAATATCTTAGTGAAATCCAGAACAGTTTGTCGCACAATCACCAACCTGTGACAAACTGCCTCTTGGTACTGATCTGTTGGGAGGTACCCAGTTCTTTATCTCAATTGAGCATAATCTTACATGTCAAGAGTTTACCACTCATGTGAAAACTTTAACATAATACATATTTGAGATTTAGAGATACAGCTTGGTGTGTTGTCTCTGGGTATAGTTCAGCTTCCAGGATGGGTCAATGATTTAATTGCTTATAATTGATTCTAACTTGGTTATACTTATCAATGAGTATTACATATAAACCACACGGAAGTTGGGATACATAAACATTAGTATCTCCCTGATTGAGTAAAGTGTGCAGAGCTTTCTGACGGTATCGCCTTTCCATGCGATAGTCCACTGGCACCCACAGAGGCTCAACTCCGATTAGTTGAAAGCACCATTATTGGGTCTGGTCCACTATGTGGTCTATAGTCGGAGGAGCCCGTAGGCTCAAGTAGACCAAGAAGATAAACTTGTTATGTAGGCTATCGTGTTTGCGTATGCAGGCTGTCGATTGTTGATTGTTAATGACCAAAGCTAAATAGCTGATTGAAGGACAAAATTCTAGATGCTTTGCTACAGATGTATTGCAGGAATGGACGAGTAGCTTGGCATAGTAGTAGGCTTGTCTAAGGACTTTCCACACAGTGGATTTTTGAAAATGAAGCCATTCAGATTGATGTTGAATGATTTGTTGGACGGTGTTCGGAGGACGGACAAATGAAGTATGGAAGAAGAAATCTCATTATGTAACTATCCAATTATGTAAGCCGGACAAGCACTGGGGCACCTGATATATTAAGTGGGTCTACCTAACGATATTCATACATGTGGGCCGACATACCGAGGTACAAACATTCCATAATCACCGAGAGTACGAAAAGAACAGCGGCTTTCAATCCAACCTTCCCGCATGCCAGAGAACGCGAAGGCAAGCTCGACCTATTCCGGTCCCACATGCCTACGTTGTTCCTGCATGTGCATGCTTCTAAAGTTTACGATGTCATTGTTGACATTTATTTCTCCAAATTCTAATTTATTAATATGAATTTCTGTTGTTGGAATTTACCGTCGCGTTTAAGCTAATATTTAGGCCAATTCCTATCTAAAATATTGTTGGAAAATACCTAAGTATTCGCAAACATGTCGTTCGATGGATCCTATACCGCAACATTGAGCCCTACGGCATCCGAAAATTTTGGATCGCATGTCCTTTCGAACTCGATATCCTCATTAGCATCTACAACTTCCTCTCGTCCATCATCAAGCAACATCTCCAAGACCTATCGTCAGGCATCACAATTATTCCTGACGCGTCGATTACCGGAGGCATTATCAACAGTCTTACCATTGATCAGCCCATCATCCGAAAATGCAGATGTAAATGGACTAATTGAGCCGGCACCCGTCGTTCGAGCCTCGAGATCCACTAGGATAAAGGTGTGGAGCTTATATCTGACCATCCTGAATGCTATATTAGAGCTGGATCCCGACGAGGGAAAAGAGGCCTTCGGCACCCAAGAATGGCGTGGCCTGTGCAAGAAGGTTCGGGATGGCGATGTCTGGGAAGAGGTTGTACAGTTTGGGTACCATGGCGTTGAAGGGGAGGTCGATTCTGATGTTGTCATAAATCTGTAAGTTGGATTTTGATTTGATGCATGGGAATGTCTTGTCAGGCTGACCGATTAAAGGGCTACACTACTCCTCGCACATGCCAAATCACAGGCGGTGAATCAGAAACGGTTAGAAAACTATCTGGCCTCATCAACTACACCGAATCTCGATATATCTCAGAGACTTGAGGAGACCAAAATCTCACGATTCTCGTCGAAGAGAAGGTCGCCCTCTAAAGGCGTTGCTAGCGGTGCCGACACTCCCAGGGATCTCAATGCTAGAGTTAAGATCCTAGAATTGTATACCTTGCATGTTTTGCTACGCAACAATGAGTGGGATTATGCAAGAGAATTCATTAGCGTCAGCGCAGTACTCGATGACGAACGAAGAGAGGCTTTCTTACAGGCTCTTCAAAGTTTACAAGAGGAGCAGCAGGAATCGGAACGGAAACAACATGAAGAACAGCAAAAGCAAGAAGAGCAACTACAGAAAGATCTCGAAGAGGCAAGGAGGCTTAGGGCAGAGAATGAAGCAAGAGAACGGCGCCGATTAGATGAAGAAAGAGCTAAGCGGGAAGGTAGCGAGGTCGACTACGGTATCGAAAACAGCCAGAGTGCTCCTCGATCAAAGAACAAACCTCGAACCTCTAGCGGGTCGTCCGGATTATCGAGAGCGGCAAAGTCGTCTGCCCCTAAAGGGAAGAAGGCCGTGGCACCCCCAAGTTTCGGTGCGCGAGCTGCAGTGGTCATTATGAATTTTCGTAAGGTTATCGAGCAATTGGGGGCTACACTTAAAGCCAACCCAATGCTGCTCATGAGATTGGTCGCTTTTCTCATTAGTATTGTTGTTATGTTTGGTAGAAAGGGTGTCCGTGAGCGGATTCAGCAGATTCTTGGAACAGGTTGGAATAAGGTCAGATCAACAGCGGGTATGGGCGTTAAGGTCAGCTACATCTAACTTACTAGATGGGCTTATAATCGAGGCATTCTGTACATCATCAACTTTCTTGCAGATAATAATCACTCGGAAACAGTCGGGCAGCAGCATCCTTACGTAGTTTGACGCTACACAAATCGTATGATTTTATAATAAAAATCAATTCAACTCGCATATAAACACATAAATTTGCATATCTGAGTAGTCTACTCTTAGGATGAGTGCTACGATCTCAAAACGCCGGCCAACAATGCTGGTATTAAAATATGACCCCCTTTTCCGCGTAAACGTGTACCCAGCAATAACATCGAGTTGTCACGTAATTCAAGAGTCCTAAACTTCCACGGCCCAAACCCAGGCCACATAGAGGCTAGTATCCCGTCCGATTCGTTTTCTTCTGGTAGAACAGCTGCATGGCAAGTCAGTACATAATCTCCGGTTGGCAACGAGAGTCCGAGGGGGAACACGGTGGCTTACATCTGTTCTTGAACTGCCCAAATTTATGATCTTAGGACACCCATCTCTGTCCTTCTCCAACCGCGTACACTCGAAGCAGTAAAACGCGTCCGATATGCCTTCGCCGCCACACACAACACATTTGTTCTGGTAGTTGCCAAAGCTGCACTCGTCGCAAATGCGGACGAGAGTGGTCGGTCTCACGTAGGAATCGCATACGGGACACTTTCCATCGCATTTGTCGCAGAGGCGGCCGATGGCGATGCCGGATTGCTTACGGCACATCACGAGATCGCTATGGAATACGTCGTTAGCTTCTATACGTATTACCTAGTAAAGGAAGGTATTGATGCCCCTAGGGTAACACTTACGGATGATGTCGAGACATATTGACCGAATAGAGACCTCTTTATGGTGGGGTATTGGAGAAAAGGTTGTAGATAGGAGGACTCGGAATATTAGTTGATAGACAATCGCGGTGATATGTTGAGACGATAGCCTTCTGGATGATTTCTCAGCCTTGCCACTTCTTGTTAGAGATTTGTTCAGTACGGTTTGCACGGAGCTTGCGCGAGAACGAACCTTGTTTAGCATAATGTACATAAAGTGGAGTACTGCATGCACAATTGCACAAACTCGTCCCTGCTTGATGTAATTAAGTGGGGATATGCCATGTACCTGGTACTTGACCTTACCCTTTTAGTTCAAGTTTGACTGTCGCACTTTGGAGCTTTGGCCCGCGTTTGTTTGCTCTACCATTCAGCCTCGCGACGTTTTTAAACTATTTCAACCTTTCTACTACACATGCTTTACTAGGAAGATTAAACCACATGAGAATGACTTGATCTATTTCTTTATTTCGCCCGATGTGGCAATAATCTTCTTAAATTGCGCTTTATATTTTCCTCATAATCTGGCTCGAGCTGCGGAAAGACGACATAATGCCGGCCAACGAAACGTGAGAGATAACCCTGGCTTTGATTCTATTGGTCGCAATTGGCTAATCATGAAATCAGTACCCCGAATGGCCATAGCCCGGAGCGCGAGACAACTACTATCGATATAGATGAAGACAATACTAATTCGCAAAAACGTAAAGCTTCGTCACCTCTTCGCAGCCAAGATACGTCTAGCCTGTCGCCGAAAAGAACGAAACTAGATGGCAAGTCGGATGGAGATAATAAGGCGAAGGCTCCACCAACACCAAAAGAGCCAGGAACAGACCGTCGCCAGAGCGCATTGCAGGAAGAGAGAAGACGCGGGAAACGGTTATTCGGTGGTTTGCTAAGCACACTAAGTCAAACCACTTCTAGCTCGCAGCAAAAGAGACGTCAAGAGATTGAGCGACGACAGCAGGCAAAAGTACACCAGCAAAGAGCCGAAGATGATAAGCAAAGAGATGAAAAACTAGCCAAGTTGAGGACCGTTCGCAAGGTGGAACAAATTAAGTTTGACGAGAAAGTTGTAAGTTGATCCCCATACTATCCTAATAACTAGGTACCCACCTACCTACCTAAGTACCTCAGATTAACAGAATCTTTAGATGCGCAACAGGCACACAAATATGCTAGCGATGGCTAGGTTTCTAGAGACTAAGACCCCTCCAAAGATAGTCAGTAAAAACTCACGACATGTAGATATATCGGCTAACCATACTATCAGTACTACTTGCCATGGGACCCCACACCCGAACAAGAGGACACTATCAAAGAGCAAATCCACGAAGCCAAAGATACGATCGAGAGGGAGGTTCTCGAATTTCAGCAACGCAAGGAACAGCGATTAAAAGCATTAGGCGTCGCAGTCGATTCTCCTGCGCTTGAACCTAAGGATAAAGTGGGTAGTAAACTTGACGATGAGCACCCTACTGACACTCCACAATCCATTCCTTCTCCTACTACTACTAATAATCGCCCCCCTTCCCACGCTGGTAAGGTTGGCCATGAAAAAGAGCCAGATAGGGCAGACGATGTAATGATAGAGGAGGTCGAAGACACGGTTATATACTAAGTTTCCGGATGTCTCCGCCTCCAGTTTTCTCTTTCTTGTCATGTATTCGGAATATTTAGGCGGTGGGCGGAAGGTATAGGCGCTCTTGCGTGATACGGATCTACGGGCTGTGGGCTTTTATTTTTTTATTTTTTATTGCTATAAGTTTCGATGTTTCGGAACTAACCAAGGTTAAAACTGATAGTGAGTTTATATGGTGTATTTGATGACACTCTGCGCTTAAATTTGAGACTTCCGGTGAGCCTGTCTAGAGAGTCGTGTGTACGTTTCAAGTTTTAACTTGTTCTGAGCCGGAGCCGGGTTCGGGCTCGGACTCGGGTTGCTAGTTCGTTGGTGATTTCTCCAATGCTCATCCGGCTCACCCGTGGTTACCGAATACGTGCCCCTCTTGGTGTTGATGATTCTTTAATGTATCATTGGATGGCAAGTGACCACATGAACTACCTTTATGATGATTGTCTTCTTTGTTACCTCTGTGGCTATCAATTGCCTAGTATCGAATCACCAAGCCTCGGTAGTCTTCTAACGCTTCTTTCCGTCGGAGCAATTAATCATCCAGATATATCCACCAAGAGCTCCACGTTCTTAGTCGTAACCCACATCCCACATAACTACTAGGTAATTACATGCAGTCGGTATGCAAACATTCGGACTACGCATGATCCGTGAGAAACGATGCGACAGAATTCAATGTGTAAGGTATCTTCAAGTTGGTCAACATCCTCGGCATCTCCCTTGCCTAGCCAGCTAAGTAGGTTTGAAGTTGGAGGCGTTAATATAGCTGCAGCGCTATCCCGGTCATGGATAGCCTATGTCTCCGCTCTACCTAAGCATTTACATATCTGATCGATCCTATAGCATCAACATGCCATAGATGCCGATTGGTTAGTTGGCCACACCACTTGCACGCACATATCGTCTGTCGTATCCCTTGCCAACCGATAGATGTAGGTACATACACACCCATGAAAGAACTTATTTATACGATACCTGCTATTTAGTCACATCTACATGCGCGGTCCTCCGGGTTAACATGAGTCATACGGGTTAGTTCCCGCAACCTATTTCCTGTTTTAGAAGGCGCCCGAAGGATTAGGTATAGCAAATCGGTCGAACCGGCCTGTCAACGGCCCGTCCCAAAGACATATAAATAGGTAGCTCCCATACTTAGGTCCGGGTTCTCCCCCACTCCCGTAGTTGTCATCCGCTTCGTAGTAAGTCGCCTGCGAAGTTATAGGTTATTACGACAGGAAGCCCCTGGGTTATAGAACAACATGGCCCTAGACGCATTGGTCCCCAACGACCCTCGAGTCGAACATAAGTTTAAATCCTTTGGAGATATCAAATACCACTATGTCCTAGCCAAGCCACAGGGCAATCCGGTTGGCACTGCTCTTCTTGTCCATGGCTGGTGAGTGCCCCTGGGCCTGATAAACATCCAAGTTACTCACGAAGTCATCGGTAGGCCTGATCTTGGGTTTGCATGGCGATTCCAGGTCCCTTATCTCACGTCCTTGGGCTTGCAGGTCATTGTCCCGGATATGTTGGGATATGGGCAGACCTCTGCCCCTGAACCCGTCGAGGAATACACGATGAAGAAAATGACTGCTCATCTTGCAGCTATAGTTAAGGAGGTTACCGACCAGCCTATCATCCTCGGTGGACATGACTGGGGTGGGTTTTTCGTTTGGTAAGTTTCTAGCCCTTCATCATCGTCAGCGGCATGGTATGTCGCATCGCATCCTGGCAGCTATAGACTACAGCCTGCTGACATCCTAATTGGGAATATCCGCAATATCGAATATATGCTGACGCTATTCCCGTGTAGGCGCATGTATGCATACTACCCCGAGTTAATCCGAGCTATCTTTAGCTTGTGTGTACCTTACATGCCTCCGTCACCAGTAAAGCTCACGCTAGAGGATGTGGTGAGCAAGATGCCCAATTTCCAGTATCAGCTGCAATTGGCGAGCGGGGAAGCGGAGACCATCCTTAACAAGTCGCCCGAGAATATCCGGGCCTTCATGAACGGATTACTCGGTGGCACAACGCCGGAGGGTGCCCCCGTTATGAAAATCGAGGTCGGTGTCATCGAGGAGAACCTGAAAAATGTCAGCCCTGCCACGACTGTTAGTAAGGAGGTGATCGATTTCTATGTCCAGGAGCACTCGCGCAACGGTTTCCATGGACCGTGTAACTGGTACCGTACTCGCACCCTCAACGCCGATGACGACCTGGAGCTCGCGAAGAGGCCGGATCCCAGGGTCACAATACCGGCCATGTTGGTTATGGCTGAGAAAGATGCCGCGCTCCCACCCCGCCTGGCGGAGGGACAGGATAAGCTTTTCACTGCTGGGCTTAAGAGCGAGGTTGTTAGCAACGCTGGTCACTGGGTCATGATTGAAGCCCCAGAGGCGGTCAACAAGCATATCGGGGATTTTGTCAAGAGCGTTCTTGGGGATGAACTCAAGGCGTCGTTGTAAAATCGTATCAACTCATAGTCCAGTCGTAGGCGCTTAGGTACTATGTATGCAGTGAGCATTTGAAATACTATACTGGCCAGTAATCGTGTGATTGATAGATAGTATTCGTAATGGAGTGGCTCATTATTCACGACACACATTATCTAGCCAGTTCGGTCTCGTATGCTTACTGTTTGTTGCTATTCATAGATAATGAAATGTGTAGGTACCTAGTATGAAGAATCGATTGGGAGTGGTATGGAAAGTGAGTAGGACTAGATGCGAGTATAAACTATAGTAGTTGATGGAAGGTATCACGAAGAGGTTGAGACCTAGGTCAGGTAGATGAGGAGACTAAACCTAATACGAAATTCTTGTGCACCGTCGGGCGAAGAAACTACGTGGATGGTCGAAGCTACGGCCGACAACGCCACGATGAATATCGGGTAGTAACACCTCAGCCCCTGAATTATATGTTCGTTCACCTAAAATAAGATTGATAAAATATTCCAAGACTTTCTACACATGCGTCTACCCTTGCTAGGCTACCTAGTGGATGCTTACCTCCCTATTAGTTTCTTTCATTCTTTTATTTCACTTCCAACCGGCCGAAATATGAGGGCATCAATGACGAGGATTTATGCTTCCTTTCCCAATGTTGCACAAATGCATGCATATCTACCTACCATAGGTATAGATAATTAACCCGCGGCTCGGCAACCGCCCGAATGTTTTGCATTAAGGATGAAGTAAGATCTTTACTAAAGAAATAATGATCGTTGAATTGCCTAATCGATATCTAGAGGCATGCATACGTCAGCCATGTATATATGTATTTTCTGTTAATCAGACCCTCCTTTGGGAAACATCGAATATCGAACTCGCCTCATCAGCCACACCTGTAATCTCCTAAGCCTCTGCCTGCTCTACCAACTGAAAAGGCAATCATTAATAGTGAGCCAACTCGGGTTAGCTTGGCTTGCGTTACCCACACCCCACGGGCAGAAACTACTGGTCGACTTGGTCTTGGTTGCTCCTGACTGGAAGGCTGTGCAAAAGAAAAGACAGTCGTACACGAGCACGGGAGGCGTTGACCCACTTTATTATGCTACTGCTACTGCTAAGGATATTGCTAAGGCCAGGGCTTGGCTCGTCCTTAGATGCTACCCTTTTTGCATTTCTTGCGTTTCGACCTACTTTGACTGATTGTACATACCACCGCTGAACCGGTTGAATTTACCAGATTCTCTTCCACTGCCTCATCGTCAACGAGACAACTTTTCGATTATTATCACTCCCTCATCGTCATAATTGCGACCTTTCCTTTTCTTTCTGCATCGCTGCCCAGTTCTCGTCGGCCCAGTAACTGCATCCATACTTTCGATTCTCGCCATATACGAACCATCTCGTATTCTATACATACTCCTGTCTATCCCGCATAATTGGCGATTTCGAATATCATCCCGAAGCCAACAGCAAAATCATCTACACATGGGAACTTTGTATTAGGTCTTGAATTAATTACTACTCAATGAAGGCTTTAAACTAGGTCGACTGTTAAAATATTGGATTTCCGTCACGTCCCGGATGCCTCCAATCCCGCTCCCTTTGTAACATCCATTCCTTCGCGACATGGCGGGAAGGGCGCCTCCTGGAGGCAACCCTAATTCTGGGAATGACCTCTTACTCGACCTCGACGATAGCCCTCCCTACGGAGGGCAAAGACGACCTATACACGATGACCATTCATCTCGACCGTCTGTATCATACGATGATTTCGTTGGTGGCAGCCAAACCACCCACCCGGCTGTCAAAAACCCACCACCTGGCGCCGGCGCTTCGGGTCCTCGACCACCATACCTAGTTGATAACGATAGACAATACAGCCAAACATCCGATCTGCACAACTACCAAAGATATGCCGACGACTTCGATGATTATCCCGATGATGGACAGTCTTATTACCAACATGGAGGGGCTATGAACGCAGCCGACATGGAAAGTCGCGTCAATGCGCGCAACCGCAACAGCGTACTCGGGTTAGGAGGTGGTTTTTTGGGAAGGGCGAAGAATATGCTCGGCATGGGACAGAAGGGGTATTCAGAGATGGACCTGCCTCTAACGGAGCCTGGCCACGGAACGGGGGATTCGAGCACCGAATCTCGGAAGCAAAATAAGAAATTCGAGTTGAAGAACTTTAGGTTTGGCTTTGGCGGAGGTAAACCGGACCCGTCAACTCTAGGTCCTCGCATCATCCACTTGAACAACCCTCCTGCGAACGCGGCGAACAAATATGTCGACAACCATGTTTCTACCGCCAAATACAACGTTGCTACATTCCTACCCAAGTTCCTAATCGAGCAGTTCTCTAAGTTCGCCAACGTTTTCTTCTTATTTACGGCCGCCTTGCAACAAATTCCGAATCTATCTCCAACGAACCGTTATACCACTATTGGCCCTCTTGTTGCTGTTTTGCTGGTATCCGCAGGCAAGGAATTGGTTGAAGATTACAGGAGGAAGCAAGCCGATAGTGCTCTCAACAACTCGAAAGCTAGGGTCTTGCGAGGATCAACATTTGAAGAAACAAAATGGATCAATGTGGGCGTAGGGGATATAGTGCGAGTGGAATCAGAGGAGCCTTTTCCTGCCGATATTGTCTTGCTTGCGAGTTCCGAGCCAGAAGGATTGTGTTATATCGAAACAGCAAACCTCGACGGCGAAACTAACCTCAAGATCAAACAGGCGTTACCAGAGACTTCCACTATGGTTAGTCCGGCGGAATTGAGTAGATTAGGTGGCAGGGTCCGTTCCGAACAACCAAACAGTAGCTTATATACGTACGAAGCTACCCTGACCATGCAAGCCGGTGGCGGAGAAAAAGAGTTACCCCTCAACCCAGAACAACTATTGTTACGTGGTGCCACCCTCAGGAACACTCCTTGGATCCATGGTATTGTAGTGTTTACGGGACATGAGACCAAGCTTATGCGCAATGCCACCGCAGCCCCGATCAAGCGGACCAAAGTTGAACGGCAACTCAACATGTTGGTCCTTGCGTTGGTCGGTATGCTACTTGTTCTCAGTGTTATATCTACCGTGGGAGAGCTAGTTTTCCGATCCGTTCGATCGGATTCAATTAGTTACCTGCAGCTAGGCGCGCTTACTGAGCCCGGTGATGTAGTGAAGGCGATCTTCAAAGATCTCGTCACCTACTGGGTCTTGTTTTCCTCTCTGGTTCCCATCTCACTGTTTGTGACTGTAGAGATGGTCAAATACTGGCATGGCATTCTAATCAACGATGACCTCGATATTTACTACGATAAGACGGATACACCTGCAAACTGCCGAACATCTAGTTTAGTCGAAGAGTTGGGCATGGTCGGCTATGTCTTTTCAGACAAGACTGGAACTCTAACATGCAATATGATGGAGTTTAAACAAAGCTCAATCAGTGGAATACAATACGCCGACGACGTACCGGAGGATCGGAGGGCCACGGTGCAAGACGGTGTGGAAGTTGGAATCCACGATTTTAAGCGATTACGCGAGAACCTTAAGACACACGAGAGTGCCGAGGCAATGCATCACTTTTTAGCTCTCCTCTCAACCTGTCATACCGTTATTCCGGAGCGGGACGAGAAGGGCGGCAATATTAAGTACCAGGCTGCCTCACCCGATGAGGGTGCCTTGGTTCAGGGTGCCTCGATGCTAGGCTATAAGTTTGTTGCTCGCAAGCCACGATCCGTAATCATCGAAGTCGAAGAGAAGGAATACGAGTACGAGCTTCTAGCTGTTTGTGAATTCAACTCTACGAGAAAGCGAATGTCTACAATTTACCGATGCCCCGATGGAAAGATTCGACTCTACTGTAAGGGTGCAGACACTGTCATTCTGGAACGTTTGAATGAGGACAACCCACATGTCGAACAAACTCTGTTACACCTAGAGGAATATGCTTCTGAGGGTCTTCGTACTCTCTGTTTGGCAGTACGAGAGATTCCCGACGAAGAATTCCGCGAGTGGTACAATATCTTTGATAAGGCACAAACTACCGTGGGCGGTAACCGAGCTGATGAGCTAGATAAAGCAGCTGAAATCATTGAGCATGACTTCTACCTGTTGGGCGCAACTGCCATTGAAGATCGTCTCCAAGATGGCGTGCCTGAAACTATTCACACGCTACAGCAAGCGAATATTAAAGTATGGGTTTTAACTGGAGATCGTCAGGAGACGGCTATCAATATCGGCATGAGCTCCAAGCTACTGAGTGAGGACATGATGCTCCTGATCGTCAACGAAGAGGACGCTGTTGCGACTCGCGACAACATCCAGAAGAAGCTAGATGCCATCCGGAATAATGCAGATGGCTCAGTTGAAATGGACACATTGGCTCTTGTCATTGACGGTAAATCACTCACTTTCGCTCTAGACCCAGATATGGAGAAGATTTTCTATGATCTTGCTGTAATGTGCAAAGCGGTTATCTGTTGTCGTGTTTCACCGTTACAGAAAGCTTTGGTTGTGAAGCTGGTCAAGAAGTTCTCGTCGGAGATCCTTCTCGCTATTGGCGACGGAGCGAACGATGTGTCTATGATCCAGGCTGCCCATATCGGAGTTGGTATTTCGGGTGTTGAAGGTCTTCAGGCTGCACGATCGGCCGATATTTCCATCGCGCAGTTTCGATTCCTCCGCAAACTCACTCTCGTCCACGGCGCTTGGAGTTACCAACGTATCAGCAAAACTATCCTCTTCTCTTTCTATAAGAACATTACTCTATACATGACACAGTTCTGGGTAAGCTAACCCCATCTCTAACACTTTCACCACCATTTCTACGCATCATACTCTTGGCAAGCCCCAGACTAACGCAATAGTAGTACACATTCCAAAACGTCTTTTCAGGCGCCATCATCTTCGAGTCTTGGACACTATCCTTCTACAACGTCTTCTACACTGTGCTACCTCCCCTTGTTATGGGCATTCTAGACCAGTTCATCTCTGCGCGACTCCTCGATCGTTATCCGCAATTATACACACTGGGACAGCAAAATCAGTTTTTCAAGATCAGCACATTTGCGGCATGGATTGCAAGTGCCGTCTACCATTCTATCATTCTCTACATTTTCTCCGAGCTTATTTGGTACGGGGACCTGATGCTGGGCGATGGTACAATGGCAGGCCATTGGGTCTGGGGTACGGCCTTGTATGCGTCTACTCTTGCCACGGTTCTCGGAAAGGCTGCGTTAGTAACAAGCAATTGGACGAAGTACCACGTCATGGCGATCCCGGGAAGTATGTTGATATGGTATATTTTCATCGTTGTCTATGGTATCGTCGCTCCAATCCTTGGGTTTTCCAAGGAATACCATGGGCTGGTACCGAAATTGTTCTCTAACCCCGTGTTTTGGCTCCAAACGGTTACTCTACCAATGCTTTGCCTCCTCCGGGATTTCTCCTGGAAGTACGCGAAGAGGATGTACTACCCGCAGACCTATCATCACATACAAGAGATCCAGAAGTATAACATCCAGGATTACCGTCCTAGGTCAGTTTTAAGTCCAACCCTATTTTTAATTCCCACGTCGCAATGTCTAATGAAATATGCAGGATGGAACAATTCCAGAAGGCGATCAGGAAAGTGCGTCAAGTGCAGCGCATGAGGAAACAGCGAGGGTATGCTTTCTCGCAAGCAGATGAGAGTCAGACGCGCGTGATCAACGCGTACGATACGACGAGACATAGGGGAAGGTACGGCGAGATGCCGGCATCGACACCGGGCGCAAGGTAGTTTTTCGGCTGGCTCGGCTGGGGCTTGATTTTTAGTGCTTTGCATGTACCATATTTATATATCGTCCGGCAACATGTGCCAGGCTCGAACGATTACTACGATATTTTAAGGTTGTGGCCTAAGAGGCGCGGCGTAGCGTAGAAAGGGAAAGAAAAAAAGAGCAATAAGATTATTCAGGCGGTACGGTGATGAGTGACTATCGTGATTTGATAGATATTTGTTGTGATAAATCATGTTTCGATGTGAGCTATGGGTTAGTTACGCAGGCTCTCTCGCTGCCCTCGGGCTTCGGGTCCCCATCGATTGATGGAAACGACGCTTCCTATAAGGACTTATAACTTCAAGTATAGAGGAAAGCTAAGTTAGTCGTAGTCGTAGAATCCTTTCTCACGTCTCTTTTCAATATTACCGTCGCCGTCTGAACATGAGCGTTCCGTGCGTGCTAATAGTTTTCCAGCTTAATGACGTGGTACGCGGGTTCTTCGTACGGGTGAGCTCTTGAATAGCGCCATCTCTATTAGCAGGTTCCAGTCACCTATTGAGAGAAAGTTAAAGGGCAACATACCCCTTCAACGCAGCAACAGCCCCCTTGACAACGTCCTCGCCTATGCATAGCGTCTCGACACGCACCTCAGGTATCTTCTCCAAAGCCCCCACGCTGCCGATGTGCGGGTTCGCGGCGTCTCCTGGTCGGAACTGTCCCGTTCCTGACGTCGACCAGCAGCACTCCGTGTAGTTCCCCGGGCCGGGGTACCGGCCTGCCCCTGCGGCGAAGATGGCGGTTTTGCACTGGTAGGGAGTTAGATGGGAAGGTACATAATGTAGGAAAGGGGAAGGAAGGGAGGGGGTTACGAACGGCTTGGACTGCGGAAGCCGGGGCGTAGAAGATTAGTGTGAAGGATTTTACTGCTGCGGATGCCATGGTGTGAGGTCTAAGTTGCAATATGCTTGTACTTTCCATATTTTTAATTGCCTAGATATACGGCTTCGTAGAGTTTGGAAAGTGACTCAATGTTAATAGCAATGATGATAGTAGGAGCTGGGGTGGGGATGAGGCTCGATTATTCCTCTTTCTCCAATCATTGCGGCGGTTTCGACCCCGCGCCATGAGATTGAGATGAGACGTGTGTGGTTCGGCTATCTGGTAACACAAATTTATTAAACTCTATATCACGGCTTTAATTAACCTGTTACTAAAATGATAAAAAATTGTAGGTTTTGATCTTGTCGATCAGTTGTAGGTGGAGTGGAATAAATATATCTTGGTAAAGTAGAGCTGCCCGATCGATGAAGAGGTTATTGCTTATTAACATGGAATTCTAAGAAAGAAATATAGCGGTGGGAAGCTAGTCTCTCAACATATACTGTGTGTGTACGCAATGGAGATCTAATGGTTCGTGGTGTTGATTTTATATCCGGACGGCATATCAGGTACAACATAAGACCGATGGCTTAAGCCTGTTCGCTCTTGTTGAGAGTGGCTTATGTTTCTGAGACATCCACCGGGCCAAGCTTGATTTCATAGGGATATACAAACATTGGATGCAAAGATATGTAGTATGAGCTCATAGGATGCGTTATAATATTGTTGACCGAGCCGAAACGTTTGATGCATGTGCTTGTGAGAGTTGAGATTGTCCGGGTCGATATTCGGAATCTGGAATCTGGGGTCACCTACCCTTTTCAAGTGTCCCACCTTTATTCCCACATATGTGAAAGAGATATCGGACATATGCCTCTAAAATCATCTATTATTCCTACCTGTAAATCTTAAACAGCCAAGCAGCACCATTGCGATTCCTTGCAAGTGTTTGGCCTAACCTTCAACTCGATAAGTCCGGCGGAACGGGATCAACTGTACGACGAAAAGAGCTGTCTCCGGATGCCCGAATGATATCCGAGGCCCTTATCTTTCCGAGAAGAGTTGCTGATTCATTCCGAACATTGAAATCCGTGCCTCGTCGACCCAACAAATGGTGACTATAAGTAGTAAAGATATCATCAAACAAGGATGAAAATGATGTATGTATATCTGAAGTAAGATAAGATTGAAGAGGTCCGTCTTATGAACATTGAAATTTAGGGATTGAACGGTGGAAGTCTAAAATTATAAATACCTCAACTTGAAGTATGTATCTTTGATGAAAATAGAGCGGGACATAGTGGGGGTTACAACTCGACTAATCAATTTCAGGTTAAGTGTGTTCATATTTGGCCTAGCTTAATTGGATAAAAAGGGAAAACCGAGCTTCTGGGAAATCGGCAGGCTCCTTGGCACTCAACTGCTCCTGCAGAAGGAAACTAAAGACCCCTGTATCCCACGGACACGGACTTCGCTGGTAAGCTCGTTGCCTTTTATGGAAAGGTTAACAAAAGAAAAGGGATTTCGAGACCCGATCCACCTAAAAATTCCTCACATTTGTTCCAATTGACGATGACTCTTTGCTGACCCTTACCTTTTTCACCTAGTAGTTTTTTTATTGATCGTCTAGATAACCTCCCGCCCCACGAAACCTTTTTTTTCTTCCCATTATATTCTTGATTTTCCCTAAGCACCCGTCCGTCTTTTATCCTTTTTGCCCGCACGGTAACTTCGCCGTTGGTCACGATCTGATGGCGTCGTCCTCAAGGGCATTAAGTCGGCTCACGGGCTCGGCTAGCAGACAGTTGTCTGTGCATGCGAATGCGCCCGCCGTCAACTTTAGTACGACGTCATGCCCGCGAACCCCAACTTCCGCCTCCACTGTTGTCGCAAGAGCACGTGGAAGAGCGACAGTCCTCCCTCGCCAATTCACGAGATCCTATGCCGATGCAGCTCCGACAAAGAAGCCGCGCAGAATTCGTAACACCTTGAAGTGGACATGGCGATTTACCTACCTATCCCTCATCGCTGGTGTCGGTGCCGTCATCTATGATGGCTACTTAGACCGTCACCCGGAAGAGCAATACATCCCTGACCCTCAGAAGAAGACCTTGGTGATCCTTGGTTAGTACTACCTAAAGGCTAATTGGGTATCAATTGCTATTTATTTGGATATATCTGACTATTTCTCCCCAAAGGTACCGGATGGGGTTCCGTCGCCTTACTCAAGAAGTTGGATACTGCCAACTACAATGTCGTTGTTATCTCGCCCCGTAACTACTTCCTATTCACGCCTCTACTGCCCTCTTGCACTACCGGAAATATCGAGCACCGCTCTATCATGGAACCCGTCCGTCAAATCTTGCGCCACAAGAAAGCCGCTGTCAAGTTTTACGAAGCTGAGGCCACTCATATCGACGTCGACAAGAAGGTTGTCAAGATCACCGACAACAGTGATATCAAGGGAAAAGTCCACGAAACCGAAGTCCCTTACGACATGCTCGTTATTGGCGTGGGTGCCGAGAATGCTACATTCGGTATTCCTGGTGTCCGTGAGCACAGCTGTTTCCTAAAGGAGATCAAGGATGCCCAGGCTATTCGTACCAAGATCATGGATTGTGTCGAGACTGCTGCTTTCAAGGACCAGGAACCGGATGAGGTCGATCGTCTTCTCCATATGGTGGTCGTTGGCGGTGGCCCTACCGGTGTCGAGTTTGCTGGTGAGCTGCGGGATTTCTTCGACGAGGATATCCAGAAGCTTATCCCCGACATTGCCCCGCGGTTCAAGGTCACCCTGATTGAGGCACTACCCAACGTTCTACCTATGTTCAGCAAGCAACTCATCGATTACACCGAGAGCACCTTCAAGGAGGAGCACATAACCATCATGACTAAGACAATGGTGAAGCGGGTAACCGATAGGGCGGTCGAAGCTGAAGCTATTGGTCCCGATGGCAAGAAGAAACTGATCACCATCCCATTCGGCCTTCTCGTGTGGGCCACCGGCAACACTGTTCGCCCCATCGTCAGAGATCTCATGGCCCAAATCCCCGCCCAGAAGGACTCGAGACGCGGCCTTGCTGTTAACGAGTACCTTGTTGTTCAGGGAGCCAGGGATATCTGGGCTGTTGGTGACTGCGCCGTCGCCGGATACGCGCCAACTGCTCAAGTCGCCTCTCAGGAAGGCGCTTTCCTCGCTCGGCTGTTCAACAACATGGCTAGAACTGAGGATCTAGAGCAAAGGGTCCGTGACCTTAGCTCCGGTCTGAACCTCAAGCCTGGCAACACACCAGAGGTGACACAAGAGATTGAAGAGACTGAGAAGCAACTTCGCCGTATCAAGGACGTCAAGCCTTTCCACTACTCCCACCAAGGCAGTCTAGCTTATATCGGCAGCGAGAAGGCTGTGGCTGATGTCGCTTGGTTGAACGGCAACGTCGCCACTGGTGGCAAGCTCACCTATCTCTTCTGGCGAAGCGCTTACTTGAGCATGTGCTTCAGCAGTATGTATATCCCTCTATTGATTTGAATGATTGATACTAACAATTTATCAGCTCGCAACCGTGTTCTCGTTGCTCTTGATTGGGTCAAGGCTAAGCTCTACGGACGAGACGTCTCCCGAGAGTAAATGCCACTACCTAATAATACCTAATCTCACCCCAAAGCCTTCCGACCCATCTCGAGATTTTCCTATTCGAATCGGATTTGATGAGTTTTCTCTTCCATGGGTCCGGTCACCTTGTATATCTCGCCTTCGCGGAGTTTGGAGAAGTGCCAGCAAGACACAATACTACGAGAACGGACTGGAAAGGACTGGTTTTTCTGAAAAAAGGGGGCATGAATGGCACGCACACAAAACGCATAGAGAGTGGTATCCTGTCTTAGGAATCCTAGGTTGTAGGTTAGGATAGGATAGACCGGCGTTACGCGAAGCTTGCTGGGACGCGCTTCCGTTTGTATTATGATCAGTAATTCACCATCGATGATTTTTATACGGTGATATGTGAATGTCTCTTGACTACAGGATAGAGGGCGTTGGGGATATGATGATGATTGATAAGTGGTCCGGATAACTTAGCTGTATACATCTAACTGAACTCTGCTCTACCCTTAACCGCATCACGATGTAGCTCTCATGCCAGCATCGACGGGATCAATACAAACAATTATAATCAATTCCAATATAGCCAATGTCGATTCATTAAGTGGCATGCATAATGCATATACTCATATTTTCTAAAACTACCTAGTACTTCCGCATTTACGGTCCTTATATAGTACTTCGTGTCTCATTCCTACTCATCGAGGTACATATATTGTTTAAGGATGAAACAAGTAAATACAAACATATTCAACACTTGCTGTAGCAATGAACTCTCAATACATGTACACGGTCACAGTTTATACGAAAACGAAGCATGGTGAAAGGTAGATAGATATTTAGATATTTTATACGAGTTCCTGGTTGTTACCCCAAGAGCTATAGAGTGCAGGCCTCCGATAGATCGCACACGTAACCCGACTCCCCGGATGGTTGCATGCTGGTTCATCGAACACATGCTTTAGATAAACCTCGGCTGTAGTTGTATAGAAGAGCATAGCCGACTCCTTAAACCTCAAGAAGGGTCGAATGCACATGGCATTCATGTGAAAGTGATAAAGCACAAGTTAGATGATCAAGTATGTACCTCTCTTGAATTTGGAATGTCCAACTGGAGTCAATGACGTCCATATACCCAAGACCAAGATTTCCAAGATTTCTTTTTCAAATATCAGGGCCGTTATGATCGACCAATTAGGGCGATCAAACCAGATGGCATCTTGATATCCCACATGCCTCCCATATACAACGAATGGCATCAATTCGATATAAGGACCTCGTGCGCAGCTCTCAAAGGCCGCAGTCAAGCCATAGGAGCGACTGTATAGCCCAAGGGTGCAAGACGCGTGTGGTTAGTTCGCCAGTGGCTTTGCGGCGGGTTCCCTGACCATGGCATAAAGCTTGATGGCGGTGCCGTCGTCATTGCACTCTAGCTCCTTCGCGAACTTGAAGCCGAAGCGGCCGTAGATCTGCATGTTGGGCACGTCCCGGCTGGACTCGAGGTAGCACTTCATGCCCTCGATGTCAGCCTGGTCGGTCACGGTCTCCATCATGATGCGCCCAATTCCCTTGCCCTGGGCCTTGGGCGACACGACCATGATGTTGAGGAAATAGTATCCCCGAGGGTCGGTCCAAACGGCCGATTGGGCTTTTTCTTGGGTCTCTTTCCATATGTAATAGCGCTAGATATTTGTCATTTAAGTCAGCGACCTCATTTCTGTTTTATTTTTCTTAGTTATGGGTGTTCGAAAGGCTGTGTTATGTTGTGTTGAAAAGTCGAAAATGATCACGTTCGTTCGGCAGCCAGTCCTGATCGCTCGGATGACACAGGTGCTGAAACGATCCATGCGCATTGCGAAGGCGAGGCGGGGCCCTCTCTTTCTCGCAAGAAAGCAACCTCCTGTTCCGACTGGTGAATCATGTTCATACTACCTTGACGTATGATTTGTAAAAGGAAAGGGAAGGGGAGAAAAATCAATCAACCCGCGAAATGCAGCCAAGTCGGCAGATCAAAATGCTTGTATTTTTCTCGAAGCGGAGACTTTTACCCGCGTATCGCTTAGGTAGGAGCGGAAAATCGATCAAACTCACCTTGACGTTGAGGCCCCCTCGGCCGTAGACGAGATTCATCCCGACCTGGTTAAGCCATAGCTTCCAGCCCTCGACCCAGTCATGCCACGAAGACGGCTGTCCTGCGGTCTGCGGCCTAAGCCAGCAAGCAACGCCGAGGACCTCATCACTTCCTTCTTCCTTCGCAACGTGGAAAATGCCGTTGCGCATCCCCCATCGGCACCGAATGCCAAGAGAGGCCGCGTTGCGCTGCGCGTTGAACTGATGAGAGGCATTAGTATACTAGTATGCAAACAAGCACGAAAGACCAATCATGATTTAGTTTCAACTCTAGCCCCTATAGAGGCGAAACAATTGGCACAATGGCAACTATCTAGGAAATTAAGTTATACGAGAAACACACTCGCGTGATGAGCGAATGTGTACGCGGACGCAAAGAAAACGTGCAATTGACAATAGGCAATATAAATCACGTTGCGCGTCCCACTCCACGCCTTTGAAACGGAGTTGCTTGGCGTACGTTCGTGGAGATTTGGGGATGGGCTAGGAATTTGGCCGAGCCCGGGACTAGGAAAGGTAAGGCAGGTGTTCTTCATTCGAAAGAGGGAAACATTCGGATTTTGAAACATTTTGAATTTGCAATTCGGTAAAGGTTTTGAAAAAGAAAAAACATGCGTACCGTGGATTTGTCGAAGACCCAATTTCTGTACGGATCATCCGCGAAAGCTTGTCTTTAGTGGTTGCGAAGGGTTTTGGTTAGCATGAATGGTAAGGAGCTGAAGAAACTCATCAGCCGCAGCGCCCCCTTTGCGCCCCCCTTTTCTCCCCTCAGGTCATGTATGTACGATACGACGGTAACGACGGGTTATCACTAGCCGGCAGGCTGGAGGAACGAGGTAACACTTACTGAATCACGGATACAGCACCTGGAATATCTGCTTCGGTAAGGAGGGAGACTCGGACTGTCATGGTGTCGATGGATCCGATTCGGTGGAATTCGCCGACTTATACGAAAATGGAAAATGGAAAATAGGTAATGTATAATTCACTCTGTATGAATCGATCTAAGGCTATTTACTTCCCTAGGCTGCACCATACCTACAAATGTATGTATATGTATAGTACGTGTGACTGAATATCTCGAGATTTCTTCAAGCACAGAAGAGGGAATTTATAGAAGCAAGTTATCTTTGATTGAGAGACTTTGTCGAACTGACGTTTGTTCAGGGGGGTTAGTGTGATAAGCAAAAAAAGAAAAAGCATTTACGTAGTAGATAAGATAGACTTTCCGAGCTTCTAGAGGCCATGAAAGGTTATAAGACGCTAGGGTATCTGTGAGTTCAAGGTTTAGCTTCTATTCCCGTTAGCGTCATTGGTATCTTGCTGTGATCCCTCTCCTGATAGGTGCCGTGCCTTGTCGTGCTGTATAGCATTACATAACCGGAACCAGACCAGAACTGATCGACTATCAGATGTTCAATTCCACGCCTTCTCTATACATAATACAGAACTACCATGGACCCAGACTCACTCCACTAGATCGGTCTTCTCTGAAGTTGTGGATGTTGGCTTTTAATACGCCTTGCCTCAGTAGCCTAAGAGCTTTATGTGATCCCTGCTCCGTTCTTACCTAGATAAGCCACAATCTCACCAATGTCGCCTTGGGTGGACGTGAACACATTGTTCAAGAAGCACGTGCTAGAAATAGTTGGAAATAGCATCGCAATTGCGATAGGACAGTAGCATCGTTCAGCTTACCGTAGCCTCGTTGGGATGATATTGGGTCTCAATATATCATGTATAAGCTGACGAGGATTCAATTTTGGTGCCCCCAAAGTCGCCAAGCTATAGGATTCCACGAATGAAAACACAACCTCAACCTTGCCTTCTTTCCGCGAGGTATTTCAACTTCTAAATGTCGAAATATCGGGTCTAGTTAAGTAAGGCTGAGCTCCAGGCTTCTCTTGGCTCTATCCGAAATAGCTACGTTTTGTTTGATATTTAATGGTGAGGGTAGACCAGATCTTGGGGTTTCTCTTTCTCTTTCGTGTAACCTACTCCGTTTTGAGATATCTAGAAACTTTTTTAGTCATTCCTCGGCATCTTCACACCATTCGCTTCGCAGCTCTGCTAAAATGACGACAACTAACCCGAATGGCCTAACCGACAACTGCGTATTCGTGACCATCGGACGGCTACTTCGTATCACACCGGAAGACGTAGCGATAAAGACTGAATACCTGCAAACGGCAGATGGGTCGGGAGGCATACCCTCATTGAGCGAGATCCGTTGTATTCTCCACTACACTGGAAGATATTTCCAGGCAGTGGAAGGTCATTATCTGCCACCTCAAGGCATCAATGAATGCGGCCTTCTGTACTACAGAAGAGACGGGAGTGGGCATGCGGTGGTCATGGAGAAGGTGGGGAGTAGCTGGTGGATGTATGATTACCAGCATCGTACCGGGAGACGATTGTTAGATTGGAATGCGGAGGTTGACAGAGTTGCGATGGTTTTTTGGTTTCTTGGTTAGCTTAGTTGAGAGATCTTGAAGATCAAACTTTAGCAGTCTATGTGGCTGAGATGTAGCTGAGATAGCGAGGCTAGTAGGGGATCGAACAGGGTTAATTCTCGGTAGTCTCCCGGGGACCGGAAGAAAGAAAGCCTTCGAGTATTCCTTCTCGGAAGGACCCTAGCCCTGCAGTTGCCCTGTCTTTCTTCGGGTGAAATTATTTCTTTTCGTCTTAACTTACCTTGGAAAGTCCATCCTTATCATGAACAACTTCAACTTTTTTTCTTCAATGTTGATACGAAAACAATTCTGTCACTTGCTTGCTTCGGGTAGAGAATCTTCCTATCTATCCGGGCCAATGGATTCTTCAATGATTATAGTCCTCGGATCTGTACAAGCTTTCTCAAATCTGGATGTGATCTATCTTCCAAGTCACGATCAGCAAACCTCAAAGCTTAAAGGTTACAACCTAGATCCTCCTTGTGAAGGAAAAGCTTCCGGTGACTTGGCTGGGTTGGCGCCGAGTCGCTAACATTGCTCTTTTGCGTGCTTACCTTGTAGGTACCTAGGTATATACGCGTATGTGGCTATCCCCCTACAGGATGATTTGCCTCTTGGCGAACGTGAAATACTTGGAGACCCAGGTCCTCCTCACCAATCTCGAAACGTCGGTCGTCTATCTCACTCATCTCGTCTTTGTTATGAAGTGGATTGGAGTCGCCATAAGAAAGTAAACTACGTATGATTACTTTAATCATTTCTATGAGGCGATTGAGAATGCTCTCCTGAGTATTCTCGCATGCTGTTGTGTTGCAACAAGCGCCAGCAGGACTTCTCGAGATGTTGCAGGGTGTTAAAAGCCAGCACGGTCCCAGTAGAAATGCAAGACGCTGATCTGTATCAAGTTCGGCACCGTTGGTCGGGACCCTGGATGAAACTTGGAACTCCCCTGGAACTCCCCGCAAATAGTCCCTGTCTGAGACAGGACGCCCCTGTTGTTTTGTTACAACGTCCCCTTCAAGTTCTATGCAGCAGTGCGGTAACGTCGATAACCACCATTGGAGAATCCAAACTTCAGAGTCGCCGGCGAAACTGTATGAGGTTTCGCTGCGCTACTCCCTCCGACCGCTATTGGGCGACGATGAACAGGAGATGGTCTTCATATGGACATGCCAGCCTCCTTAGCCATTAAGCCTCAAACTATCCAGACTTCCAGATACTGGCTGGTGGGTTTTTCGGTTCTTGCAAACCGACATTGGCGCGCGCCTTCGTTCATATCTATCTATCTACATTCGTAATTTGTGTTCAGACGCGACAATATCGACTCATCATGAGAACACCGGCATAACATTGTTTCCCAAACAGCTTTAGTAGAATAGCTGATCTTTCTTGGAAGCAGGCTGTCGTCGTAAACATATTAAGTAATCTGGCCGATGCGCATAGTTTCTGCAGATGATGGCGTGCTTGCTTCTGTGGCAATGAAGCCTGGCAGCATCGACAACAAAGTTCAATGCTCTAATAGAGTCTAACCTCATTCTAGAAGAACCCGTCGGCAGTATGGACCTGGACAAGAGAAAAAGTATTAGTCCCACATGGCAATGCCATGTTGATTGACCAGGGATGCGGCCGTCCAGGGTTCGTCGAAGGGGCCTCCATTCACACCCTTGAGACATGTTGCATCTGATACGCCTTTTCTCAATTCGTTTTCTCTTTTCTCAATACTTTGTAACACCGATATCCCTTGGCTCTTTTTTCTTTCTTTCAATTCTTCTTCTCTCTTTTCTTCTCAAGGCGGGCCTTCTTGTATTCCATTCGTCAATCCGCAGGCTTGGGTTCTTGGTATTCAGTTCTCTCCATCCTGTCGCTTCTGTCGCTCTCGGTCTGCCAAGTCGATTTCATTTTCCGGTGAATCTTAATACTAATTGTCGTTCGTTATCTCGCTGTTTCGCCTATTCGGTCATGTTATGAAGGAACCAAGACAGGTGCTTGGATGCAGCGCATTTCGACGCACTTAACATTTTAAATTATAACATGCCGTCATCTAACAGCAAGCGACAATCTCAGGAAACCCGATTATGGAAATATTCACCAAAGATGTATCGACGATCGAAGCTTCAGTTGCGCGGTAGTCTGGGACGTGGAGATTCTGGGGGCGACTCTCTTAGCAGTAGGGGACTGAGGTCGCGCTCGGTTATTACTCGAGATCGAGCTGGTAATTTCGATGGACGCGAAGACGACGATGATGTTGAAGGGCGTAACTTTCGCACATTTGATCAGGCTTTAGTTGATGATGAGATATCGGACAGTTCTGACGAATCTGGAGATGATATTGGAGGTTTTAGTGACGACGATAGTGATGATGACGAAGTTGTCAATACCCCACAACAACAAATACAACCACCACCGCCGCCTCCGCCGCCTCCTCCTCCTTCTCCCCCATCACTGGCGAAGTCTTCGGGCTCTATCGTCACGCTAACAGCTCTACAACCTCCCCGAACTACTGCTGGGTCGGGGATCACGACTACTCCTCTCCCAGTACTACCAACTCCTACGAAACCTATTCTGGTACGCATATATACCATCGAAGCAAATATTACATAAACTAACTAATTGATTACCAGGCGGTACAAACACTCACAGAAACAGATGATTTTAAGTACCCAGTTCCTACGTCCGATAGAAAGGAAGCAGGCGATCCAAATACTTTACCTTCATCTACTTTTACCACCAAGTTCCTGTCAACATCTACGACTATCCCGGCGGCCATAGCAACAGCTTCAACGACGATAGGGCAAACTCCACAACCTGTCCTGGACAATGGCGACGATAGTTCCGATGGTGACAAACATAGAATGCACGATAAAAACCCTCCTCCTCGAGGATTAGACCCTGTAGCGGAACACCTTCTCATCGCTGCGGGTGCTATCGGTAAGTAAACAAATAGTCGCCTTCTTTGACGAAATAACCAGCTAATATGCCCTAGGTGCATTTATTCTATTTTGTTTCATTGGCTGGATCATTTATAGGGTCATGAAGAAAACTAAGGGTCAAGGTATTGGTGTCAGCGGTGGTATGGGTTTCATCGATAAATTTCCCTGGAAACGACGGGGACCCATGGATGGGGCTTGGGATGGTCGTGCGATGTATATGACCAACGAGGCACCCCCCAACTATGAAAAGGGTGAATATGGCGGCGCTATGCAATCAGGAGTCTATGGACCTGGGAAGCCATATCCACCTGGGCCTGGCAGCGCCGCTCGTTCGGTCATGTCAAATTCCGAGATGGGAACACTCCGCCAAATGCCAAATAATGACTCGGCACTAGCCAGCATTCTCGACCAGTATCCGGCGGATAATGAAGGCGCCGCCAATAATAATGTGAACCTAACTTTAAGATCACAATCGACACAGCCATATTATACTGCATCAGAGCTCGTTCGTCAACAACCGGATACATATACTCCACAAAGACGGGCTGGGAACCGGGCTAGCGAACTATCATCGATTTCCTCTGGATTTGGCGACGGCGACATCATCATCCCACCGCCATTGGCGGCCAGCAAATCTTCCGCGGATGAAGATGTGGATGACTCAACTCGAGAAATCGCCCGAGACTCTGCTCGAGATTCTCGCCGAGAGTCTTGGATGGACCGAGAAGAGGGTAGAAGGGAGACGGTATATACAACTACGAGTGAGGATCGACCGGCTCGATTTCGATCTATAACTAGCTGGGTGAACCAGCAGGCAGGTCGAGCAAAACGAGCAGGATCAAGGGCACGGGAACGTGGGGAGGTGCCAGTCATGCCAGCAATTCCAGGCGAAATAAGCGCGATTCGACAGACAGCTTACCGGTGATCTGTCATCCAGTCTAATTCAACAAAGCCCAACGCGATACTGAACTCAGTTTTGACTACTATCATAGCACTACAGGGTCTTTTTTTTCTTTTTTTCCGAAACCTTGACCGAAGATATATGATACTAAAGAGAAGCCGACTTACATACATTAGGATCGCGATAGGGTCTCATATTTCAAGATATAAAAAAGAACGTTGTGTCGTATTCATGTACACTAGCCAATGTAGTGTATATGTACATGTAACACTTACACATGTATTGTGGTCACCAGTTTGACGATGCATTTCACTTCACTTAGCGTCTTGTACAGTTAGAATTCACTTTCTCGCTGGCGTTGAGGTCAAAATTTTGAGCATTTTATACCACACATTTCTCATGTCAGAAGGACTGGAAGGAGGATTCGTGTAGAGAGAATTAATGTAGAGGAGCGAATGATAACGATTATTACAGACTCGATTCGTTTCAATCAAGTTGTATAGCAACCGCATTTGAATTTTTTTAGAAACGGCTTGGTACGTGGGTATATCCTTTGACATTGAAGAGATCTAATCCCAAATTTCTTTTTTTTTTCTTTTTTTCGCGCCATATATAGCAAACTCGCAATACAAGGAAGGCCAGTATTAATGCCTCAACGATCTGGAAGTATTGGAAATTTTCAAGTGATCTGCTCTATTCAATATGGCGCATAGGTAGTACAGATGATCTCATGTGGAGCAATTTCGTCGTTGATGTCGGTGTTATTTCTTGACAAATTCCGCTGTCAGTTATTTGCTGGCTGTCACAAAGATCGTTCTCTACCCACTGGAAGCTTTCAGACGTAATCATAAAGAAAAGAGAAAAAACTACTTATGATGGAATCAAGCATAAATCAGACGCGTGTTGTTTATGACTGAGCTGAGTTGGCCTGGAAAAGCGGAAGTTACTAATCATGGTAAACCGGTTGGATTGGCAGAAGGCGCTGCTGTCTGAGCTGAGATACACAGCCTCAAGCTAGTGGCGCGGTATTCCTTCAGTTCCGTTACCCGCTATAAAATAGCGGGGAGTAGCGGGGAGGTACCTTGTAAAGAATCTATGGATAGTAAAAATAATAGCAACATGTCCACCGATAGACCGGCAGCAACAACAGCTGACCGGGAAGTAACGAACTTTCGGAATGCATTGTAAAGGCAACGAAGCACGTTGCGAGGTTGCAAACAAAATGGAAAGCACATGACGACAATGAGACCGATAACACCTTCTGTTGCCCGCAGAATGTCGGGATCTCCAACTTTCGTATACTACCTACATACCCGGGTAGCAGGTACTGTCCGGTATTAGTATACATAGCCCTAATATTAGGCAACCTCTTTTTTCCCTCTTCGTTCTTTCATCCTGTATCTAGTAAAACATTACGTTGACCTTTTAAGCTACAAGTTAATCAAACCTTGGCGTGCGCTCCCTTCTTCTTTTGCAACTCAGCCTCATTATCGTCGCTATATCTACGGTACCGATCTGCGCTGCGCTTAGTTTTCTCTTTCGTCAACCCCCTACCTAAGTACATTACTTACCCACCTACATAGGAACGTACATCAGATCACCTACAGTCGCCCTAGAGATATTTATTTAGAAACCAACTGAACTCCCTTCTTTTATTATTTAACACATTGTACATCGTCTATATTAGTTGGTCGCCTATCGAGTTTCCCTTGTGTACCTAGTATCCAGCTCCGATCGTAAAGTGTGCATACAAACGAATCAATGAACCATTACAACTTCTAAAAATGCTCGACGAGAACCTACCAACTTTTTTCTTCCGACATTCGGCCAATAACCCTCTTCTAAACATCCTCTACTTCACCCAGAATGGCTCCGAGCCAGCAGCTGAATACTCTCTCCAGAAGATAAATCCGGACCTTCCCCAGTCCAAGAACAAGTATGCCATTGCCTTGGGGGATGCGGGCATTCAGGACGTCATTTTCGGAGAGGTCACAATCGAGCCCGAGTTTCAGCAACCCACACTTTCCGCCGCCGAAATCCGACAGCAAAATGGCGTTCCACCTCCTCCCGTACCTATGATACCCGACGGTTTCACGATACAACTCTACAACCCCGAACAGAAGGTAGCTGTGAAAGGCGAAAAGAGTACCTGGACAGGCAAAGAGTCGTGGGAGTTTGAGATGCCCCAGCAGAGTTTCCGCATGCCCTCGGTGTCTAAAGTCGACCGCGCGCAGACTAATCCGGTCGCGAGCGTACTTACACCCAAGATCATGTTCAAGTGGAAGCGGGACAGCAAGTTCTCCAAGGATATGACATGTTACATGACAGGTACTTCTGTGGGTGGCAGAAAGAGCAAGGATCCAGATATCACAATAGCCTTGTACAAACACGGCCGCGAGCCGACCGTTACCGTCTACGAACCAAACCTGCAAAGGGTGGATATCGAGGATCGCAAGGGCCTGGAAGTAGTATTACTACTCGGCGCAGAGGTAATCCGCGAGATCTACCTCTTCCCCAACCGGGATTCATTCAATATCGTCGGCGCGCCCTCTCGGCGCAAAAACTCGCGGCCTACCCCAACCCCAGCACCGGCGTCTACATCGCCGACGAACATACACATGATGAGCGGCGCAATGGGAAACGTGCCTCCCGCTACGAGCACCTCGCCCATCACACAGCAACCTACGCCGCCTAACGAGGCGAGACTCGAGGCCGAGGCTAAACGCATGCAAGCGATGAAGCAGCAGGAAGAGCGCGAGCGCGAGAAGAGAGATCGCGCAGAACAGAAGCGCATTAAGAGGATGCTAGAAGACGAGGAGCGGGAGCGCCAGCGCCGGGACGCGGAAGTCGCGAAGGAGACGGAGAGACTGAGGAAACAGTTCGGTATGGAGGGGCAAGATTTCGGTCCCAAACCGACGCTGCCGCCTCGGTCAAATGTCGCGGGACCGAGTGTGTCGCTGCAACCTCCTCCAATCCCGCCTCCGCGACCCCTAAGTGCGGGACCCAGACCCCATGCTAATAGTGGTGGAGGTGGGTTTGGGAACTGGTTCCACGGACTCGGGACGAGTCCCGGGATGCCGATGATGCAGGGTGGGCTCGGGTACGGGTATGGCAATCAACCGCAGACCGGGCAGGGAAGGAGGAGGGGTGGGAGTGCGGATTCGGGGAAGGTGCAGAAGAAGAAAAGTACTTTCTTTTGATGAGGAGAAGGGGAAAAGTACCCATTCTCGGGAAGGGTTGTTGTTATAGAGCTTATGAGAAGGCGTGTATAGATAAAGCTCATGATTGGTAACTTGAGATTTCAACGGCATTTTTTGGAGCTTGGCGTGTTGGTTGGACGGCCCGGTGTACAGCACGGCGAGGGCTCGCAGCATGGAATTAGATGGTGCTGGTTTTACACTGGGATGGGATGGGATGGGAATGGGAATGCGGAGAGGTTAGGGCAGGTTCGGGCAAACTGCTTCGTTAGATATGATTTAATGATACCCACGAATTGGTTTTTGAGGTTCTGGTTTTATTTGATGTGATACTAGGTGATGGAAGGAGTTTGGAGATGAATTTTTATGCCGTTGACGATCTTTTTTCGTTGCTGCCGCTGCTGTCGTTGATGTTTTGAGGTAAATTTGGATTTTGGACTCACGTCCATTTTCGTAGATACGTATATGCTTTTGATCCTTTGCCTCCTTCTCCCTATCTCCTTTTCTACTTTGATCTTCACTACTTATATTCAAATGGCTTTATGTTGTTTAGATGATTCCTCCTTGTCAACATCATCTTCTTTTTTGGCGACTTTCTCATTTTCCTTATATTCGCTGTTTATGCCAATTCTCTTCTATAAAGCCCACTAACTCGTAAGGAAAAATTAGTGAATTTTAGAGAGTATTGGTATTTGATGATATTAGTCTAGTAATATCATGAAGCTTGCTTTATGATTTTCATTCTCTGTTGGTCGAAGTCGTCATTGGCCCGTTCTTCTCTCGGTATGTTCTATCTAAATGTTTTTCGAATATGAAAATTTATTCGAGGCTCCTAAATTTTGAAACATGGTTATATATACGTTTACACTTGTGTATTCGTTTCATTTATTCGCTGTAAGGCGAATTGAAAAGATACTAGGGCTTAGGACTACAATAAAAAGGGGTCTATAAAAGGGGTAATTAAAATAAAGTCCTAGACAGAAACCCCATCCCATAACAACTACGACGATTTAACTTCTCCCAAACATAGTTTTGCAGTTGAATATTAAAAATGCTGTATCTAGCATGTCTTACCTCGTCGCTATTGACTTAATCAATAATGATTCAACATTTCAACCCAAAATATAATTCGTAAAATAATGATATACTAGGAATAATATTATACCTGGAACTAGTATATACCTAGATATGTCTTATATATACTTCATTTATTTTGTAAAAGACCATGATCTAAACTTACTGGAGGTAATTTCTCCGTTTTAAAAAATGCCGTCTTTATCATAGAAATAGTCATGCCCACAAACCTTTCATGCCGTAATTGCTTTTGCCTGGTTCTTGTTACCTTGAGCAAGAATGTAATTTATCTAACCATGTCAGATGACCCATAGCTGTAGAGTCATTGAATATAATATAAGCAACGGGATACGTGAATCGTCGTATACAAGATCAAAGTGACCGTAATTACTCACCTGATTCAATTTCTACTCCTGGCTCCCTCCACACCTCGAAGTCGACTGCCGAACTCTGAATGTTCTCGGCCATTAACTATCTCTTCGGAGATCAAAGGAATGTACATATCCATCTCATAGCAAAGTTAACCCCTGGCACCTGTCATATTCCTAAGGAAACTGTCATAATCAGACTGTTCACAGTTGTCGATAATCTCTCTAGACGACCAAAGTGGAAGTGCCTCCTTTCCCCGTTCTGATATTCACTCTTAGCTCCCGCCATCTCTAAGTTGTCTATTATAGCCTAAGTGTTCCTAGCCAACAGCTGGCCCTCTAAACGATCGAAGGAGAAAGATCCGGAATATCATCACATCGAAGATGGAAAGCAGTAGGAAAAGTTTTCCTCTGGACCCGCGTGTATCCGCTTGAGATCAACAGACGGGAACCAAAACAGATGGCCTTCATCTAGGGCAAGATCCCTAGGGTTTTATTATTTAAACTCAGCTTCCCAATGCATGTCAGACCAAGCTCCTCTACACCACGTACGCAGCACCATCTATAAAAAACCCATCTCTAAATCACTCCCAACCTTTCTACCATTAGCTACCCAGATTCATACCTTACTATATCACTTTCTGAGACCTCCCAAAACCAATTAAGAATCCATGGCTGACCAAGAGGGGGCTATCCGTGAGCACCATCGTAACATCTTCAAAGGTGTTACTATCCGTGTCCACGAGGACGACGGCTATTTCCTTTGGCCTAGCATCCTTGAATATGCTGTTGAGAAGCATGGTGGACACTCCGAGCATGGCATGAAGGAGAACGTAAACTATCTCGTGGCTTACCATAAGCATTTCAACCCTGAGACCACTACGGTTCAGAAAGCCAAGGAGCTGGGTGCGGCCATTGTTACTCCCGACTACATCAAAGCAGTAGCCCTATCGGGTCGTTTCCGTGAGTATATCTCCTATATTACACTTTTTTACTTCCCTTTATTCACTAGCATCTCTATCGTAAATTACTCAATAGCTCAAACGATACGAAACCATGAACTACCTGTATATTATGATGACCTTCATACTGACACATTACTGCTGTAGCTGACCCGTCCGAGTACAACCCTGAGAATTTCCCAAATTACCCCATGATCAAGGATACGGAAGTAAGTCCCACTCCTTACTCTCCTGGTCAACACCAGCTATGTCTTATCCTCAGTGAATAAACTAACAAGGAAATTGCCATGTAAAAGTTGCCTGGCTGGCTCCATTGGTATGCTTTTACAGATCACATCCACGAGTACCCCCCTGGAGGTGAAAATGAAGAGGCAGGTCCCGGCGACAATGACACCACTGGAAAGCACAAACTCGACGAAGATTCTGCCGATGAACACCAAGCTGGAGATCAGAAGCGTCAGCGCGTAGCTGAGGAGCCTTCTTCAAGCCAGACGCTTCCTGCCAATTCTCCTAGCGCACTTACGTCGCCTCACAGTGAACCCGAGCTCCCCGAGCAGCCACGTCAAGACATCGACGCCTTGAACTCCGACGAAGGTCTCTTCGGAAATCCTTTCTCTGACCTCCCGCCGCTGCCCAGCAGCGACCCTCGGACGCCCCACAAGGCACATGCAAGCGCCAGCCATCCTGATTCCGATGGAAGCCTCCTCGGAGAGCCGTCGTCTCCGGTCCCACCGTATACGTCAAAAATGCCGCTTCGACTTACCCCCAAGAAGCGGGCAGAGTTTGAGAAGGAGGAAAAAGAATTTCGAGCGGGGCTCCAAGGAGTGATTGACGAAGTGCTCGAAGAAGCGGTTCAAGATGCGCTGGAAGGTGATGATGAATATCTCGAGGATGAGGAAGAAGAAGAGTCCGAGACCGAAGAAGAGTCCGAGACTGAAGAGGAGATGCAGGCACGCATCAAGGCGGAAGAACAAGAATTCATGGATAACGAAGATGTATTCAATCCTCCCCCCACGAGCCCTGTGCAGGATTCCGATAACAAAGACGAAGACGAAGATGACTACGGCTACGACGACGACGACGACGACGAAGAGGATGAGGAGGACGATGAGGAGGAGAATGGTGACCGCAACACGGGCTATGAATCGAGTGAGGAATCGGAGGCGGAGTAGCTGGATAGCCGAACGGATACGATACGGATAGTGCCCATTGGCCATGAGGTGAGACGAATGGTCGGTTTACCGGCTTTATATTCCGACACGATGAAGCTTTTCACACGAACGCAACGACTTCACCAGAAAACCCCCAACACCCGAAAAAGAAAAGAAAAAAAACATTGCAACAGAACACCCGACGCCCTGTATAGGAAGTTCGACGATGCTTGTTTCGCCCACCTGGCAGTTTATATAGCTTCACTCACAACCCACCAAGCTAAAACCGGCCATAACTTCATCAACACCAGAGCTTCCTTGCCTAGCAGATAACACATCACACCACACCACATCCACGGAAGATTTTTCCTGAGACAGGATTGCTCATCGCCTCTCATCTACACTCACGTAGACCTGATCGACCTCGATAGCAAAACCAATAATCTTTCACAATGCAAAACTGAAATTTCCCCCAATTTTCTCCTTTCCTATGCAAAGCAAAGAGTAATCTGACGCCTGACTTGCCCGTAAACCCAAATAACTCCTCTTTCCCGTAGCCGTAGCCGGAGCCATGCAAAAACGTAAAACGTAAAAAAAAAACGGCGGCGGACTTCGTAATATCGTAAACCGGTCGTCCTAAAAACCTCGGGACCCCGAATCCCTCCAACTCTTAGAACTTTCTTCACGAGCTTCACATTCCACCTCGCCCTCCCTCACCTCCGTACGCCTTCACTTCCCCCCATCCACACCTATCTCCTCAACAAACCCCCTAAAACCTCAACTTCGGCAACACAAAAACCAACACGAGCGCAAAAACCGCCAAGCCGGCAATATACCCATAAAGCAGCACTCTCCCCCACCACCCCGTCCCCTCCGTCATGCGTCGCAGCGTCCCCATGCGGCCCGCCACAGCGCCGAGCCCGCGCTCGTTGCGGTCGAGGTTCTGGCCCGCGGCGCGCAGCACATCCGTGTCTTCCTGGAGCGAGGAGGCGAAGGCGCGGGAGGATTCCTTGAGAGCGCGCGCCATGCCCACCATGGATTCCGTGAGCTTGTCTTGCTCGCTGCGGTGGTGGTCGATTATTGCTTCCGTGGTTGCGGTGGCGGTGGTGGGGTTCGTGGGGCTGGTTCGGTTGCCGAAGAGCTCGGTGCGGAGGGCGGTGGTTTCGCCTTTGTCTGTTGCTATTGCTATGGTGGCGGTGGGGTCGGGCTGCGTGGCGTTGCCGCGGGCGCGCAAGGTTTGCGATGTACTTGTTCCTGCGGACGTCTGTTGGGGGGCGGTGTCTGTCGTGGTTGCTTGGTGAGAGGATGCAGATGTAGTTGCGGTAAGCATGAGGATCGATTCGTCGGCTTGTTCGTCCGTATCATTTTGCTCCTCTCCGGCATCATCCTCGTCCTCGTCGACTTGTTGATCCGCAGCCTCGCCTGACACCACGCTCTCGCTCGGCGTAGCAATAATACCGCCTAGCAGATCCTCGCCTTCGGAGCTGTCATCATCGCTGTCGACACTGACATCCTCGAACTCCTGGAATCTCTCGGTGACTTGATCGAGGATCTCTCGCTTCTGGTTCAGATCGGCCTGCACCTCTTGACGTCGCGAGTGTACCTTAATGGCGAGCGCGTCCTGCTCCAGCTTCGTCACGATCGTTCGGGCGTATTCGATGTTCTACAGATAAGGGATATACCTGTTAGTCTTTTCACATCACTCTACATTTAAACGAGATAGTAAGATTAGGCAGACACATACGACTCTGGCTTTGCTACGGTCATACTCGCTAGCTCTCAGTCGCCGCTCTCTGTCGGCATCTGCATGAAGGATGTTCTCCTGCAAACGAGCGAGTAGGCGGTTGAGGTCATTCAGAGCATCCGGATTAGATATAACCCTATTCTGGGTCAAGGGCGCTTGGACTAGTCGTGCCATGGTGGAAGTTGGCAGTGATGTTTAGGAATTCGGGAATTTCTAGGTTTTTAAATCACTTTGCGAAATGTGTAGAAAAGAGCTTGAAGTCAAAGCAGGTTTGGAATGTTTTATTTCTATTTTTTGGAGGAGCTTCGTACGAGTTCGTAAGATCGTCAGTTCGTAATAGAGTTGTCAAGTTACCTACTAAGGTTGAAGGGTTGGAAAGTTGAAAAGTTGAAGAGTTTGGGGACACGACGGCACGCGCTTTGCTATGATGTATTCCTTGCCTATGGCTGACTTTCCGGTTGTTAGTGGTAGGTGGGGCACCTAGGACCCAGGTACCTTCCCCCCTATCGTATCCTTGTTAGCCCTGGAGCCGTGTTTTACCTATCAACAGAGTCCTAACACGGGTAAACAACATCGTATTTATTTACTTCTTTTCGCTTTCCGTAACAATACATATAGGAACTGGTGCTAAGGATCTCGGAGAGATGTTTGTTAAGGGTATATAGAAACCCTTAACTGATCACAGACACAATATGTACATATCATATCACTCATCATAGAACATATCAAAAGAGCTCAGGAATCAAAGCACTATTATACGATGCAATCAAAATGCACCAAGGGTATACTAGGAATCAATGCAAACCCCCTTCACTGCTTTGCCTGTTTACACGCACCGTTCATCCTTACGCCTTCTTTTCTTCACCGCTCCCTCTATCCTTCCACATCCCCTTTTATCTCTCCCATTCCTTCATCTATTCGTAGCAATCCAGGCCATGTGTCCAGTTAGCGTCTCGCATTACTGGAAGCATTATTCAAGAAATTCATTAAGAATTCCTTATCAGCAGGGGAAAGTGGTGATTGACTGCCTCGTCGGGATGCATTTCCTCGCAGAACTAGTTTCCCTTCACCTCTGCTAGAAGCAACTGAACCCAACCGCGATCGTGGAGCAGCGAGCGCAAGGGATTGGTCGGGCATTAACGTCTCCTTTCCCTTATTCTGTTCCGTATTTGGCTTCGGCTTGCCAAAAAGCGAAAGTAGCGAGCTCTTCTGCTCTGCCGTAGGTTCCTGTCTGAACTGGAAGCCGCCGGGAACCGGTAGTGACGATGCAGACGGAGGGGTTGGGAAGAGCGATAGTGGGTTCGGCTGCGTCGAGCCATACGGATACGATTGGCCTAACTGTTGGGTCTTCGATGATACCAACTGGTTAGGCCTTGGTGAGTTCTTCTTCGAGGAAGGCGATGGTCGTGGTACCGTGCTTTCACTTGACTCTTGACCTTGCTTAGGACGAGATAATATCGTCAAAGCCCTAAACGGAAGGTTTGCCTCGGGGTGAGTCTGCATAGGCCCGCCGTTTTCATGAGCAGCGGCCTGGAGAGCACTAGCAGTCGATGGATATTTGGAGGATCGGTGCTTCTTTGCATCTTCACCTTGTTGGGAGGGACGGCGATTCATCCCCTCCCCGTCAAGTTGGTTCTGTGTTAAAGGCTCCGACTTTTTAAACATCTCGAGCAAACCTGCACGGTGCTTATCAGTAGGGCGAAGCAATCGCGCATCGGAGCTTGATGGGTTTGCATGAACGCCGTTCACCGGGATAGAGTTGTACTCAGAAGGGACGCCCGAATTATTGTATTGCCCAACAAATGCTTTACCTGCCACAGAAAACTGGTGCTGCTGCTGGGGATTGTTCTCGGGCGATCGGCTTATAGATTGGCCTGGTACTCTCGGGGCGCTACTCTGACCCGCGCTTGGCTGTGCTACATTGCCCTTAAGAACATTCAGTAGATTTGCCGAGTGCGCAGGCAACTGGCGTTCAGATTGAGCTCCTTGCGGCCTGTGAGCATAGCCGGATTGGTCTTGGCTAGCGTACTGGTTGTTCTGAGAAAACCCGGGGAGTCCCGGTCGACCAGTGGAGTGCTCTGTAATCTGTGGCGACGATGGAATAACATCATTCAAGAGCATTGCCTTTTGCACTTGTGGCGGGAGGGGCTGAGGGTGAACAAGTTGCACTGGCTGAGATAGCGATTGGTGGACTTTCTCTGATAACACGGGTTGATGATTATCATGAGGGCCAGCAGTGACATTGACGTACGTCACGTAAGGCCGAGGCCTCATCTCAGTAGAGAACTGTGGCTGCTCGGCTCGAAGATGGTGCTGAAGATGGTGCTGATGTTGTACTGTTCGAGCATCAACGTCATTCTCTCGCGGGTGTCTATGTACCTCGCTGCCGGCTGCCGTTCCGGGCTGTAAAAGAGACATGAGCGCCTGGCTAGCCTGCTGATCCGACTGCGGCCTCACTCTAAGAAGGCGTTGCAGCTCCCTCGTCGCATTGTCATACAAATCGGGGTTTGTATCGGGAGCGGCAGACGACTGGGCTGGTTCATGGATAACGTTGTCATCGGTCGTCTCCTCATAAGGGACTAAGGCGTGATGATGGATACCTGAATCTCCAGCCTTCAGTGCGTCGATCTTCTTTTGCTTTACCACCCACTGGCGCAATTGAACCATAAAGGGCGCGACCATGTAGAACTTCTCATTCCCTGGTCCGCCAGCCCCGTTGATTCGTCCGCCTTTCTTCTTACGATAGGTTGGTAACTCATCAACTTTGTACCATCTGATTGCCCCAATCTCCTTTCGCGTCCGAGTGCCAAAGACGGTATTCTCCGAAATTCCACGAAATACATACAGCCTTACTTGTTGGTTCTGCATAGTAACCTCGAAGTATTGAGCTGGTGTGATTTCGTTGATCAGGCCCGCAAGTCGGATATCAAAGCCTATCTCTTCATAGACTTCTCTAACAGCGCAATCTAGGTCATCCTCATCCTTGTTAATCTTGCCTCTGGGAAAGCTCCAAGTTGCGCCCTTTTTGAATCCTCGGACAAGGACCGTTGCGTCCATGTTGTCGTTGAGCAAGATTGCTCCTCTTACTGGTACTCGTGTCTTATATTGCATGAACTCTTCAAAGGCTCTCAAGTGTTCGTCGGCCGAAAAGGACGCGAGGAGAGGGCAATACTCGAACATCTTCATCATAAAGCTTCGAAGGGACATGGATGGTAAGGTCGGGTCGATTAATCGAATAAAATCTTCGTAGAACCATTGTGCTTCTTCGATCTGGAAGCATATGCGTGCTACTGAGGACAGGTCGGCTTTGGGAAGGTTTATAATGAACCTGACGCACAGGTCGTCCAGCCCTTTATAGAGAATGTTAGCTCATATCCATCATGTTCAAACGCGCAGCAGTGTTCGCGCCTAAACTGAGATACATAGTAGAAAGAGAAGATAACGAAATGATAAACTCACAATCCTCAAGGGTCATTCGGTTTGTAGCCATATCGACTTCGATTCACTTGCATGACCACGGGTATATCAGAATGATGAAAAAATAGTGACGTCTCAAAAGGTGACCAATGACAGAGTCGCGCGCAATGGTATGATAGGTAGGAAAACGAGGGGTGACGGCAGACTGGCGACTTTCAGTGCACCACGAAAGGCGAAGTTGTAGCAAGAATTGATTCGGTTGATGTGTTTTTCTGCTTCCGAAGTTTGTATGTATCTAACGTAAAATGTCTGTTCAGATAACATTCAATCGGAGGCAGAAGTTGGGATCGGTAATTGATTGAAAGGATGAATGTGTAAATGGGTGAATGGATGAACGGGTTTAGGAAGCTGGAAAGTTAACAGTAAGGTGGGGATTCAAGAGGCGTCGTGGCTGATAAGCTTTACAGCTACTGAGGTGTGGAACGTGGCCTGTGCTGATTTGCACTGGTGGACGGGTGGACTAAAGTGAAAGTACTAAGGTACTTCTTTTCCGCCCCACAATAATAGTTGTCAATGTTAAGGAAATCAAGTAGGAAGAATTTGCGTAAAGCTTGCGCTGAGAAATGTTTTTATGTACCGTACGGCAATATTTCTGACCGCACTATATATGTTATCAAATATGGATCAATCGTATTGCCAAAAATTGGTTAGATGTTTAATTATGTAATCCCAAATTTCTGCAGCACAATCGTCTCCCAACTATGTACCTAGGTACCTACCTACTTGCTCTAGTGAGGTACCAATGTACATATCAATACAACAAGCATGCATTTGCCTAGGTATGTAGGTACCTACTAGGGAGTTATTAAGGCGCTTTATATTCATTTGATTTCAACATACCTAGTACCGTCGTAAACATTATGTGTATTTACCTTAAAAGAAAACAAATACAATTCTTTTATTTGATTTCATATGGAACACCCGTACTAACCTAGATAAATATTAACATGCAAGCAGCTTAGTTATGGAAACTGCTAAGATAATCCATACAAGGCCATGTGCTTAGTACTTATCTTAGGTATAGCTGTTACTAGGTACATTAAGTACAAAACTATAGCATACTTAGGTAGGTACTGTGCCTATTCAAGGAAAATAATTTTATGAAGGTTGTCATTTGGGATTTTGCTAAATCCTGTTGTTAAGGTCTGTTCATAAATATATACCAACTCCTTATATACGTAGCCATCATACATAGGTATATAGATAAACGATCGGGTTATAAGCAGGTCGGTAGGTATTACTTATTGTAGTCCTTTATGTAGACCACCCAAGCTCTTCGCCATGATCTATTAATAAAAACCTAGTACCGAGATTAGCGCCTCGAACTATGACCCAGTTCCATGGTCTCGGGTTTGACGTGGGGGCAATACGTACATATGCAACAGGGGGGTTACCAGGATTACATCATGGATGGGTATTAACATACAAGTATATATTTAGAGAGAGAGCTTGAGCAATCCAATGATCAACACAATCATAAACTGGTATTTCGGGTATCTTATACTCTAACTAACGTCTTGTCGAACATACAATTGAGAACCAGAACTCACTCTTTGAACACCATACTACAAATGCGCAGTTCATCTGCGACAGAAAACATATGGGGAAAAGGATATTTGTGCTCGAGTATGCAGTAACAGTGACAGCTCCTGACATTGGCAAAATGTGCTTAAGAGGTATCGTGATGCTCATTCCCCTCGACCTCGAGTGAAGAAAACCTATTATGAATCTTGCTAGCTGGTCCCTTCGTCGATGCGGTATTGCCATTGTTGAACAACGACCTCCAGCTTTCGGGTATCGTGTCTTCTCGGGGTGTTGTTAATGGTTGGTCGCATTCGTCGGCATCCCAACCGATTAGGAAGCCATGATATTCACTACGTAGATGTCGTTAGATTCGACGAAACTTAGTCGCCGATAATGAATGACATACCTTCGGCTCATCATGCATGTCTTGGCGTAGAGAGCTAGTTGGATCGAGTTGGTCTTAATATGGCAATCGCTATCGATGAATTCAATCTTGATGATGACAAGACGATTGATATGTTCGAGATCTTGTCGAATGCGGCTCTCCTTTATATGCGATCTGCATGCCCTTACGACTAGATTTCTAGTAGCGCCGAATTCGGCCTTGTTGGAAATAAAGGGGCTAACTATAAATTGTTTATCCGCCCATTTCAGAGAGACCTATGGCATGGTTAGATCACTGACTTGAAGATAATCAATTCCACTAACTTCGATGTTGTTTACATAGAGTCCCCTCTTCTTTGAATGTTCGAAGAAGCATGCGGCATTGTCGTGAGATACGAAAGACACAATGGCCATTCGTTTGGCTGCTACCATGGTGAATTCAACTAAAGCCCCACCACGGACGGCGCTGGTCACGTCCCAGCAAGTAGCACTAGCTGGAAGACCTTCCAGTATAATTGATCTCTTGGGCTGAAGGGGGTATGTGTTCCCACTATGGCCATGATCACTTTTCTTAGGCCCTATGATACTAGCTGACTTGGATGATGTAATTCGCCATTCACGGCGAGAATCGGTGTTCGTGGGGCAAGGCGGATCGACTTTATTGTATTTCGTATCGCTGGTTCCTGCATGATGAGAGCGTAATAGATTGGTCTCCCGTGGAGAAATAAGAGTTGTGCTAGAGAGAGGGGCGTCTGATATTCCCGGGGGTGGACGTGATGTGGTCTTGGTGGTACTCTTAGCTAAATTCTGTGACAAATTATTAGTTCTCAATTTTTTCGAGGTTATAATACTGATAAAACTCTAAGTACGTAACAATAGTGGGTAGACTTACCCAAACTTTCTCTGAGGATATGCCAGATGCAAGAAGATTGTGCACTAAATTCGCTATTGGGTGGTTAGAGTATACCGAAGCTAGGATAAGTATGATCAAGCTATACCTACCGTATTGTTCTTGAATTTGAAGAAACCCCTCATATTCGTTCTCGGGAAGACATATGACAGAATCTAGCTTTGGATACCCATTGGTAAAGCGCTATGATGCCAGGTTAGGATACAAACAATACAACTCAATTATAGGTGGCAGCCCTAGAGCTTACTACATCCGTCCTAATTAGTAGGTGCCTATATTAGCTCTGTGATGTTCTAGGTAGGTAGGTAGATATAAACACAGAAATCTTCCACAGAGCCTGTGACTCTAGGTATTGTTAACGATCGCATTATGATTTGGACTCACCGTCTCACGAGATTCTCAAGAATGCTTTTCTCGATCTTGATGAATTGGGGTGGAGACGGTGTCTCCACCGTAGACTCGGCGGGGGTCTTAGTTGCAGTATTCATGATGTCAGAGTTCTAAGCTAGGGCTAGGCGACGATTTAAAAGTAGTAGGGCAATGTCGGCAACTAAACTGGATGAAATGATAGGGGAGGAACGATTGGTAATTATTTTGATACAAGTTTAATAGAAGAAAAAGACAAACGAGAATAGTAAGATCGTAATTGTGAGTTATCGTGGTAATAACAAAAGACAATCTTAGAGGTACCCAGGGACCGAATAAAGGATATACGTCAAACACGCGACATATTGGATGGTCAGCGCCAAAACATTTGTTCAAGGTAGTATGTATATGAAGTTGAAGATCAGATAATGAAGTTAGAGATTGGATATTCTATAGACCCTCACATCTCTAAATTTAGGATTAGCGGGGTAGGTACATAGGTACATATTTACTGCTCTAGGAAAACCTTAAATTTCCCCAGTTACCCACCGATAATGGGGGCGACTTCGGGGAGGTATGTACGACTTGAAGAAAGTGTGTAAATTAAACGTTGTATAGTATATACTTAGTACTTACCTACCTAAGTGTGTTCGGGATGAAGATTCTAGAAAATAAATCAAAGGTAGATATTTCTAGTGATGAAATATTGTTAGCATGGTACTTAGGTATAGATATTTTAGTTTACCTATGTACTTAGCTAAGATGGACATTATGTTTAGTAGCTACGTTTGTTCGCATGAAAATCACGAAAGGTTTGGTGAATGTACATAATTGTTACATGAGATATGATCATTTGTAATATTTATGGAATTGTTACGTATTAAGCAACATATGTAGTTTTATAAATCTTGTTTATTTGAAATATCTTGCTTGTTTAAGTACCTACCTGGTATATTCTGAAGGTGCTTTAATAAGTATGGCTGGTAACTATAAGCTATAAGCTTCCTGCAAAGTCACCATTGGAAAACAGCGGTGGTAACCGTGAAAATCCCCAAACAAGCAAACGTTTTATCTACCTAGGTAATATCTACGTATAGATATCAGGTAAATGTTGGCTACTTGCCTACCAGGTATGGATGTAATTATTCATCTCATCCACGGATATGTTTTGAATGATGTTTATATTAAACATTACTTTTTGCAATGCCTAAGATTTCGGCAATACAAGCTTGCTATTGCACAAGACATGACGATTGCGTTTAAAGGGTGGCATCTTGGCTCATGGTTTCCGCACCAAAATACTACGTACCTATATATACATACCCGAGAGCTGAATACTTCCCTCAATTTTGTGGTGGTGAGTTAGGAAATGGTGTAAGAACTAACAATTGAGGCTGAACCCCGTGATTTGAAAGATCTGGACTAACCTTAGAGTGGGAGACATGGATTCTAATGACTTGACGATGTTAGGGGCTGCTAAGGGTGAGGTGGGCAGGCTATTTCAGCGCCCTTGTCGTACGTGTAATGGTGAATCCGGGTATGTGAGTTTCGGTAAACTGGTAGGAGGAAAGTTCGGCGCCCTAGGTTTGTTATGGTTGTTTTACACTTCACTTGAAGCAGCAATAGAACTGTTAAGTAAAATGATCTGAACAATACGAGCCAAGCTCAATAATCGTCAAAATGATTGACGCGCTGGTAAAGTTTATATATCGCTTTCCTAACTTTTGCCTTTGCGGGTATGTGGAAATGGTCTATTTTTAGTTGCTGAGAAGAAGCATAAACGTCGTTGTAGACCCACTCGGACTCACCCGACCTTGGATTTGACTTTCAGGTGACAGAATTGACAAGTTCTTAAGGTTAACGTGCCGGTACGATCTTATTTGCACTTCGAGAAGTGTCGTCAAACACACCAGTGTATTAATCAATTTTGACCATTTCATATACTGGAATTCAACCATTAAGTTGATAGTCTTTTGAGATCACCAGCTCAAGAATGATCCAAAACACAAAAAAATAACAATGCCGTCAGATTCCAGGGCAGTTTTAGGGTAATCATGATACGCAGGGCATGGCAGTACTGAATTTGGCTATTGCAGTGATTATCATCTGAGATTCAAGTTCTGGCCCTGCTTTTGTTCTGGGTACATCCCCCTACGCCACCACTACGGATCTCGCTAGCAACCACTGGTTGCCTACTACAGTCGCTGAAATGCGACGCGATTGCCGCACCTACCGAGGCCGCCAAACCGTTTTTGGCACAGCGTCCCGTGTTACGATATGCACCGCTGTTGCCAACACTTCGTGTTCATGGCAAGCATGGCAGGCATAGCCAAGGGTAGATCAACACTGGCCAATAGAATTTTCTATTCCAAGGGCTTAGCGGGAAAATGCTAAAGTACTCCGTACCTGAGTTAGGTCAAGTAGCGAACCCATCATTCGTCTTTTCCTTGTCTTGCTTCCAAGGTTGTCTTCTCACATCTTCGCATCCTCGTCTCTTTCCCAATCTCTGGAAACCCATTTCACTCCTCGATGAATTGATGCAATCTCATCGTTGAATCAGTCATTCGCTTTAATACTGCTTCAAACTCACACCACTCGCTTAGTTTTGCAAAGACTTACTACCCTGTCTACTATCTAGTTAGGGGAACACCGAGTTGTTCACTGTATTTGGTTTTTTGTTGCTTTTCTCGGTATCCACACGTTGTATCAACAAGCGGGAGAAAAAAAAGGGGAATCGAGCATACGAGACGGAAGCGAGCCTGCGAGTCAACGAAAAACACCAACATCTTGAATCATCTCAATCAATCAACGTTGAAAGAAAGATAGATAATCATTGTTGCGATCGATTACTGACAGCGTTTATTTATTTATTTGTGGCGTTTCGTTCTTTGCATTTGTCCCAATCCAATCGAACCATCGCATCCTCTATCCGCATTCCATCATCTTAAACCACCATGAAGGGAGCACGAAGTCTTGGTCAGCTCTTGACCATTTCCCTCGCTCTGGCCCCGATGGCATCTGCTTGGCCAGGATGGCTTCCGGATATAGACAGCCTCGTTGTCAGACAAGACGACAGCTCTTCGAGTACGTATTGTGTATTAGATGTCATACACGTTATAATGAAAATGGTACTGACATTTCAAAAGCACAACAAGTTGATGCCACAACCACAGCGGCAACCGATACTGCCAAAGCAACTGATACTGCTAAGGCAACTGATAAAGCTAGTACGACCGATAAAGCCACAACTACCGCCAACAGCAAAGACCCGCAAACTACGAACCTTAATACAGCTAAGATAACTACAACTGGCAAGGGCGGGAGCACGGCTACCGGTAACAGCACTACTACTCGTGCGACCTTCGATGCGCAAGATGGAGCCGGCGGTGTTGCCATGATCACACCTGCCACCACTGCAGGAACGACGCTTTACAGGATTGGAGACCCGACACCAATTACTTGGGTCTGGAACTACACATCTCTCCAAGCCTCACCATCCGCTATCGATGTCCTGGTATCGTGCTCCACAGCCTCAGCTACTTGGACTTTGACTCAAAACATGACCTTTGAGCCGACTGCTACATTCAAATGGGACACCAAGAAGTACTCAGAGAGCGCCGTAGCCAGCCCGCTGCTAGTTGCCCAGTACACACTTCTTATCCACGACTCCGACTCGTCTCAGGATGCTACCGCCGAAGCCGGTTATCTCTCCCCATACAATGGTTTCACATTTGGCCTATACACTGCTAGGCCGTACCAGGACCTCGGCGAGTGGAAGTGCGCGACATGTAGTGGTGCATTAGGAGAAGCTGACCGCCAAGCTTTGGGTTTCGCCATCACGATGAGCATCATCACAATCTTCAGTTTCACGTGGTATGTGACGGGATTCGCTACGTTACTATAGTCATAATAGACTATATTCTGCATATGTTCAAGCAATATATGAAGAGACGGTTAATTTCTGAATGCACATATTTTGGATTTACGAGACAGCATCTTAATGGACAACTATTTAAATACGGTAATCTGGGATTCAGGATATAACATCATGCAGTGGCGTTTTTTAATGCGATTTTTAAGGGTCGAAGGGGGCGGATGCGTTCTTCTGGCGACGGATCGAAAATGGCGACAACTATTTTAGAAGTCTTATGGCATCGGAAGGGTTATTTATCATCGACTACATAGCTCTTAATGACACAACCACACACACCTAGTCAGGTCAGGTTAAATTCACGATCATTCGTAGCCTATTATTGTTGTCTAGTTGGTATCATATAATTGTAATGCTCACTCAATGTGGCTTTTGCTTCTGATTTTGCGTTTACCCAAGTTCGCACCCTTTTTGTAGATAATATAACTACCTACGTATTAAACCATTCTCAACGCAAACCCACCACCCCGCTCCTCCTTCTCCCTCGCCGCAAATATCCCACTGAAGTCCACGGCCCCTAGTTCAGCCGCCTTCTGCCCTCTCCCCGGCGCATTCGGCGTCGACCGTCTTCTCCGCCGTTCCTGGCCCGCCTTGCTAGGGAATGTTGGGAACATGGCCTCGTGCTTGGGTTTAGGATCTTGTCGGAAGTACTCGTGCTGCAGCATCTCGCGCGCCGTGGGCCGCCTCTCTGGGTCTAACGAGAGGAGCCCGCTTAGTAGCTCACAGCCCGCCGTTGTTAAGAGCGGGAACCGTGCGCGTATTACGGGCCCCGCGTGCGCGGCGGACGCTTTGGGTAGGCGTAGGTGTCGCGCGTTGGGCAGACGACGGAAGCCTGGCCATGACTCGTCCGAGGGGATGCCGCATAGCTCGAAGATTTTGGTCAGCTCGTCGACTTCGGTCTTGCCTTGAAGTAACGGCTCCCGTGTCAGAAGCTCCCCGAAGATGCAGCCTACGCTCCACATGTCGACCGCGCCGTTGTAGGTCTTTGTGCCGAGGAGGAGCTCTGGGGCGCGGTACCAGAGCGTTACGACGAGCTGGGTTAGCTTTGGAGGTGGCGGGTCGCCGACGTAGCGCGCCATGCCGAAGTCGGCGATCTTCAGCTGTCCGCGGTTATTGAGGAGGAGGTTGGATGTCTTTAGGTCTCGGTGCAGGATCCAGTGGTCGTGCAGGTATGATACACCCCCAGCGAGCTGGAGGAGTAGTGTCTTGACTTCGGAGGCTAGGAAGGGTTCTGGCATGTCCCCGAGGATGGACATTAGGTCATGTTCGAGGAATTCGAGGACGAGAAACACGTTTTCGATACGCGAGGTGTCGTCGCCGACAACGACTTCGCGGAGCTCGACGATGTTCCGGTGCGAGCAATCTTTCAGGATTTGTATTTCGCGGAGCCCCGTCTCGGGTAGGCCGACGGTGTCGTTGGGGTCGATCTTCAGGCGTTTGAGCGCGACTACTTTCCCTGTTTTGATCTCCTTTGCTCGTGCCACCCAGCCGTACGCTCCCTCCTCGATGTCGTTTAGCTTATCGTAGTTCTCGACGCTGCGCGACTTGCCCCAACTGCCAGCCTCGAAGCGTAGGAGTTTTGGATTGTTGTTGTTTTCTTCGTTTGTTCCATCACCTTCTTGACCTCTCTCGGGCGTTATTTTTCGTCGCTTCGCGGGTGGTCTATCATCTTGACTTTGTTGCTTCTCTTGTGCGGCTCGTTGCCTCGCTGCTTCGGCTTCAGCCTGGGCGCGTTGTGCTTCTTCTGCTGCTCGTGCTTTCTCGGCTTTCAGACGCTTCTTTTCTTCCTTATCACGTTTAAGTTTGGCTTCGTAGGCTGCATCCTCTTCGGTGTCTGCCCAGCGAGATTTGCTCGCCATGGTTGTCGGTGTCTCGATGGTAGGATTAGTCAGTGCGATAAGAGTCGGTAGGCTGTGCTCTCATGTTGATATATATTTCTAGGAAATGAATTGAAAGAGAAAACTAAGCAATGGAGTATATATGGCTTAAAACAACCAAATATACTTGTATTTTATTTACTAAGTAATAAAATGGTAGCTGCGATGTACATAGTAGGAAGCGTTTGCAACTACGTAATTGGTAACTTTTTCTATTCGGTGAATGCTCGGGGCTAAAATTTAAAGCTTTGAAGCTTTACTTCCTCAATTGGGGAAACAGCTTAGACTTCAAAATTTAATACCCCCCATGATAAAATATTATAACAATTCAATTTATGGATTTTCTCTCTTTGTTTATGATGAATTAATGGATTTATTAGACTACCATGTAGTTTTCCGAAATGAGGTCAAACGTATTAAGAACGGTCCAAAACGGGCTCAGATGCCTGCCACGACGACCAGTATCTCATAAATCAAAAGTCGCATATCAAAGCTATAGAAGTTTTATAGCGACACCCCTATGTAGAGAAGAAGAAAGGAAATGGACAACGCCTCTCGCTAAACAATTAACTGAGGCTATAAATGTGAGCTCATGATCATTATCTCATTGAACTTAATACTTATAGTACATGTTTTATAGACGACGGGGCCAATTCCTTTAGCTAGCTATATGCGCATGTGTCTAACATCGGACACTGGCGGATACTACACGGGAGCTATAGAAGAAGGCCGAGATCAATTTGGTCGAAAGGGGGACTTTATTACCTCGCCAGAAATATCGCAGATCTTTGGCGAGCTTGTTGGTATCTGGTTCGTTGCAGAATGGTTGTCTCAAGGCCGGCCGAGACAGGGCGTGGAGCTCATCGAAGTTGGTCCTGGAAGAGGGACGTTGATGGATGATATGTTACGAGTGAGTATATCCGCATATATGCTACGATCGAAAGCTCATACTAAGTTAATATTTAATAGACTATAAGAAATTTTAAGGATATGTCTTCGAGTATAGAGACCGTCTACATGGTCGAGGCGAGCAAGGAGCTGCGCACCACTCAGAAAAATCTACTCTGTGGCGAGGACGCCGTAATGACGGAGTCGAAAATAGGTTGGCACAGTACATGCAAGTACTCCGGCCTGCCCATCATATGGACAGATTCAATCAAGGCCATTCCACAAGACCCTAACAAGACTCCTTTCATCGTGGCTCACGAATTCTTCGATGCGCTCCCTATCCACGCCTTCCAAGTTGTCGAAGTGCCACCGAACCAGAAGCCCACACCGACAGATAGCAATGCTAGCACTATCTCTGTTTCGCGTCCGGGCTCGCCACCCAGCGCCACCACATCCCCCTTCCAGTGGCGCGAGATGGTTGTCTCACCCACCCCTCAAGGAACAACCCACGCGGATCTCGGAACCCCCAAATCACAGCAACACGATCCCGTCCCGGAGTTCCAGTTAACTCTAAGTCCGTCCATGACCCGCCACGCACAATACCTCCCAGAGGCATCCCCTCGATATCGTGCACTGAAATCCACACCAGGCGCTCTAATAGAAGTATGTCCCGACGCCTCTCTATACGCCACCGACTTCGCCTCTCGGATCGGCGGCTCCTCCCCCACCACTGGAGATAGCACTACAGCAACTAAACCCCAACCTTCCGGCGCCGCCCTGATCCTGGACTACGGTCCCGCAGACACCATCCCAGCGAACACCCTACGCGGAATCCGCCAGCACCGACACGTCTCGCCCTTCTCATCCCCAGGTCTCGTAGACCTAAGCGCAGACGTCGACTTCGCCGGCCTCGCGGAAACCGCCTTACTCGCCTCGCCCGGCGTCGAGGTCCACGGACCTGTCGACCAGGCGTATTTCCTCGAAACAATGGGAGTGCGCCAGCGTGCCGAGATGCTGATTAAGAAGCTCGAGCAAACCCAGAATAGGGGGGACGTAGAGGAGAAGAAGAGGGAGATCGAGCGTTCGTGGAAGAGGCTCGTTGATCGCGGACCTGGTGGTATGGGGAAAGTGTACAAGGTCCTGGCTATCCTGCCTGAGAACGGGGGTAGGAGGAGACCGGTTGGGTTTGGTGGGGATGTGGGAGTTTGATTGAATGCACATACACACGTCCATATATAGGTACTAAAAGGGGGGTTGAGGAATGACTTGTACAATATCTAGGTAGATGGGAGATAAAAAAAACCCACGTCAATACTAGGTAGATATACATATCTGTACAGAACAAAAATAGCACGGAAGTTATCAATCAATTCATCATATTCGTAAAAAGCCATAGCGTGACGTATTCCTATTATCAGTTACAATTCAAAGTTCTTTTCGTACCTTGCGCTACCATGTGATGATGTACCTTAAATAAAACAAGGGCTACCGCCGTTCTCTCAAGCGGTCAATTCGTGCCGATCGATCGATACCCTACCTCGATAGGCCTTCCCAGGCATGTTTGGTAGTTCAGCATCCAACGCCGTCTATAATAGTACAGTAACGAAAGCGGGTAGCTCCAAATACAACGGTTGATACCACTCCTGCCTCGCCTGATTTTCATGGTCGGCGACGGGTTTACTTTTTCTTTCCACTAACGAGCTTAGACCCTTCGCCCCTTTCTTCGTCCTCCTCCTCATCGTCGTCGTCGTCGTCATCGTCTTCATCATCGTCACTGAACTTGTCACCGTCTTCTCCAACTGCAAATATCGTCTCTCCATCGAAAGAATCCCGTGGTGTCTCGGGTTTCGCTGGGGCTCTGCTCTGTAGTGGTTGCGATGCCGTGGAAGTAACGTTCGCCGCTGGTGCCGACCGTGTTTGGGCAACTTTAGTGCCGATGTGCGCCTCATCATCATCGTCCGAGTCAGGAGCACCCACATCAGCAAATTCGAATCCACCATCCTCATCTTGGGCGATTTCGTCACTCATCGCGAAACGTCTGTTATTCGCTGTAGGTCTCCACACATACGCGATCCAAGCTACATCGGCGAGATAGACCAAGTTTGGCCATCCATCAATAACGAACCACCGTGACTTCCAGTGGAAAGGAACGTAGTCCGGGTCAGACGCCGAGGCAAACGAGAAGGAGTTGAAAAAGAAGAAGCCAAATGTGACAAGAATACTGATTAGGATACACCACCAGAGCTTCTTGTACATGGTCTCCTTGACGGTCTGCTTACGCTCGCGCAGATCTTTAAGCGTGAAGTTGAGCGAGTTGAGCGTCCACACGTAGAAGGCAGTCAAGGTACCCGCTAACGGAAGTACGATGAGGAGAAGCCAGGGGCCTGTGGATAAAATTAGTATGGACATACTGTAAATTGTTTGTTAAGGGGCTCATACTAGCTGTATCCGGGGAAACGAGTAGACTGGTAATGGCGTAACCCAGTCCGAAGATGAAGTGAGCAATCGCCAACCACCTAACATACACCATAGTTTTGCCTAGTGAGGGCTTCACAACTCCGTAACCCATACACACGATGAGTAGTAGGAAGAATGAGAATGAGTTACGGAAGGCATTGAGAATGGCCACCAAGACTAGGAGAACCTTAGCTCCAATGTTGGAACCGTTCCTATTCAAATAATCTATGGTGAAAAGTTAGAATTATATTCTTAACGAAGTGACTCAATTAACGTACCATAAAATCCCCAGGTCATCAACATCTCGACACCTAGAAAGACGAGAATGGCAGTGATGTAGTTTTGAACGGGCACTACAGACGGGTTAGAGCTAGGGAAGAAAGTGCATATTCCAATAGCTTACGGATATCATATCTATGTTGATAATAGAGGAAGCCCCAAAATCTAGTTATCATTAGCAAGAAGTCCTAAAGAGACAAGTTTCAAAACATACACGGCAACTAGGGCGTATACGATAGTTATTCCCCCATAGAATGGAAGTTTAGGGATCTGGGTTGCGGGAAGCTCGCCATATGCCTCTCGGAACTCGACAACTCCCATATAATCCTTAGTATTGAAACCATAGGCGTAAACGCAATAATATCCCGTCTTCTTAATGGGGTAGTTGATGGGCGGCGCGGACTTAAGGTGGATAGCTTGAGTAAGGATAAAATTCTCCGACTGCTCGGTCGCGTTGGGTGATAGAATCCATTCGCCGATGTCTGTCTCGTTGCACAAGCTAGCTCGGACATTCTCCTCGTCGCAAATGAGTTCTTTCTAATTATATTATTAGCCTTGGGTCCTAACTAGTAGAGGCCGGTAACCGTACTTGAAGCGAGTCGGCTTGTGGGTAGACCCCGATCAGATCTTGGTCTTTCCATTCGAATATGACTAAACTAACGATGGGATCATCGTCGCCTTCGATCGTCTTGTTCGGGAATACTGTGAGGATGAAAGGATCTACCGGACCACCCCATGCACTTCTACTATACATGCCTAAATATGGCGGGTTAGTAAGGCTTGCGTATGCGATCGTTACACATTGGGTAGGTCGAACGTACCAGCACATTTCTGCTGGTTCTCTTCGGTATCATCCTTAACGGAGGAAATGTTAGCTTAAAACCACCGCAGAGAGATGGCGAGGCTTTCATACTATCTTAACTTCCAATGCTTGAGAGGTCCATAGGGACGTGCCCAAAAGGACTAATGCAGATAACCAGCTCTTCATCTTGGGTTGGTAGACGTTTGTTGTCGCCGCGCGAGGCAGCCTCGGCAAGTAAATCTGTCCTCACTATTCTGGTAGCTGGATATGTTTACCAAATGCAACACAGACGCAAAATGGAAAGTAATTCAAGGCTGGACCAAAGTCAATACAAAGTCCAGGGAAGCATTAGGAGTAAGGTTGGCAGGTTAAACGTGGTTGAAGACGGTTCGCAAGTTGGAAACGAGACCTCCTAGATGTTTGCTCTAAGTTTCGCTATGATTTATCGGTTTTATTAGAAACCAGTGCTGGGCAGAGCCACTTCCAGGTTGATTTCGCAGCTAAAGTTAGGCGCATACGTACATGCTAGGTAATTGTGTACCTCTGTACGGGATAGTCGGGGGAGCTGCCAAGGCTCTAGCCAGGATTACGATAAGATAAGAATATGCGGTAACGAACAACCTATCAGCTTCAAAGCTAAGATTCCTTGCCATTAGCTATTACTGAGGAAACCATCACGTTGTTTTTTCCCCATTCCTTTTTTATATCCATTTTCCTCGTCGCATTGCGAGTCGCCGGTGAACCATGGGGAAAGGGACGGATAAACTTTACATCACTCATTCAGAATGGTCGTCTTCAGACGCCTTCTCAGCGAATACCGGCTCGCGTGCCGCTCAAGACGTCGGCGCATCGTTTAAACGCCTACCATTCAACTTTTGCGCCGCTAGTCTTCAACCCTTTAAGAATCCCGTCTGCACTTCAGATGGAACCATATTCGATGTCGAAGTTATCTCGAAATGGCTCGAAACCCACAAGACCAATCCCATAAACGGAGAACCTCTGGCAGCACGCGACCTCATCAAACTCAATTTCGCACGTAACGGGGACATCGATTCGAAGGGCGCAGATGGATCAGGTAGTGACGGGAAAGGAGACTTGATTGATCCGGTCACTTTCAAGATATTCACCGACAATACACACATTGTTGCGATCCGACATGGGACGTACGCGAACGTTTTCGCCTGGGAGACGGTGGAAAGGATGAACATCAAAGCAAAAATGTGGCGCGATCTGGTAGATGATGCAGAGTTTGGTCGCTCTGACATCATCACCCTCCAAGATCCCCAGAATATTGGGAGCAGAGACTTAAGTCAGTTTCAGCATTTAAAGGATGGCGGAGATGCGCTTTTGACAAATAAACAAGAGGAAGACCAAAAGGCAGGCAATATCAACATTAATGCTTTAGGAAGAGTGGGCGACAAGGTCCTGAGGGCGAAGGAGGCGGTAGAGAAGGCGAGAAAAGAGCGTGAAGCCGGCAAGGACGTCAATCGCTCATCCAAGGCAGTCACAAAGGCGGTAGCGGGCAATACTGTTCGGCCATCTATGATACAGGAAAGGAAACAAGTCTACAATGCGGCAGCATATACCACGGGTAGAGCCGCAGCAAGTTTCACGAGTACCGGATTGACCCCGGAGACCAGCGGCGAAAGAGCCATTCTTACAGACGAGGAATACATGTTAAAGCCGAAGAGGGTAAAGATAAAAGGTTACGCTCGAATTGAGACAAATCTGGGTGATTTAAACATAGAGTTGCAAACAGAGTACGCTCCGAAAGCAGTCTGGAATTTTACCCGACTTGCTCAGAAGGGCTATTACAAGGATGTTGCCTTCCACCGCAACATCAAGAACTTCATGATCCAAGGAGGCGATCCTTCTGGGACCGGTCGAGGAGGCACAAGTATATGGGGCAAGAACTTTCAAGACGAATTCGACGGGCCGTTGACGCACGACTCCCGTGGCTTACTCAGCATGGCTAATAAGGGCAAAAACACGAATTCCAGCCAATTCTTCATTACTTACCGCCCGGTGAAACATCTCGATCGGAAACACACCATATTTGGCAAGGTTGTTGGCGGCACGGACGTGTTAAATAAATTGGAGGCAGTCCCTACAGATGGCTCGGACCGGCCCCTGAACAAGATCTACATCAAGGACGTCGTCGTATATCTCGACCCGTTCGACGAATTCCTAAAGCAGAAAGCCGAGCGCGACAAAGCTGCCGAAACGAAGGCGGAGATCGCGAGGTCCGGCGGAACTGAAGACGACCGGGTGACGTGGACGGGGAAACGAGTTAGGCAAGACGGCACGGTCGACCAGGACAATAGCAGTGGAAGTGTGGGCAAGTATCTCCAAGCTGCGATGAAACAGCAGGATGTCGAAGACGAGATTATCGAGGAAGACGTTGATACATGGGAAGAGCCGGTGAAGAAAAGGGCAAAAGTTGGCGGGTTTGGTAATTTTGATAATTGGTGAAAACCGGATTGCATTGCGTGGCGTTTGGGGATACCCGGCAGGTCCATAGGCACTAAATCGGTATGTAATGAATTTATCGTCTTGTATACGGCAGCGTTCAATATGAAGAGGGAAAAAAAGCAATATCTAATATGTTGTTAATAAACTTAGTAAATAGGCACTAGGTATATATGTACATACAGGATATAACTATATGCGAGATATTAGCTCCTGTCCAAAATTGAGTTACAGAGTAATAAGATTAAATCTATACAAGATCGAAATGTTTGAGATTAACACCACAATGCTGGAACATCTTTGGGTCTAAAATTAGAGTACCAACGTGCTGTTGTGACATAAAACTACGAAAGGACTCAAAGTCTATAGGTAAAGATTCGAGCCGTGGATCCACATTAGAAGTCTCACCTGAGACCGTATCCTTGAACCAGAACGTTCGCTTTTTAATATCATTATCAACAGCTTGGACCATTCGGATGTTCTCGGGGAGAGGTCCGAGAAAGGCCTCGCCTTGCACGACACTGGCATCGAAGCATGGACCGACCAGCTTGTACCTCTCGTTGCCTAGTGGTCGCAGTAATAGGGGGGTACAGCAACCAAGAATAACGCAAACTTCGTCACCAGGTTGTACAGATCTTACAGCTCTCCCTATTGAACCGTCCGTCGTCTGAATGAAAGGTGGCCGTTGGTTATATAGGCCGGCTTCTTTGAATAACTTTATACATGTAGAGGGCCAGAAGAAGTCCTCATCTTTGAATTGGTGGTCGGACATGATTAATAAGATTAGGCGTGTTGCCTCCTCTATATTTAGATAGATATCTGGTGGTAGATCGTAATTCTCGGAGAGGGAGTTTTGGACGAGAGTTTGGGCGAAATTCTCGACTGTTATCTGCTCTCCAACACCTAATTTCGATGCTATTGATTTGATGAATTTAAGTATCATACGATGATTGCCGGCATCTATAATCGGAATCTCATGACGCTCCCGAACTTTAGACTTGGATACGCCCATTATTCTCAACACGCCAGGCTCGGGAAACTCACATGAGGTACCAAGCTGGGAGGATGCTTGAATGTGTAATCCTAAACTCGGGTCCCAAAAAGAGCTATCCGACCAATCGGGGACCCAACTCGGACACGACGAGCTGTCTCGGAAATCACACTGGGTCAGGATATTCAAGTTTTGCTGAGATTTGATTACTTGAGTTACAACTTCTGTATAGAGCTCAACGTAGGGTTTGGTGTAATCCGGGGGTAAAACAAATTCTCTTTCGGATTCGGGTAGCATGGCTGAAATAGCATATAGTCGATCTCGGGGATCCATACAATGTAATCTTCCAAAATTTGGCCGTATGTGTTGTATAGAATTTGAATATGTGCTGAAGAAGAATCCTGTAAGAGACGACACGCTGAGATTATATTTTTCCGGTGGTATAGGGCAATGTATTATCTTCAAAAACAAGCAAATCAAGGCTCGTCTGAAGCAAGACCACTTCACATGACAGGAACCACACTGAATAATTGCTTCTGAGTTCGCCAAGGCAATTTCTTGTTGAACCCAGACCCTACCAAACCATGACCTCGAAATCAAATGACTGAGGGAAACCCCCGTCGCGTAATCGAAAGAAAGAGGAACAGTCATATCACCAATTGTAGAGTCGACGCAACCCTCTGCTGCTGTTATCTCGGGTTTCAAAAAATCGACGTCCACCTGAGAGCCAAGAAACTCCATCCAATTCATAGCGTGGTAACTATTATTTTCCTCTTGGCCAATCCAGGCTACTACCCGATGCGCAAGCCGATAAATTTCACCCATCATTGCGACTTGTGAGCCCTTTTCAGCATCATCTGCTTGGTTGATACATAGGGCATCAATCCACATGACACGCGGCCTGTCGACATAACGCAGGTGTCTTAAAGCGATAGCTAGATTGCGTCGGGACGGGATTCTCTTCACTTTCGCGCCGAGAAAATTCCCCACGGTTACGACGGTAGCAATCTGTTCGTCACCGACATAAACCGGTAAGGGTCGTTTCTCTGAGCCCCATGCGTATGATAGGGCCTCATATTGAGGCGGATCGTCACTGGAGAAGGGTGAGATATGAAATGAGAAGTTGATGGGGTCTTTCCATTGGCCCGGGTGAAGAGTAGCAAGTCTAATGTAAGCCTTTCCTGGTAAGGGATCATAATGGTGTCGATATCTCTTCATAGCGAACATGGTGTTGGGATTATAGAATTAGCCTATAGATTTCTTGCTCAGTTTCCGAAGTGTAAGAACGGACTAAAGATGATCTCGCATTCGCTTAGCTATAAGAAATTGAGATAATGTCAATGACATAGCCTTAATGTTTCGTTAAATGCTGTGACACACAGGGCTGAAGATAATACTACGTTCTAAGTAGCAATAAGCCTTGAAAAATGTGCCTTAAACGAAGAAATTGGAGAAATTAGAGATCTGCACAGCCACCTATGTATGTAGATGCTGCAAATCATATCGAACCAATCGCATCAATCGGCTAAACCGTGGCCGCTTAAAATCTGATGCATCGACTACCCAAATCCGATGTAGAACATTGGTCAGGCGTCTATACTGTTAAGATGTGAATTACTTCTTTTGGAGTTGTAAGATTCATTACGTGGCTAGAAACTGGACTTTTGAGTAGCAAGGCTAATGGATGACAACGCTGCGTACATTGTGCGGCGAGGGGTGGCTGTGAATACCATTAGAACAACTCCAAACAAGAAATTGCAACGCACTATAGCGTTTTAATCCTTAGATGGAATAGGATAGCGAGTATGATTACCAAGTCAAAAACAGTCATACAGAGAAACCCTACCCATTCTCCGCCTTACACCTGCCTTATCATGGATACTTTTGCTATTTACGTCGTCTATGGATCTTTCCAATTTCATTTAACTCTTCAAAGGTCCACATCGGGTGAAGCCGCCCGGGGCTTGCAGTCGGACTAGTACCGGCTTGGCAAAGCTTGTCGAGGCTTAGTCACAGAGCTGAAGAGGTTGAGCCAATCAGAGAATGGCACCATGTACGGGGGTCATAATGTTCTGTAGGACTTCTAGCGCTCGCTTTCGCTCTCGTTAGCAAAAGTCCTCCAGCCAAAACGTTTGGGCAAGAGGTCCATCCACCCTCACTCATTACTGGGTACGCAACGATGCTTTGGCTCACCGTAGTAAAAAGGAATGATATATAGGTAAGTTCTTGGCTCAAGTAATGGATAATTTAATTCATACCATTTCTTGTGCTTGAGCAATAGCAGTAGCAGCGACAACAACAGCAACGACAAGTTCGTAGATCATCTTGTAAAACTCCATATCTCGTTTATACTCATTCGCGGGTCCTCACGTGCCCTCACTCCCCCTAAGATGGCTTTGACTGAACACAACAACATTTCCATTGCACAGATTGTCATCTATGTGCCAGCACTATTCATCGCCGTATGGCTCTCTTTCAAGCACGGGTTCGGTCGTAGCGCCGGATGGCTTTACCTAATCATCTTCTCACTCGCCCGCATTATCGGAGCAGCTATGCAATTAGCTACCATTTCAGACCCGAATAACATCAGTCTCATAATCGGAGCGGCAACTCTGCAAAACGTTGGCGTATCACCCTTGATCATGCTCCAGCTTGGCCTCCTCGGACGCGCCCTCGCGAGCATACGAAAATCAACGACGTCGTTTGTAACTACCCAACGATTGCGTCTCGTCCAAGTCCTTGCGCTCGTGGGTTTGATCCTAGCTATCGTGGGTGGTAGCCAGAGCTATACCAGCACGGGATACAAAGTATCGAATCTCTCACAGGCCGGCACGGGCGTCACAATCGCGGCATACGTCCTCCTAGTCATTGCAACAGTCGCAGTCGCAATGCAACTCTCATACATAGAGGAGGGCGAGAAACGACTCGTACTGGCCGTCGGACTCTCTCTTCCCTTCATCCTCGTCCGATTAGCTTACTCCGGAGAATCGGTGTTCGGTAACAACCCAGACTTCAGCCCATTGACGGCAAATGTCGACATATACCTTGGCATGGCTGTTGTCATGGAGATGGTCGTCATCGTCATTGTTGAGGCCATCGGAATGACATTGCACAAAATCCCGAGCAACACAAGCGCCCCCGTAGCAACTGGTTATCGTCAGCCATGGCAGCAGAGGGAGGCGGACCATGAGATGAATGAACGTAGAGGACACTGATTCTAGGGTTATTTGGTATAGCGTTGGTTTAGAAGCATGCGTTTGAGTTAAATATAGGTATAGAATAGATATCCATAACTTCATTAAATTTTACTTCCACAATCGAAATTTTGAAAAGACGTAAATTATATAATAGACTTATTACATAATTCTAATTTTCTCCACAGTTAACACGCATATGCCTGGTAACTGTATGTTTTCTCAATAGTCCTCGAAGGTTTCGAGATGAAAGTTGCTGTAGCGATAGAAGGGCTCTAAAAAAAGAAATCCAGTGCCCTAAAACAAGGATAACCACGGCCCCGGATCCCGCCAAGACCCCTGTGCCGTAGCGTATCCTTCAGTGGGGAAGCATCCATCTCAATAAGCACATGCTATATCGCGGGGTACTTTCCAACAACGTCAGAAATTTTAGCAACTCCCATTAAGCTTCATTCCTGTCCAACTTCGTCGATCTCTTACCGAAACATCCTACCATGCCGGTAAGTCATTATTCCATTTATCTTTACAGTTAAAGAATCTTCGATATTGACGAAAACAATCAGTTAATAATAGTAACGGGCCTCCCCACGTCCGGCAAAACGACGCGCGCAAAGCAACTATACAGCTTCCTCGAAGAGCGCATCCAAGCACCACCCCCTTCCTCCACCACCTCCCCAACCACAACCACATCCACCACCCCAAAATACCGCCTCCACCTAATATCCGACCAAACCCTCTCCATCCCACGCTCCGTGTACGACCTCTCCGCCACGCCAGCCCACGTACGATCAGCCAACGCATCGGAAAAGGACGCCCGCGCAAGCATCTACGGCGCGGTCAAGCGCGCGCTCAGCGATCGGGACATCGTGATCTTGGACGGGCTGAATTATATCAAGGGCTGGCGGTACCAGCTCTTCTGCGAGTCGAAGGCCGTGCGCACGCCGAGCTGTGTTTTGCAGATCGGATGCGATCGGGAGAGGGCGAGGGGGGTTAATGAGGGGAGGTTGGGGAAGCGGGATACTGCTAGCGCTAGTAATGGGGATGGCGAAGGAGGGGATAAAGTTGGGAAGGAAGATGGGAGTGGGGATGGCGATGTAGAGGGTCCGTACGAGCCGGAGAACTGGGAAAACCTCGTGTTCCGCTACGAGGAGCCGAATCCGATGACACGGTGGGATAGCCCGCTTTTCACGCTGATATGGGAGGATGACGAGGCGCGCGCGAAGCAGGTCTTTGAGAGTATGTGGGATACGATTGCGGGGGAGGCGCGGAAGGTGGTGAGGCCGAACCAGGCGACGGTGCAGCGGAGTAGAGATGCGGGCGGGGATTATTTGTATATCCTCGATAAGGAGACGCAGGAGGTTGTTAAGAAGATATTAGATCAGCAAAGTGATGATGGTGGGGATGATATCAGACTTCCCAGGGGAGGTGGTAGTGATGGTGACGACTTAGTCGTGGAACTGCCGGCTGGGAAGAAAGTTGGATTGCCTCAATTACAACGTTTACGAAGAGCCTATATGGGATTACACAGGGGCGGCATTGGGCTTGAGGGCGTTGGGAATATGGGACCGGAGAGGATACGAGAGACATTCGTGGGTTATCTTAATGATGCTTTTGAAAATGATGGCTAATACATATTATTTGCTAACTATGCGCTCATGGCTTCTTCTAGCCCGGGATTTCCAGGGGCTATTACTTCAAAAGTGCCTGTTATGAAAACATGATATTTCATATCAACCAGCGATATGACCGAAAACTAGAGCAAGAAATTTAGGAAACAGGTAAGTCCTGGTAAGAAAACTAGATATTCGTAGCTGTTAGTCCTTCCTATACAGTCCCAGCCAGTGCCAAGACTCTGCCATCCATAGAGACCTTGAAAACGGCGTCTAAGGTATCGTCGAAACTGTAACGACAAAACTTTTGACCATGTTTCTCATCTCTGAACCACCCAAATCTATCAATATCAAAACGTGGGACGTGCTTCATCGAAGCTACGCTGCCGTCTTTAGAGCGCAAAAGCATAACGCCTTTTTGATGTATTACATCCTCGCAGAATGGCTGGGTAATTCGCTGTCCGCGTGATTCGGAAACACTCCTGGCCGTCTCTCCCTTTGTCTGGTAGTATTTTTCTAGGCGGTAATCGGTAATTGCGGATTCGATTTTAGCGCGAAATGTTGGAAACGAATATATCCAGTCGACGTATGTAGGACTCAATTTCCCATCTTGGCGGGAGTATGTCACGCATTCGCTTGTCTTGCAATCAGATGATTGCCACATTTGGATGCCTTTCTGCCCCGTAGCGCTTCGAGGATGGGTCGTTTTCCTGCTTAATTAAGTGCCTTTTGAGGTCTAAAGCACTACGATCGTTGTTTTCAAACGCTCGTATGGCGGAACGCTACGGGTCTAGATCGTTTTGCAAAGTACCTTTGCCAAATCTGGAACGTCCGGGTCTTTCATTCGGATATGTGGGCGTAGATGAATCGGCCTGAGCAGGATTAACATATCTTTCAGATAGTACCTGTCCGGGTCTTTCATTCGGATATGTGGGCGTAGATGAATTGGCCTGAGCAGGATTAGGCGGTGGAGGCGGTTCTGCTCCGAAAAGTCTGTCTGCCCGGCGCTGAACATGTGCACCCGCCGTTTGCAACTTGAGTTCAGGTCGGTCAAAAGTATAATTTTTGGGCGGAAGCATTTTAGCTATTCCTGGGAGCTCAGGGCATACCAAAATAGATGGGTTAGTCTCAATGATGATAATGACACGAGTACCTAGACTTGTGAAGGTGAAGAAAATAGTAAGGATCACAGTTAATTTGATATATAACCTGGATATGTTATTGGATAAATAGGTACCATACGCGTTTACTGTTGGTTTTGGTCGACGGTAGGCTGTGTCATGATAATGCCCAATGCCCAATGCCCGACGCGAGGATTTGGCCCAGGCAGATTACATATGATAACACATGATAATGTTATAACTCGGCTATCTGATGCTGATAAAAACAGAGAATACAGACCTACTAGAATAAAACTTGAACAATGCCTCTAAATCAATGCAAGAACCAGATATCTCTCGCAAATATGACTACCATAGCCTCCAATGGTGGTGCCACGGTCAATAAACCAACAGAGGAAGATATACTGCGCAAGCCTTGGAAGTACATTGGCTACAAGGGTTATTCAAGCTTCCTTGCATCAGAAGATGAATTCTTCATATTAAGACGTTTCAATACCCTCAATGTTCGGATTGCCTTATCACTTCAAGATGAGATATCTTGGCTGGAGAATAAGTTATCAGAAATTGATCAAGGCTATAGTAGAAGGGATGTGGTAGACATCAACAATGGGACTTTAAGAGATGATCAGAACGACCGTGCAGAACTCTTGAATAGGATAATACCGAAAATACGTTACTATAGTGAGTTTCTCTTAACGGGGTTGGGCCGCTAGGGCTAACGTGGCTGAAGATGACTTCATCATACAGCAAACCACGATGAACAAATACCAACCAGCACCGAGTCGAGTGATTGAATCAATACGCAACTGGCATTTCAATCATGACTATGCTGCAATAAATAAAGATGAGCAGAGTTACTTGGACCATGAAAAGGACTTGATTTCGGTACTTCCGAAAGACAAGTCGCCTGTCCGACGACTAATCGACCATTCGCGGCGACTACGAACATTTTCGATATGGAAGCGGGATCAGCCAAATATCCCAGACTATGATGCCACTTTCGTATCGTATTATTCCGACAAGCGTATCGACGGGTTTGCTTCTGGTCTCATCACGTCGGCAGGAGTTATCTTGCTCATCTCCCCTATTTGGATTCTTCAATCTCTCCAGAGCCAGATCGAGAAATTGGTTGTAATCACTGTATTTATATTCGTATTCTTACTCGCACTATCGTTTGCCATGGCTACAAAACCGTTCGAGGCTTTAGGAGCAACTGCTGCGTAAGTTCCTTTAGGCAAAGGCGGAGGAGCGAGGGGGCAACAATCCCAATATACTAATACTGTAATAGGTATGCTGCAGTCCTAATGGTGTTCCTACAGCTCGGAAGTTCTAGTTAGGAGCAGGAATATCCAACAGGCTCTCATTTGGTGTTCTCCGAGATAGAACATAATAGCTGTTAGTAAATGTGAGTTCTAGGTGAATAAGCCATCAAAGCTATGATCCTGTAGCCGCGACCACCGATACTGGAGAGGGTAAATTAGATAGAAAATGCGGCCAGCTGTAAATATAAGTGAATAATTTCATGTTTTCGAGGAGAAGGCGGGAATGTTTGATGTAGGGAGGGGATTCAATGTTATGTACCTGAACGATTATGTAATCGGGCTATGATGCAGCTAAGTGGGGTCTTGAAATCGGCCAGTAGGTTGCTATTGACTTTGACATTTCTTCGGATAAAATCAACATCTCCCTCCCAAATCATTCTCTTAATCACGGCAACGATACGGACAAAACAGCCACGATGGATAATTCGGACCTCCTAGTATACGCCAAGGAGTATGCGACTACCCAGGATCTGTACGAGCTTCTGGGCGTAACATCCGACACACCCAAACCGGACATTCACCGTGCCTGGTAAGCCAATTCCTGTCCCAACATCCCAAATCTCTATTTCTGATGAACTAGCTAACACCCGTTATCCTCACAGGCGTAAGCGTAGCTTGAAATACCATCCAGACAAAGCAGAAACAAATTTCGACCCGGAAAAATGGGAGCTATTCGAACGAGCCCGGGACGTGCTGTCCGATGCTGCGGCGCGCGAGATCTACGACTCGCAACGGTCCGCCGCCCAACTACGCGAACAACAGCGCCATGCGATGGACGCAAAGAGACGTGCGATGGTGGAAGATCTCGAGGCGCGAGAGCGTGGGGCTATCAAGCGCCCGCGAGATGACCGCAGCGGTGCTACCATGAGCGAAGCAGAGAGGAGACGTTTGGCAGAAGCAGGGAAACGCCGCTTAGAAGAGAGGCAGCGGTTAATGAGAGAAGCAGAGGCCAGGGAGAGACAGCGAGATCTAGAACGAGAAAGGGAGCAACCAAGAAAAGAAGATCAACAGAAACCGGAACCATCGAGCCGTCGAAGGACTCCCGATGCGTCGAGTGTGGCCGAGTCGAAAATAGATATCGATCCGGAACCATCAGCCCAAAATGTGGATGGTTACGATGACCAGATTGCGGATATCGAGCGAAAAATCCGAGAGGCGCGGCTGAGGAAAGCAGCAAAGAAGGATAAGAAGGCAACACGAAAGAATGATGTGCCTGGTGGCGACAAGCTTGAGGCTCATCAGGCTAAACCCACTCCTGACATACCAGAAGAGCTGAAAGCTGACGAGAAGAAGGAACCCTCGATATCGTCTACAAGAGCAACGAAATCATTCTCATTCGCCCCAACTACCAATGCGTCCAACAATGGAAATGCTACGACAGACAATAAACCCCGAGCCAAGGGTGATTTTTCGTCGACAATGGCCAGGTTACGAGCTGCGCAAGCTGAGAAGGAAGCAAGAAAAAAGGCGGAAGAAGCTTCGACTACTACCACTGGTGCTGAAGTCGGTAGCTGATGGTGGGCCTCTGTTGTTTGACTGTCTGGATACTATTATTCCCTTACCTTTCGATATCATGATACCCCTAGTCACATAGTTTATGAAAGAATAGATATGTTCATGCCTTGAATAAAGACGAGATCCATACTAACTGAATTCCTGATACGCAATGTGATGTTTTCAAGCCTAGTGCACAACCCACCCATTCACACCCATCGTAGGAAAAACGGATAAATAAGTAACATGGATTGAATTGCCTCGATTCAATTATGAGCTGAAGCTCTATTATTCTTCTTCATAGGATACATCGGCTTCAGAGTAGCGATACCAGCACATCTACATACCTATACCATACAACTCTCCCAAGTCTACTTTAGTTCTACAACCCCCTTCTCTCCTCTCCACAACGTCAATGACCAGAATCAGAATTCCACTCCTCGGACAACTTCTCCCTCAACCAATCCGGCACAAACGCCTTGATCTTAACAGACTGCCTATCACCTTCCTCCTCCTCTTCCGCCCCCCACTTCAACACAAACTCGTCCTCGTCGGGGTTAAACGGCTTCGCGCGCGTCTCGCCGAGGAGCTCCACGCCCGTCATGATGTGCAGCCGACACAGCGCCAGCCCAACATTACCCACGCCGCCCAGCCATGTTCCCGCACTGGTGCCCTTAGTGCGGCCCTTGCGGGAAATAGCCAGGTTCGACGGGACGTTTTCCGCTGATATCTCATTCCCTTCCTCCATCCCGTTCACCCAAGGGTTATACTCGAGTTTCCGCGGCGATGGAGAGGATGCTGATGCTGAGGAGGACGGATACAAAAGGCAAGGCAAGATACGCTTCCGCACGACCCCGCGATGCCGCGTCCGGATCGTCAGCTCCTGCCCTACATAGCACCCCTTCCGGAAGTCGATGCCCCCGGCGGCGTCCATGTTCGCCTCCTGCGGCAACGCCTGTTCGCGCGGGATCTCAGCCTGCCCTTCCGCTACGCCGAGCAGATAGCGATGGATCCGGTACGCCGTGTCATCGTACTTCTCAAGATTCAAATCCAGATACCCCGCGCCATCACCAAGCCTTAAAACACGCGATCCCATCCCCGGGGCGCGGGTATCAGGGAGCGTAATACCATCCTTCATCCCCTCCAGCGCAGGCAGTGAAGCAGAAGCGCCGTCCCAGACCTGCCACACCGAACACTCCTCCTCGTGCAAAACCCGACAAGACACCATGCGCCGCAGCTTATACCGCTTCATATGCGCGGCCAGGGCCTCAGCCTGTCCCGCATCAACCTCAATCACGAACGCCTCTCCCTCCACAGCCGTACCCCCGCCCAGGCCGAGCGTGTCGCGGTACACGAAGACGTCGTTCAGCACGCGGCCCCGCGCATTCAGGAACGCGGCGTAGAACCCCGGCGCCGCAGCCTCGGCAGCCGCTGCTGCGTCGATCTGCGGCGTGTTGAGCCGGCGACCGTTTCCCGGCTCCGCGACGACGCTCCGCGTCACGAGCCCGTGCAGGAACTTCGCGGCGTCGGGGCCCGCTACGCTGATCAGGCGGCGCGAGGACAGCTGGGCGTAGCCCGCTGGTGGGGGCGCTGGGATGGGCTCTCTCCGACGTGTTGGTGTTGCGGTTGCGGAGAACTGCCGCCGCCGGCACGAGGTGCATATGAAGGAGCTGAGGGCCTTGCGGCCCGGGGGTAGGATCTGCTGCATTGCGCGTACGGCGGTGGCTTTACGGTCCGTGGGTTGGCGTTTCCCATGGATGGGGGGATGGATGGATGGGGATGCCTGGATGCGCGATATCGGATCCTGGTTTTTCGCTGGATGCGGTGGTATACCCCGTATTGGCGTCGACAAGGCTAGGGCTACGTATGTACGTAGGCTGTGAGGAAGGTTTCTTGTTGTCGGGTTGACGTGTTACCGCGGCTTCCGGCGGATGGGTGGGATGCGCGATATGATGTAACCGTGGGAAACTTCGCCCTAAAGGTTTTTTTTTCATTGGTAACGCGAAACGGGGAAGCTTCGGGGTCGGCTTCGGAAGGTCGGTAATCGGCCTGGTTCGGCCCCGACGCCCTACGGATCCCCCTCTATTACCGTGGCTTCCAGGCGTTCCTACGGGGCAGTTACAGGGCGTTTACAAGGCTAGGGTTAGTGCACTTGCCCCGTCTGCCCGTGAACATCTCCTTGTTACGGCTGTTACGGCTGTTACGGCTGTTACGGCTGTTACGGCTGTTACGGCTGTTACGGTAGCTACTGCTATATCCATATTCACCCGACTATTGACGCGAAGTTTCCCGTAGTCTCGGCGCGGGGTTAAAAGTTACGAGGGACGCCTTGTAATCGACTCTTGCCCTTACCTCTAAGGCTTTTTACCATGTCCGCGTGAATTGGTCACGTTGGCTTGAAAAGGATTCCGCGCGACCCGCGGTTTCAACCTATGTTGGTGCCTATCTTGTTTCCGTGGATTGCATTCCTTCCAATAGGTACAATACAATAATACCTGGGCGGTCCAGAGAGATATGCCGGGTCCGAATCGCCCATAATTCCTTTCTATCCGAAACAGCCACGACGACGACGATGATGGTGTTGGCGATGCTGGTTACCTACTGTAGGCTGCTAGGTTAGCCCTGAAGTTTACGTGCGTAACTTCTTTAACCCAGCTGCCCAGGACCCTTACTGCATCGCCCGGTAGTCCGTTCGTTCCCACAGCGGATATGCGCGTCGCGGGCTTAAGTTATCACGTCAGCGGTACCTAGTAGTGTTTGGAATCCGTACCTGTGATCTTCGAAGGATATGTCTAATACGGCTGACTGGATTACCTACCTAGCTATGCTATTTTCTAGATAGCGGCTACCTAGTAGGTAGTGATTTGGAATAAGCACATATGTACCTAACTAGAATCTAGATATTAGGTCCAACGTTTTGGTTTAAAGGTGCAACTAGTTACTTCCTAGGTAAGTACTTCTAGGCGTAGTCCGGGTCGAGGAAATAATCCGCGAGCGGATCTACTCAATTCTAAGGCTAAGTACCCTATACATCGCTATTAAGGTGAACTACATAAAGTGCCCGGCGCTCTTTGCAAATGTGCATACAATCCCGAATATGCCTGCGTTGCCTTATGAGACCATCATGATCTGCTTGCATGCAGTAGCATAAGTTAAACCAAAGCCCGATTTTGTGAAACCAGCTGCAACGTATCCATACGCCTTACATCTGGATGCACATATGTACATTACCCATATGGATATGGATATGGATGGGATGGATGTTAGGTACCAACGTGTGGTGTGTGTATGAAGTGGCTTATACGTTGGCAGGTTGAGGTCTCGAGTCCAATTGCCAACTAGTTTAGTCATCACATGAAAAGACCAGACAGTCCAAGCAGTCCAGGGTGGTTGGAATCTCGTTCACTCGACCCAGTCAGATCTCGCATAGTCTCTCCATAGGCACGCTGTAATGTCGTCGGGCTTAGCCAATTGATATGCAGCCCGCAAATGATTCGCACGGTCGTTGGACGATGTAGGTATGAATCAGCGCGCGCTCCCCGCCGTCTTCCCACCACACACGCTACGCTGCACTACACGCTTGTGTGTCCAGTGTCTAGTGTGTCCCGCCAGTTTGCAAGATCTCACCGCTCCTCTGGATAGGCCAACGTCCAAGCGAGCGAGTCTGTGTGGCTGCTTCGCGACGGCCCCTCCAGCTTCTGGCGGTCGACAACTTTTTTACCTACCAGCCTAGCAGTTGCATCGACCGGCAAGATGACTAACTGGGTCAACTCGCGAGGTCGTGTAGCAGCCAGCAGCCATTCATTCATCCCACTATCGATCTATCCGTCACTACGCGGGTCCGTCCTTAGCCACACATGACGGCACTTAGCCTTTCCGAGACTTAATCAACCACGGGCAGCACGGGCAGCACGGGTTGGCCATACGCATAGTAGTTTAGCCCTGCTGGATACTACTATGGCAGTATGGTAGGTAGATGCAACTAGATGCAACTAGATACATGTATCTGCTGCAATATGTACATATCTTCACCGAATCTTTTACACATTAGACTGGATGTTTCTGTTTCATCTAGTTTCGTGTTGAATGATCAAGATCGATCACGGGAGAAGCCCATCCTAGGCCTTCTTGACTCAGGGCTTTCCTTTAGGCGGCTCTTGTTTAATTGCTTGCGCCCGCGCACATACCGGCTCGCCTAGCAGATCATCTGGGCGTCGAGGCGCAAATCTAGATCATTTCGGATTTGGAGTCCAATGTAAGTAGGCAGGTAAGCAATTGCTTGATTGTTTGATTAAGCTGCTCACGACATAAGGCAACTGAGACATGTGATGCCATGCCAGCTCAATAGGCAATTTGCGAAGTTGGCGACAATAAGAAACATACCGATACTGACACTTCGGCGATTACCTATCGGTCGATTATCGTCTGTTGAACTGCGACGATTGAGGTAGGTAGATCATCTATGCAAATCATCTACACAACTGCGTGCAACATTAAAAAAAAAGAGAGAATACGGCATCACATGCCCCAGAGGCGAAAGAATGCGATGTCGAAGATATCGTGATTTGAGTCTCTTAAATATCGGGGTTTGAAAGCAACAGCAACAGCAACATTCGCGATCTTACATGCCTACATAGCAAGTCAATATATCATAATTTAGCGTAGACGGGTAAAAGCATCTGTTCCATTCCAGAAACTGAGGCGCAGGTTAGGTACAGTCATCATCATCATCGCTATCACCACTTATCACCACTATCGTTAGATGGAGGAGCCAATAGTAAAGGGCAATGAAACCCAAGAGAGGCGACGGTAGCGAAAACGGACGAGTCTTACTGGTCGTCTCCTACGACCGGCGTCCCATCAATTGGACATAGCGGTGTCAAGGGTAGAAGCTGACCGCAGATTGGGGTTACGGCGGTTGACCTATGCGGGAGTGCAAGGGGGTCCTCCAGCGTAGGCGTGGCCGTGTTGGTATTGTACAATGCAATAATAATTAACAGTAGGTCTTTGCAGTCTGCAGTCAATCTGCAGTCTGCATAGAAGATAGAAGATAGAACACCGTATTATCTCAGCACCGTCATCAATCAGTTCGTGCTTCTCCGCTGCCTTTCCCCTTTACGGAAAGAAATAAGAGCTTAGGGTTACACGGAAGCTCTTTTGTCCCCTAAGAAAAAGAAATCCGAGGAGAATGATAGGGCAATTGACGACAGCACCCCTCGCTAAACAGCTCCCTACCTACTACATATACCTAGTAGTAAGATGAGAGCTATGAACCAGACTGGCGGCGCTCGCAGCGCTGACGGTGTAGAAGCCGACCTGATTATCTGCCAGCTCTTTCGTACCGGATGCGAGGAAAAAGTATCCGTAAGACAATATGGTTGAGATTCAATCGTATCAATGGTTCATCTTCGTAGGGGTCCAGATTGCTTGCCCTGACTGACTACCAGAACGGTACTTCTCCGAATTGCCTATTTACATACCGTAGATACATACCGCAGGCGGGAGTGATACCCGCAAGTAGCTGTTTCGGCGTCTATCGTGGAGAATCTAGACCTTGTAAAGGAGGTAAAAGGGACCACGTAGCGTCCGAAAGGGGAGTCTTAGCATCGGTAACTTCTCCGACCAAGCGGGTTATCAGATGATTTGTACGGATCATGACTCAAAATGAAGAATTCCGAAAGAGCCTAGGTTTAAGGAGGTTCAATATTGAAAACATTCAAGCACACAATTGTGATTGAAAAAAGAAAATATATAAAATATCACCAAAAAATATCCACTTAGCTTCAAGTATTTTTTTTTTCAGCCGGTCCAGGGGATACAGCTATCCATACGAACGGTAAACGAGATTGTGGGGTGTGTCACAGACCTTAAAGATCGCGCGGCAGGAATTGATTGGACAACGAACGGTTTTTACCTTTGGCTCTGCGCGCGGGAAGCCCAGACAGTTGGGATTTTCTTACTTGAGCTAAAACCGGAACTAGTTCGTTTCCAGTTAGTGTCCGGTATCTACCTTATATCTTGTACCTTAGTCTTGTGGATCTAAGATAATCACCCGACGACCCGACAACAAGGTCCAGTGCCCTGTGCACGGTCCCCCCTCTTTCCTTTTCCCCCCCCAAAGACGAAAAGTACACACGGCCAAAAAGCCAAGACTTTTGATGAGCAGGCGGAAGGCTCAACTATCATGTCTGCCTGATCTGATGAGCGATTGCCCAGGTGCCCAGGTGAAGAGTCAAGGCCTCGCAACCCACTACCCAATTGAGAGGCAGGGGTAGGCGAGATAATCTTGCTATGTACCTTGACATCAAACTAGCCCAAGCCTCTTTGCTGTCATGATAATCTCTCTGTCTCTGACTCTTTAATTCCGGCCTCCGTCGGATATTGTATTCCATCTTACGGACGTAATGATTTCCTCATCCCCCTTCCCCCTTTGTTACTTAGGTACCTACATATGTACATACCACCTCATACCAACATACCGGATACGCACGCCATCTAATTACGCAAAACAATGAAAGACTTCGATTAACAATCAGGATTCGATTCTTTTCCATCATCATGATGTTTTATGAAACCCTTTGTTTTAACGGAATCAGGGTCTTCGGTCTTTTTTTGTGCGCCGGACTTACGTTACTAAGCTAAACAACCGCTAACCCGACCTGTCCGATTAAAATGTTGACGAAATGTTTTGATAGAATTTCGGGAACCGGTACTAACGCGGGGTTTGTCATCTCTCCGAGTCCCTTCAGGTACTGCGATAGTTAGCATGTACCTAATTTTTTGTAGCAGGGTGGATTGAAATTCTGTACCAGGTAGACTTCGTCAATTTAGTTAGGATAGCCCTGATATGTTGCAAGTTAGTAAGATCCCCTCACACCTCGGCATCACAAATGTGTGATGATGAATCAACTAATGATTACCGATATCGCGGCATACACGGGAACGCTTTATTCCTCATCAACTCCGTCGCGCATGACTCAATCACTTAGAAATCTAGATCAATTTGATAACTCCCGCTTTACATAATCATGTGACAATATAGTTCAATATTCACGAGGTAGTCAATTGATCACTTGCATATTGGGGGAAATAATGTTTGACTAATTCTTTGTATTGTATTTTTAATTGATGGGCTTCGACTGCGTCTGTGTGCGTGCAGTATGTGATAGCCTTCGCTATGTAGCAATTGAAATTCGGTGAAGCGAGGCCAACATGTATTGTATGTTGTGTTCCACTCGACCTTTGAGTTTTGAACCCAGCATATTTTTTTATGCGTGGGTTAAAAACCAGGGAGCGAAAACAAGCCCCGCTAGTCCACTCCAGTCCTGATGTTTACCGCTTTCGGTAGTACCCTTTCAATAGTCCTCCAATAGAAAATAACTTGTGAGCGGTGACATATGCTCCCAGATGCGATTACCTAGTCTCGTTCTAGGTTGCGGTGATACCCGTCTTTTCCCCTTCCTCCTCCTCAGGTAGTCGTAGTCGTATTGACACAAATGAACAAAGTAAAAAAAGAAAAAGAAATCAAATGAAGTCGCTCGCGCTTTAAAATGCCATGCCGCTATTGGTATTTTGAAACGCCACCCAGATGCAGATGAAGAAATCACATTATGTCAAACAAGACCCGACGCTGATGCAAGCCGTGAAAGATCAACAAGTATTAAGACAGTCCTCCTAGTAAACCGATATCGCGGATACTATTCTTCCCGTATTTCGCGGCGGTAAGTAGTATCCATCGTTGTAGAAATCTGCCTTGCTGTCTTCTTCGTCTTGCCTCGGATCGTAGTACTTCGTCGTGACTGTGGTTTCCTTCTGCTTATCTGAGAATGTAGGTATAGATGCGGCTGGTGGTGAAGGAGGCATTGCCTCGTCTTCTGATGAGTCGGAGTCGTGCTCTAGCTCGGGAGGTGATGTTATCAGGTGTGATGGTGATCGTGTGAGTGTCAAAGCGTCGTAGTCTTCGTCGTCGTCCTCAAAGTCGTCATCATCCTCGTCCATCGTGTATAATTGGGGAGATGGCGGTACTACGACGTTGGAAGGTATCCGTCGTAGCGGTGCCGCATCTACCATCTCCACATCTTCGTCCTCGTCTTCCGTGTCGCTGTCCGAGTCGGAGGAGTCCGCTTCCCAGTCGTCCTCCATGGCAGTGCTGTCGGCCCATTGCACGTGCCTCTCTTCGGTCTTGGGTGCGGCTCCTCGGACGGATTGGTTGAACCAGCTCTCTTGTTCTTGTTCGGCCTCGGCAAGGTCGAGCATTAATGAGTCCAGTAAGTTGGCGTGACCAACAAGGAGACGAAGGTTGTGGTCAGGTCGGGCAGCTTCATTGGAAAGCTTAGCCCGTGCCTTGTGAGCGAGAAAGTAAGTCTGGGTAACGGACATCTTCTTTCTCAGTGGTGATGAGGTTGATTGTGTGTATGGGTGATGGGAAGTAGGGTGAAAAGGTGACGGTGAGGTTGTGGAAACCATTTTGTATGATATGATGCTTGTCAGCGTCTGTGTGTTCGTTTTGTATGATAATGGTGCAATAGGTTGCAATATTATTTTTTTGTTGTGTTGTGTGAGTCAGGCACCGATATCCGGCCAAGGGTAGGAGAGGCAATGACCGAACAGCGAAGGCTTCTCTTTTATGTGCAATTACGATCGTTGAACTTTTTTTCGGCAGGCGTAGTGGGGACCGGGGGATGGGGGGCTCTTCAAAAGGTACAAAGGTACAAAGAACGTGGTACCCTATACCGACCGCCTTTGCGAAATTTCGAGGCTTGCGGTGTGGAGTTGTTAAGTGCTGCGTTGGTAGGGCGCCGTGCCACGATCTCAATGTCAGTTGAAGTATTATATGCTGGTATACTAGTTACTAGGTACCGTGGTCTCTGGGGTCTCTGGGGAATGATGAGGTTTGAGTGGAAATGATGAATATGAATTCAAGATGAAGCTTCCGGAGAACTGAAAGTGGAATGGGGGCGAGAGGGCTTTCTTTTGTAATATACCCGCTGACTAGATCGTCTGTTGAATTCGAAATACATCCAATACATACAAGCCCATCGAGTTGTAATAAATGCGATGATGGACTTTTGCTTCGGGCTTAAACGGTGACGGGGGTTCGGATCATTCGTAATGGGCGCGCAATTGATTAATTCTCCCTGGTTCGGTACTTCGCTACTTTGGTACATACAACAATCCATCCCATCCATGGATGGGTCCATGGATCTATGGATGTACATATGTAGTGTATGACAAGGCAACCAGGCATGCCCCGTACCCCTGCACCTTCTTACGCACATGCATCCTTTCACCGCAATAATAAGTACAGAACGTACCGAGTTACCTCCACGTATTATGTGTACACTTATGCGTACTAGCGGGCCAAGACAGACTTGCACAAAATATCGAATCGCAGGCAACTTCGCCGACCGCTTCTAAGGCTTGCTTAAGTCATAAGCCCGCATTCCTTTTGTCCTCTCAACTGCGCAGTGTCATCGGAAACAATCAGTCAGTCAATCTAAGCATCCATTTGCGAACAGGGATGCGATGCAATGTCTTATATCAAAACAATAATGCCCACCTAGATTGCCAGATAGAAAGTCGGACTTTGACTGCTGACCGTTGTGGCTCTGCTATGACACTGCACTGCACATAATAGGCATGATAGACCGCTATGGCGATACAGTTCAAGGTTATTGGAACATGTCAACCTTGAAGTTGCCTAGGGCTGCTAGGCTAGTTGGTTACATAACCGATGGCACGAGATTCGCTTTCGGGTTGAAACCCGTTCCCCGTACTGCCCGTATTCCGTAAGCTAGCGGGTTCATAATAATGACATCAAATTCCACAGCGTAACGTATCTGCATAATATTTGCATAAACCTAATATTCCAATTTTTATAGGGGAAATTCTATGTGATACTAATGGCTACTATGGATTGCTGATGAATCGGATCTCAGTCGGGATTGTTCAGCAAGGGTTGACATAATACGGCAATATTCGAACACTGAAACTTTGACCGGTACATACTAGTCGGGTTCGAATTAATAATTATGCCGCTTTGCAATATACTATTCAACAAGGCACAACCATATCACCGAAGGAAATAAAAGTCGGCTTTTATTTATCCTCGATTCTAACTACGTTAGTCAAACTATGCAGTATAGGATGATTCATCAATCATTTATTCTTTTTATTGGTGATCGTCGCAATCTGTGACTCTTCCTTTTGACACGGAACTAATATGGCGATAATAATCCTCTAACGTTGAACGCCCATTCTAATAACCACCAAAGTCCGCGATCTCCGTGACCCGTAGTCGCTTATCGCACAGATCGATCACATCACTAAAAAAGCACATGCATATATAATGGCAATCCTAAGTAAACCTGTAATAAGGCAGAAACACACCGAGCCCTATTTTCTACCTAGATTTTATAGGTACTTACAGCGTATGGAGTGTTGACAAGCCACCATCTCGATGCATGAAATGACAAATCCACAAAAGAATACGTAGGGCGCAATTGCAAACCGTAGTTAAAAACTCAAAAATCCATTACTGCCCGAGCCGTCGCAGTCGTAACCAGGCTGTCACAAGGGTGGGCTAGATGGGTCACAAGATTACTCGCAAGGGCAATCGGACTTGGAAGCCTTTTTTATTTGACCAAGCCCGAAGTCGCTTAAGGTTGGGTAAATTCGGAGCCGTGCCAATGCCGCCCGTCCCGTTAGTATCCTACGAGAAGAATAAATTCAAATATGAGTAATCCGAAAACTACCGGAGCTCGCAATTGTGTGAGTTTCTGTATGCGGGGTTGTAGATAACGGGTTTCTCTCGGTCTAGATTCGCTACCGAGTGAAGACCTAGGCATGTACGAAGCGAGCAAACCGTTCGTTCTCGATTTTCACTGACTCATGAGAGCGTCCCGATGTCCCGTTGTCCAGTTGTCCACATGGGCGCAGTTTATCAAGACGAATGCGACGCAGCTAATTTGCGAGCTTCATCACGAGGAGGAATTAGGCACACCGTTTACGCATTTGGATGCGCACTTGCGTCGTAACTATACACATCCGTATAGCATTCATTCGCAATTGTGAACACTTGATGTAAGGCTGCATATGGGAATCAGTGCCAAGGTATTTTGTAGTCTGTTCGCGTTCAATTGACAAAAATGAAAATGGACGAACGAGAAGCAGTTCCACCCGTGTGGTCTTTTGTTCATGAAACCAATAACCCCCATACGACTCTTTGATTCAGACCGAAGTTTGCCAAGCTTGCATAAAAACGCATTGTCTTCGAAAGGATTTGGCAAATTGCTTCGAGAACATTTCCATTTTCAGACCATACGACAATATCAAATAAGAAGGCTTGGCGCTCTCCCGTTCGTTGATTTGCGAATTCGAAACCAGCTATGTGGAGAAGGTAAGACCGAGGTGACAACTAAAAAGTACAATACTTTCCTCTATTGTGTATCTGACGGCATAATTTATGAACTAATATACCATCGAATACAATAACTCAAAAGACCCAGGCATCCCTTAGCCTTTCAAAGTACCCGGTGCTTGTCAGCTTATGTTCCATTCCTATGACATTTGGCTGTGCAGGTACAGTACCTCTCTTACCTCTCCGTAGGGCTGAAATTGCATTATTATGTAAATATATGAATAAGGTTAGAGCGGTTAGAACGGCTACGAATTAAACCTTAGGCGCCCTTAAAGGGCGGGCAGGCGGGTTACCCAGACTGCCGGAAATGGAAGCCACGGTTTCACGGACCTTGGTCGATAAAGTAAGAAATTATTTTCCCCAGGATTCCTGGATCTTACCTAATTTCAACTAGATTGAATCTCTCTCCTAGCCACCAAGCCACTTAACTAACCACCTAATCACCCTATCCTCGAGGGTTCTCGCGAATTTTTGCCAATGCCGTTCTCTCGCTTCGGTCATCTCCATAGAGACAAGCCACCGCTCTTCAAGGGTGACCATTGGGTCTAGTAACGTAGTATTGGAAGGGATTATCGAGATTCTCGACATTGCAGTGTGTGGCTTTGCAATTTTTAAATGCTTCATCTCGAGAGCCAATACAATTCCAGAATAGATCATGAGCCTTGGCATTGGCATGGTCATATCTACCAACCTCGTAAACCCGTACGAGTTGTTGGATGTTATGTACTAATGTTGCTATGACGACGATATGAGATTCGTGACAATTCCTTCATCGGCAGATGCAGCCGCGCTGGCTTATCATCACGATCTTAACGGATTTAAACCCATGCTAACAAGATGGTAGCTCATGGAAGATCTCTATCTTAACATCTTAATAGTGCAGAATGGTCCTTGTCCCTGCCAAGAGTTAACAATCAGGAATCCTTCTAAAGACTATTGGCGATTAAGTGTCGCGAGATCAAGATCAATAATCTAGTTCCCACAAGAAACGACAACGGGTTAGGATTGGATCGCTATCTCCTATTGTGTCCGATAAATTATTCCAGGCGGGCTTTTCGGAGACATTCTGACTACATCCCGTACCGTCTCACTGATGGATCTAAAATAACGGAACAAATTCTTCATATACGACAATTTATTCACGAAGGAACAGACCTGCATGCTCTAGATTAATTCATCTCGACTGGAAAGCAAATATAATCTCAGAACCTTGATGCGAGTCTAGGGAGGGTTGCAGAGAACATTTTCCTGTCTTACGACCTTCGAGGAAACCTTCTGGAATGTTTCTCTTGCGTCTTACACGTGGTCGAATCTGCAGGAGACTTTGCTTACGGTAGCAATGGTCTTCCCAGCTGGAGACGAACCAGCCAGTCGAATTACAGCATCAATCAATCGTTGCGCGGATCTGATACAACGTCTGGTCGAGCGATGATACCCAATTTCCTCTAGAGACGCGATAGCCTTTTTACTACTTACTCGCATGCAAGCAAACCGGCATGAAGCTTTTCCAGATGAGGGTTTACCTACATACGACTTGTAGGGTTCTTCGCTCCTAGTGGGCGATTATACAGATATCAACGTTCCCCTATCCCGCACAGCTGCGGCGCATTCTGTCCGTAGTGCATCGACCACTACTACGGTAACTATGACGATATGGCGATAGGGCATTCCAAATCCTTCAGCTCTACTCCGTGTGCCGACCATTTTCACGAGTACCAAGTAACTTATGTACGACGCCGATTGGCGGTGCGGCGCGAAGGATTCATGTGTGCAACCCTCCCTTCGTACAGAAAAAACGTGGCATCCACGGTGCCTGGTTGCAACCCCTTCAAACATTCGGCAGTCCAATTTCCCCTCTGACATCAGCAGCCACACACCCTCACGAACCATTCCAGTGTGCTTGGTGCGTTCGGTGCGTTTGTTACGTTTGGTGAGGTTGCCGTCAGGAGGTCCGGTCCAACTTACTTACACACCTAGGTCGGCCGCCATTGCCGAGTTGGAAATCAGGATGCATCAGGGCGCGCACGCGACAGCACTGCACTCCTATCTGGTGCAGATTTCTATGTCTGTGAGTTATGTTTATGGTGATTCATCATCTCAAACGGCCGAGTGCCTCCGAAAGCCTGCTTGATGATCGACGTGCTGCAGGCAAGACATATACGACCTCGTGCTATCTAGCTCCTTCTCGTGATAACGGATAGGAACAGCACCGTTTTGCCATAAGTGTATGTCTCGGCTTCGCGTGTTGCCGGCACAATTTTGGTCAGCGTGCATGATCCGAGCAACAATAGAATGGGACACAGGTATCAGCATGAACTATCATCGATCAGTTGTAATATCTATCAATTATCAAATTGTTTTGTCGATCGTTACCGGGAAACAATATCAAACAAATACGGCTTTCGCTTTTGGCAGCCGCACGCGTATTCGCGAATCTTTACGGCACTTAACGCAACGATGGTGGGATGAAATACGCGGGCTGCGCGGGATACACGGCATGGGTCTTCTTCTCTTTCTCCCCTGTCTCTCCGCACGTGGCCCTACAACGTCCCACCCTATTAAGAACCTTGCAGGGCACGCGTGAGATACATACTATGACATGTAACTCGCCCAATCAGGCAGGTAAGTTCTCGATTTGTCAACATCAGGTACCTTTTTGAGTGGAGAGGTACTTATGTGGTTAGAGCTCGAAAAAATGTAAGCAATATTTGCTCTGTAATCATCGCTATTACACGCCTAAGGAATGTAAGTAATTTGCGAGTCTACCTTGTTTGAGGGCGGATCGCCAGGTGAAGGATACCTACATGGAAAGTAAGTCACCAATATTAATTACTTACCTACTTAGTACAATACAAAGTACCTACATACATGTATGAATAAAATATTACCTAGCGTTCCTGGATAGGTTTCATTGACTAGCTCAAGCGTCGTACGGGGTCGTTCCTCGACAAGACAGAGCCTCGTTTTGCTTTTGAGGAATTCCTTGTGTCCCACCACCTACCTATAGACGTACGTGGCTAGAGACACGGATATAAGCCCAGCCGCGCCATGAACGGACACGGCGTTTGGATGGCTTGGCCAAGTTGGTGCCTAGCGAGTTGGCGAGATACTTGCCTAGTATAGTATGTGGCGTTTCCATCTTTGCTTTTTGCTATCTACCTATTTCTCTATCCCACCAAAAAAGAATTGTGTTGGTAGCCTGCTTACAGTAGTAGCTAATTTCCCTTTTCATACCTCTTTCACCTTGTAGAATGTCATCATCAGCCCAGTCCCACCAGTTCGCGGTGCTCTTATGTCAGAGTAGCGGAAATTGTATGGTATGTCTGTATGCACACACTATCAATTCTACTACGTTCGTACATACATACATACATACATACATGAGATGCAGAGCTGCCGATCTCGGATCCGCCTTATTGAATTCTAGGTAAGCTAGATAGGTTATATCGGTACTTACATTACCCAGAGCATAGATCGCAAAGGTTAAAGGATATATTATCACGCTATCTGAGTAATATAGGAGATTGTCTATGCCGAAATGGGGATGCCGTATTAATGCTACAAGGGACTGATCTGACGGTCCCAGGAACTTGGTATTGGACGATCTTATGGCTGGTAGGGGCTGTATGGGCGAGAAGTCGCGATACTTCGGTTCGTCGGTACATCATAATGCTAGTGTATGGGACATCGACTACATGGAGCCTATTATGGCAATAGGATAGATGGGGATCCGCAGGACTATTCGTGCTATATGCTTCTTATCTTGATGCTCATCTCTCTGGATCTTATTCCTTGTCCTAGCCTAGCCAGCATGCTTGACATCGATGAGTTGTCTTCTGTACATAGTATGCTTTGCCGAATGATCGGCTTGATGCGAGCCTTGACAAGGCCATTGGCTATTACCCCGTTGACAAATCATCCAGGGGGGTAAGCCACTTCATGCCTCCCTTGTTCCCCTCTCTTAACGACAGCCAATCCGTTCTGTTAGACAGGCTAGGGTAAGCAAGCAGGAGCAAGTCCCTGCCAGGCCGCCACATGGAAGATTACTCATGGTGTCTACTGCCGTTCCAAATTCTCGGGTTATGGCACCTTGGGGAAATTGCTCTCCTTTGCCCTTCTAGAAGGATTGTTTTCTTCCATACATAATGAGACTCTGACACGCTTGGTAGGTAAGAACTATGGCGTCTATGCGTAAGCTTCATTTGAATTCCCCTGGAGAAGCTATAGAGCTCTACGTTATAATCAGCAGAATTGCTCAGGGGCGCATAAGTCAATGCAGAATCTCCAGCTGCCAGATTCCAGAGCCCCTTATGGGAAGGTAAATAGACTCCATTGGCTACTATACCTTCAGGTAGGAGGGGGATGTGAAACCTAACGTCAAAGGCGTGTGGGTGAGGTCGTATAGAACGACGCCAGCATTCCTTAGCTGGTGTGTTCCTGCAGGACTACATCATGGAGATACACATTAGTGGTGACAGCCCAGTTAGATAGACCCAAGTCCTCGGGTTCCAGCCCCAGAAACTACCGTCCCGTGTGTCTGTTACAACCTGGCCCAGCCCAACATGACCGGGATAATAGTTGGGGATGTCCTGGGGTAGATGTTAATGGTGTGCGCCCCTTTGCTGTGACAGGTCTTGATTATTTCCTCGGAACCTTCCTACTAGTCCTCGTACGAGTTAGGAATGGACTAGCTTAGGCCCATGGTGTCGGCCGTGTGCGAGCTCAGAGACCATCGAAGAAAAGCAATTGTCGGTGACTATGAAGAAGAACTTGTTCCTCATAAACCTAGGCGGTCCCGACTCTCTGTTTCTCTTCAGCCATGGCTTAAATAGCTTCGTGCCTGAATAAATGCGGGACACTAGTCTTGTCTGTTACTCGGCCGATAGACGACGCTTCGCGTTCCTATGTAGATGATAAAGAGTCTTGTTTGTCTTGCTTGGACATTGTTAATCCCCTCCACCCTTACTTCTATGAAACAGCACATATGGTCTAGATGGTCTAGAATTTGCGGAGGGAGATGGTAGCGTCATCTTACAGATTAACAAGCAACTCATGTGAGACCAAAGAGACGTACCTTATACCGCCATGGCATTCCAAGCAGTATACGAGCAGTAGCATGTGATAAGCCATCGAAGGTACGGAGTATAGCCAAAGACATTATTCCTTTTTTCTATCCATCTATAGATTAATAAACGCCTATTCGTAATGCAGATCACTCGAGCCGAAGCTTCTTCCGCTTTCTCTTTCCTCCAACTTCCCGATGTTCCTCTATATTCAACAAAGCTTCCCTCTTCTTCTCGCCGACCTCCTTCATGTGGTCGCGGATGAATCTAGTTTCCAAGTTAACACCTTCCTCTTCCCACTCCTCTAAGTCCCTACCCACGCGCGTTTCTATAGCGTGGATACGCTCTACGTCTCGCTGCCCGACGAAAGTGACGGCATCACCCTTTCGCCCTGCTCGAGCGGTACGTCCCACACGGTGGATGTAATCGTCCGGGTCCTGTGGTACATCGTAGTTTATCACGAGGCTGACCTCGGGAATATCCAGACCTCGGGAGGCTACGTCTGTAGCGACGAGGATTCGTGCAGCCGACGCCCGGAATCTACCTAGATTGTCGACTCTTTGTCTCTGTGGTAACCTGGAGTGTAGTGACGTCACACGATGCTCCAGTAGACGTAGTAAGTGGTGGAGATACTCGGCTGTAGAGGTACGGTTACAGAAGATGATAAGTGATTTCTCAACATTGGCTTCTGTTAGGAGGAAGGTATGTAGATAGTACTCCTTGTGGGTGACATTAACTTGAATATACATCTGGTGTAGAGTCGTTGGAACGGCCAGCTTCTGCGTATCAACCTCGCATACGAAAGCCGGCTCCTTCCCGGGTTTTGGCGGCATGTCTTTGAGCGCGCGGACTTCGGGGGTAATAGTAGCAGTGAACAGAAGCGTTTGTCTCTCGGATGATGGCGGAAGAACACCGAGACATTCTTCTATATCTGGCAGCATGCTACCAGGACCACCGGCAGATAGTAATCGATCGGCCTCATCAAGAACGACGAACTTTGCTCGTCGTAGGCCGCAGATAGTATCCTCGCCTGAAGAACGGATATGATCGGCCAGACGACCAGGAGTCGCGATCACGACATGGGGCCTCTGTGCTATGGCGATAGCTTGGGGACGCATATCAGATCCTCCAGTGACCAAGATCACTTTGAGGGACTGGGGCGAAGATATAGCCTTAAACTGCTCGTAGATTTGTAGGGCTAGCTCCCGAGTCGCAGTCAGTACGACAGCATAGATAGAACTCGGGTCTTCAGCCCATTTCTGCAAGATAGGGGCAGCAAAAGCAACCGTTTTTCCCGAACCGGTTCTGCTCGTTCCGATGCAATCTCGACCCTTGAGGATTTCCGGGATACAAGCTTTCTGGATTCCCGTGGGCCGCTTGATTGCCATGTTGGCGAGAGACTGGACAAGCCATGGTCTGAGTTTCAAAGACTCGAACGTCGTATGACGATCTACGGGTGCGGCGACTGAGTTGATCACCGAAACGGCCGTAGGTGATGAGTCCTCCAGCGGCTTGGCTTGCACGACAGCGGCGGTCTTCCGCTTGATCCTAGATGGTACATTTATGGATGACGTAGGCAGGTCTGCAATGACGGGAGTTAAGTCATTATCACCAGAAATCCTGCGTCTCTTTCGAGAAGCCGCACTGTCAAGTGAGTCGGATTCGGCGTCAGATACCGACTCGTTCGTATCGGACTTAGGTGAGTTCACTATTTGGTCGTCCGACTCGGATTCTGATCCAGGAACAGCGGCTATGTCGGCCACAGTCACGGATGCCGGCATGTTAATATTAATATGCAGGCAGAGCGTACGCAATCGGGTGATCTAATTTCTCATATAGGAAGACGTATCGATGAACATCTACAATACCTAAGCGCTACCAAATGGATTGAAGAAAAAAAATCGAATCCAATTAAGACAGGGGTTATTGGATATGTGGAGAAATGTTAAACTTAAAGCCAATCAGATGAAGTGCCTGCATGATTTAGCGTCACACTAGTAAACGCGCGGCTGCTGGTTTGCAGATTCAGATTCGCAGGTACGATCCATTAGTTTTGCTTTTAGCAGGTCTTTGATCCTTTGCTTTTTGTATTTCGTATTTTACATTTTGCACCTTTCATCTTCTCCAGCTTCTTTTCCCCTGTGACTAATCCAAATGGAGGCATATGATCGACAATCCGATTATGTCAGAGCTTGAGAAAAGAGGAAAGAGAAAAGATAATATGTTTGCATCCCATATTCATGCAACGTCTCCCATGTCTTCTCTAGATGAATACCGACATCCTTGTCCTTCCTCGTCGCCGACCTTCTCATCTCCCGCGTCCGTCAATCTTAAGCATACTGGGTATGTTGAATATTTGTCGGAAAACAAAATAACATGACTAGTAAAATCTGCGGCCCTTGGCGAGCCCCGGTGAAGTCTGAGCGCCGATGTTCCAGCCCAGCCTTATGTTGTGATGAGTTCGAATCGGACGAATATTGTACGTAGACTCGGCTAAGCTGTAGCTAATCTCCCATCGCAAGAGCTTGGCAAGCTTGGAACAGGGTCTAGGCGGGAAGCTATCCCTGTGACCGTATGCATGCGGTATATGTTATGTTTACCGATGCTTTCCTGCAGAGCTTGATTTCACGAGCTTAGTACGGTACTTACCTGTTTGTCTAGGCCGTTACAGGTACTAGGTAATAGTTGATGGGTGTTGTGCGACAGGCAGCTAATAACAAGCAGGGAAAGAGAAGAAGAGGTGAGGATAAATTACAAATATTTTGTCGAACCACCATCGTTCGGCGTCAATATCTACTACATATCTACCTACCTACTCAATGTACACGAGAGCCATGATCGGGCACTACTTGATCCTTTGGACCCCAAGGTGAGAAACTCCAAAAAATGCATCCGGGCCAATCTACTTTGGCCTCGTGTTGCTATCAAGAATTGGGGTCTATGCCGTCTCACCCCAAAGCTGGACCCCGACCCCAACATTGTCAGGAGTTTAGGTGAGGTATGCCCTATGGTGGTTAGTTCCACAGCCGCACAGATTTGGGGTACCTGGCCTAGGGCATTCGAGGTTTCAAACAAGGTACCTGCACGAGGTGCTGTAGTTCTCACACTCGACGTTCTCACTATTCCTTCCTTGGAGCGGACTCCTGGCGAAATTTTGAAATAATCTCGCCTTCTCCGAAAATGTAGATGTGCATCAACCTACATCACCCCTATGTAATCCGGTCTGACATCAAATCAGACATGTCAGCAAAACAAATACAAGACCCTAGGTACTATAGTACATACAGTATTCGCAAGTTGCTAGTTGCAGGTTGCAAGTTTCATCAAAGCATTCTCTCGTCAACATTAGATCCGCCTCTGTGAGTGGTGGAAATAGTTGCAAGGATATCAGGGATAGGTTAACGATGGGGTCCTAGCCAAGGCTTGAAGCGTGCAAGCGTGGTCAGGGGTCCTATGTTGGAAGCGCAGCGTTCCACGATTTGATCCCCTGGGGTCGCTGGGGCCATTGGAATCAATGAAATCAGTGGACACACCTCGAGATGATCGCTAGACCCTTGAGACTTGGTGCTGGATGGTGGTGAGTGATACGGTACGACTTCAAGATTACCCCCTTGCGCACAACTACTTCTCTCTTGCAGTTGATTCCTTTTTTTGATTGTCCATTCATATGCGATGGATGATCCTTTCAGAGTTGAGCACCCGTCACATTTTTACGGAGCTAGGGTGGTAGGGGGCAAGGCGGTTGGAATAGCATTGGATGCGTACAATGCGTGCAATGCGTACAAGTTACAGCTCTTCTTCCCTTTTCACTTCTCACTCTTCCATCTGCCTCTTCAAAACCAAACCCCTCCAACAGGCAGACAGGTTACTTTCTCGTCCCCTCGTTTGTCTTTCTTCATTATTTGTTAACCGCCAGACACTTTGTCTCGTATTAAGACTCGAAACTATACTATTGCTGACCTGACACTGAGACATTTTGATAATTCCCTGACTCCCTTATCCTATCCTACCTACCTATCTCAGCTCTGTCAGCTGTGTGAGATATCTACCGGCACGGTTTACGTCTAGGCTCGGCCCGGTCTTGTTAACTTTGCACCTTCTTGATATCCTGATATCCTGATATTCTAATACCCTGATACCCTAATACCCTGATATCTTTTTTATGTCACTAGCTCAACCGCTAAAACTGCCCCGCTGATCGTCTCAATACCCGACACAGGCATTGTACTTCTCCACCTATCTACTTATTTGAAATACATACCTGTACCCTTTGCATACCACCTTTTTTCACGCCATAAGCTCATACGCCATACACTGGAAACTAGCAACTACTAGGTAGCAACAACCCAATCAAGCTATTCCACATCGATTCCCTAGCTTCTTTGGTTGCTCAGTCGTCATTTGTCGACCAATCCATACGGCGTAATAGTTTTTTGGCGCTGGGGAAACTCGGGACATCCGTGACAGGTACTGGCTGGTCCTGTCTAGTATTATCTGGTACTGGTTTGAAAGGGCTTGTATCAGAATCCCTGCAAAAAGAGAGAGCATCGTTTCTGGTCCATTGTCCCGCCTTTCGACTGGCGATAGAAGTGCCAGAAGAAAAAGCCATATCAAGCCCAATAGTCCAACGCTACAGCCGAGCTTCGCTTTTACCACCAACGACTCGATACCCGGGTTTAGTGTAGAGAGTATACCCGCTCTAGGTCCTACTTTCTACATACATACCATATACTTCATACCTCATACCTAGCAGTAGATTCTTAGCCAAGTCGTTTCTCCGCTCCCAGAAGAGGAACTAGACAAGGTACAATACGTTGGCTTGCTGGGTATCGAACCTCGTACAAGGGGGAGGAGAAATTCATCAACTACGCGCGGCACACAAGCAAAACCTCCTCCACTTTCTCCCTGGTCGCTAGTCGCTATTCACTCTTCACTACTCACTACTCATCGTTCATCGCCTATCGCTCATCACTTCCCCACGACTAAATCTACGACTCGGGTTTTTTTCGTTCTTGTCCACCAACAACATCCGAGGATATTCATTCTTTTATATCATACGATACCAAAATAAACAGGATTATGATTCTTTTTCTTTCTTTTCTCAAACAGGAGCACCAACGAATTTAAAGAAATACGTCACTTCATATATATTACTTATTACCCGTTACCCATTACCTGCGACGGCGCTGTGTGACCTCGTTAGCTGGTTAGCTCGTTAGAAATATACCTGAACGAATCCAGTGACTCTGGTTTCGTCTTGCTGTCGGACTGTTACATACATATATACATACAACTAGCTTCGGCCCTTTTATTTCCTCTTTGTGCTTGGAGCAATCCCGACCGCCTCCTCGGCAAACTACACCACGAACACGCACCACGCACACACACATCTACCCACAGCCACAGGCTCGCTACGCAATCTCTCTCCAGCTGTGGTGGAGAGGGAACCCGGACTAGCACAAATGCCCGACCACGAGAATCACGCACAGGCCTCTGAGCCCGTGACCCAAAATGTAAATCGATCTTCTCTTTTCCTAGCTTCGTTCTTTTTGTACATGTACTTTTTATACCCGTACCTCCCTTCATTCCGTATCCTGACTACGGTCAGGCAAGCTTCGTTGCTCGTGTGCTTCTGTGTGCTTGCGATGCTAACTCTGGTTTACTATGAAGGCCTCAACTACAGCATCGATAGATGCGGCAGTTGGCACCCCTCCGCCCGTCTCGACGCCCATTCCCATCATGTCCTCCTCCCCCGCTCCCCTTCGACCCGCACTCGGAGGTAGACCAAGCGGCGGACGAACGCCGAGACTGGGTCTAGCCATCCCCCCATCCCCCAACGTCAAGCCGGTGGGCGCTGCCGCGGGCGGCCCGTCGCGCCCCCAGCTCACAGTTCATGTTGCCACGCCGATGGGTAGCACCGTCGCACCTTATGAGCAACATCGACCGACAGTTCAACCGGGCCAGTCTGCGAGCGGCGGCAGCGAGAGCAGCGCAGCACACTCGCGGTCCGGCAGCTTTGGACCCCTCGACGGCCGAGCCAGCAACCCTACATCCGCAGGCTCCCAGTTCTCTGCCCTCTCGTTCGCATCGCAGTATGGGATCGGTTCAAAACCACAAGGTACCCCTGACCCGATATCTGCCGTCGGCTCTATCTACTCCGAACGAAGCGAAGGAGGCATCGGAATGGAGCGGGATGGTAGTATGCAAGGACTAGAAAATAGCTTCGATAAGCTTACATTAGAAAAGGCAAGGACTGCTGACGTGGAAGAGCTTGACGATAACGGGTGGAGAATCGCGAGTGTGGAGAACAGGATCGTCGAACTAGGTAGCCTAGGTGAAGGTGCCGGTGGTGCCGTGACACGTTGCCAGTTAAAGGGAGGAAAGACAGTATTTGCCCTCAAGGTATGCTGCCGTCTCTTCCATCCCTCACTTCCGTATGACATGAATACATACTAACTAATGTACCCTCTAGGTCATTACTACCAACCCGGATCCAGACGTAAAGAAGCAAATCTTCCGTGAAATCAATTTCAATAAAGACTGTGCGTCGGAACACATCTGCCGGTATTATGGAGTTTTCGGCGATCCTGCTACGGCCACCATCTCTATTGCCATGGAATTTTGCGAAGGTGGATCCCTCGACGGCATCTACAAGGAGGTCAAACGACTAGGAGGCCGGACAGGCGAGAAGGTCCTAGGAAAGATTGCCGAGGGTGTTCTCCGGGGTCTCATGTACCTCCACAGCAAGAAGATCATCCACCGAGACATCAAACCATCCAATATTCTGCTTTGCCGTAACGGCGAAGTCAAGTTGTGCGACTTTGGCGTTTCTGGCGACTTCGGAACTAAGGGAGAAGCCAACACTTTCATCGGTACGAGCTACTACATGGCACCCGAGCGTATTACTGGCCAGAGTTACACTATCACCTCAGACGTCTGGTCCACCGGAGTCACTCTCCTCGAGGTCGCTCAACACCGATTCCCCTTCCCGGCTGATGGAACCGAAATACAACCCAAGGCGGGATTAATCGATCTATTAACTTACATCGTCCGACAACCGATACCAAAGCTAAAGGACGAACCAGATGCCAACATATTCTGGTCTGATAACTTTAAGTATTTCATCGAGTGCTGGTAAGTATCCCCTGTTAAACTCGTTCAAGAGATACAAGACTAACCAGGATATCCACAGTCTCGAGAAAGAACCAAGTCGCCGAGCAAGTCCGTGGAGAATGCTCGAACACCCGTGGATGGTGGAGATGCGAACGAAGCGAGTCAATATGGAGAGATATCTCTCACAAGTATGGGGTTGGGACGAAGGGAAGTGAACGACTAGGATATAATCCAGGACAAACCGCCTTCACCCTATATTCCTCAAAACGAATAGCGGGTAGTGGGCATCAAAATATACTACGATACCCCCCTTAAATCACATCTACACTCACCTAAAAACATGAAAACAACGGACGAGCGACTAAACTTACTAAGCGTCGCTACGAACCGTCGACAACAAAAGCCACACCTAGCTACCATAACTACTGCTACTACTGCTACTACAAAATATCCAGATTGCCAATCATGACGAATTGGGCCACGGAACGGGAGATAAACCGAGATGGAAACATTATTGGGATACCCGGGAAAAGGGTGGAGGGATCAACGACGAGCGAGGAGATGAGCGAAAGTATATTTATCCTTTTATATACATATATACTCTTCACATATCCAGGCATATCCTTTTTGGGGGGGAGTTTCGGGAATGAATTGTCAAAGGAGGGGAAGGGGTGTAACGGGGGATTAGGTAGGATAGGCTTAAGCAAATATCAAATAAAGAACGACATCGGATGAATGAATGGTATGTGCGAGATTGGGTTGTGAGATGTTGAGGACTTTGGAAGCTTACCTATCATAGCTTTTGCGCTGGGCCTGGCGTGAGGGAGGGGGTTGTGGGGAAGGGCGCCGTGGTGCTTGGGTAGAGAAAATCGAAGAATGAAGAGGCGATGTCAAAATCAAAACACTTTGCTACCTTTCTGGTTTGATTCTTTACATATTGAAGACTTCTTAGTAAACACTACCTACCTGGATAGTTGGGGATGAAGTATACACAATACGCTGTGTTCTTGCACCATTATGTTGCCCGAGTTTACACGATTCCTCGTATTTATTTCTTAGTTGTTATATTAGGAGCTCTGTTCTATCTCCCAATCCCCCTCAATCGTCAAGCTGGTTGTAGTTCGGTCTTATACATCAACGACCGCACCAGCTCCCTCCTTCAAAACTTCCTTGCTGGTTTCCTAGCTTTGCCATCTCATAACTAGCCAACAATCTCTCGGCCTATCTCTTTAGTGTCTTCTGCTTCTCCGCTGCGACCCTTTGTCCCCTACCCTCGACCAACAGCCCCTTTCTTCTCCTCACACCATCCATATATCGTTTCGCCACATTCTCCCTGTCGGCCAGCTCTCCCAGATCCTCGAGGTCGTCCTCCGTAAACGGCTGCCAGAACGGGTCTTCATCGATTACGACATCGAAACCAGCGAAGATGAGCTGCGGCTGTGCAGCACCCGACGTGCGTTTCCGCATCTCATCCGCGAACCCGAAGGATTCGGCCGCCGGGATCGTAGACTGGATCGTGAAGAAGGGGGTTCCTTCTTTCATCTGCTCTGAGAGCACGCGCCCGCGTCGCCGGGTTAGGACCTCGTAAACGCGGCCTAGAACCTCAGCTATGATATGTTAGCACGAAATACATAAAGAAGAAAGGGTGGTGTTAAGACTTACTACTCGCTTGGATCTCGCATGAGTACATAGCGAGCATTAGACGCGGAGACCAGTCTAGGAAGCCTTGCCGGATAGACTGTTGTACCGTCTTGATAACTTCACCCGTAAGTCTGCCGAGCCGGTCTCTAGCCGATGTTTCTTCTTCTGCAGGCGCTACAGTGAGGTCTTCGATAATGACAGCAACGCCTTGTACCGGCTCGTTACATAGAGGTCCCTGGTTCATAGCGAGTTGGAAAGCGTACGTGACCTTGTCACATAGATGCTCAGCATGAAGCGCTTCTCCAACCTTCAGGCGGTTTCCATCTTCTTGGTTTTCCGGAGCGAACACTTTTGGGAAACACCCATCCCTAGTGGCATCTATGAGTAAGTTCGGGCCTATTCGCCGTGGTCCAAAGGCTGTTATTTTATCAACAACACCTTTCCAACTCTCACGTCCTTTTCCAGTTTCGAGGTTAATCTGGAGTTGTTTCTTCAGGTCTTCAAGAGATAGACCCTTGCCTTCCACCAAATCTTCATCCTCAACACTCTGTGCTTCATCAACACCGACCTCTGACTCTGCCTCAATCTCGTCGGGCGATTTTCGCTCAGAGTATAGACGTTTAATAGCTCCCGGATTTTTGAGTAGAAACTCAGTAACATTTTGGGGGAGTGGTCGTACTCGAACTGTGACGCTGACTTGTTTCGAGTTCGTCATTCCAACGACAACACCTCTTCCTAGCTCTTTGTTCACCGGAGGCCTCATCTCATCTGCGCGTACTATCGTCTCTCTATACGGAACGATAGGCGCTCCTGCCTGAATATCGCATCTTGCGAACCTTTCCTTGAGATCTGTTAAACATCGTTCTAAATGTAATTCGCCAGCCGTGAGTAGAACATGTTCACCGCTTCCAAACTGCTCGTACTCAGCGCATGGGTCGCTTCGTACAAGCAACTTGAGACCTTCGATCATTTTGTCCAGGTCAGCCGGATTTACCGGCTCAAGAGCGACGCGGACAATAGGCTTTCCTGCCATGTGAACACCCGCCAAGTTAACAGAACCTTCAAGCTGACTGCAAAGAGTTCCGGACTTTAGGATACAGCCGTCCAGTCCGCCAATGCCGAAAACGACTCCAGCTGGAACGGAATTCAGCGACTCCAAGTTACGGCCCATGAACATGTATAATGCCGTCACAGTCACCCGTTGGGGTTCAGGGGCTGCGTGCGGATTCGCGGGAGTGAACTTGGGTGGTAAGACGTATAGTGAGTCACCCACAGACAGTGTACCGGAATACATTCGTGCAAATCCTATCAGGTGCTCTGGATCGATAGTCTTCTCCTCGACATCAGGCACAAAGTCGTCCAAATTTACACTGTCGAGCGCCGAAGTGAGATCATCTGTCACATTATTTTCTGCCGCCTGAGCGCGAGCGAATTCCGCTCGTTTCTTTCGAGCTAGCTCTCTCGCTTCTTCTGCACTTAGCTGGCCAGTCCTCCTCTTGTTCTCCGGGAGTTCGCTTTCGGGGATGGATACTACCTTGCTAACGTATGCCACAACAGGATCTGATGAAGATGTCTTGAAGTTCACCATGGCATCCTTAACCAAGGGGTCAATATGAGTCGATCCATGAGAATCCTCTAACATTTCAGGTAGTCGTTCTGCTTGCGCCACCTTCGGTGATGGCAAAGATTCGACGACAGAAACCAGCAGGGCAGTGGAGAGTGGTAGCCATGATGAAATGACCGTTGTGAGTAGTAATCGGGGATCTCGTGACCTAATTATATGTGGCGGTATCGAAATGTTTAACGACTTTGTAATCTTCTCAAGTAAGGCTGGGTCTCTGAGCTAGAGTTAGCATCTTAGGTAGGGTTCGGATGAGAACTGACTTACCCCTTTCCATGGTCTCCGCCCGTAGTCGCCTGGTATACAGCCCAAACTTGTTCAAGAACAAGCTGGACGAACATTGGCTTTAAATTACGACCCTTTAGATGCTTCCGCCCGAGGACTTTCTTAGTCTTTGGGTCTAAGTAGAAATCGCCCCACAGTACTTTTTCCATCATACTTCGTTTCAAACCAAGCTTCTTTTCGTATAAGCTTGCGAATTGCCGGACTGTGAATGCCCATCCATCAATGGCGCTGCTAAAGATGACATTGTTCTTTTCTGGGGCGAAATACAACTCCTCGTCATCTCGTTCTTCAAATTGAAAGTCTCCAGCCTCACTCTCGATATCTCCGAGTTTTGATTCCTTTGCGGCGGCAGCAGCAACTCGTTCGTCCATTCGTTCTCGCCAATTTAGGTCTTCCTCCATGCGCTCGCCCTGGAAGAAACTTCCTAAAACAGCATTCACTTGCTCCAGAAGCTTACTTAAGTGGATATAAGCTTCACCCGGCGTCATCTTTAACTCCGTGATTAACCGGTCTAACTTGTTGATCACCAGAAGCGGTTTTAACTTCTCTGTCCACGTCTGGCGGAGAACGGTAACGGTTTGACTGCAAACACCTTCGACCGCGTCGACTAGCACAACCGCACCATCACATAATCTCGAGGCAGTTGATACTTCGCTGCTAAAGTCAATATGACCAGGCGAATCTATCAAGTTGATCAAATATTCTTTGGGTATCGGTGCGGCATCTGGGGCCGGTCTTCGAAGCATAGAGAAGAACAGGGATATAGCAGATGATTCCATTGTGATACCCCTAATTTGTTCGTCGGGGCGAGAATCCAGATACCGGATCTTGCCGGCAAGCTTGGGTGAAATAATTCCATTTGTGGCAAGAAGAGCGTCTGTTAACGACGTCTTTCCATGATCTACATGAGCCAAGATACAAATCTAAGATATGTTAGTTTGTACTTTGAGAATGTGTTAACAGACGGTGGATAGTGGGGGCGAGTACATTTCTTATATCGTCCGCATGCTGCTGAAGAGCAGCAAGCTTTTCCGGGGTGACGACAGGCATCTTGACGTGAATACTTCACAGATGATCATGAACCTAATTTTTGAAGTTGTTGAAATAATCCCACGCGATATGGCAGTGGAAAGAAAGAAAGACTTTATTTGAAGTATATGTAAGTCAAAAAGCGCATCATAATGGGAAGCTGATTGGATAAGAAAAGTTATAAATAAATACTTTGTATCCCCGGCAAATGACTAACTTGGTACCTATTTAAATGGATCAGGATGGCTCATAATGACTCGACTTTGCCAAAATATAAGATTTTATTGGTTTATATATTGGATGAAAAAGAAACTACCTTGGTACCTAATAAGCAATTGTACTGTTCCTACCCTTCCATTTCTAGGCGACATCGATCTTCAACTTCCTTCCTTGATAGCGGGGCAAAAAAAAAGAAAAAAAGAGGTATCGATAAGGAAGTAACGATACCCCGCTAAAGAGCATGGGAACTTCAAAACGAGGGGCAACCAGCGCAGGGGCCACATTATGAAGCCCTAATCCGCTTAAACTTCGGATCTTCGACTTAAACTCATTCCCCTTCGCCTGAGTTTTGTTACGAGCCAAAAAAAATTGCGACTAGCCCCTCCACGGTCCACGGTCCACGGTTTCGAATAAAAGTTGGGATTCCCCACGATATCATCGCGACATCGCCTATATCCCAGACCGCAAAAATCACGATGAGTGGATTAAGAAATGGCTCAGCGCCTGTGCGCTCCATGGAGGATGATAGTGATGTTGAGGAGGAAGCCCTTGTGGCAGACTACCGCGAGCAGGTACAATATGAAGATGGTATGGAGGAGCTAGAACAGGTGAACTCCATGACGATGGCTCAACAGACCGACGACATCCAGTCCAGACTTGTCGCCGCTGCCCAACCCCTAGACTTCTCTGCTCCCCTCGAAGTCAAGTTCCAGAGCTACGATTCCTACTGCAATCTATTCCATTTTATCCTCAACTCCGATGGCCCTGTCGATCTGGAGCCTCCCTCGGTAAGCTGCCTTATCGCAATATTATTTTCATTATATTGAGCCAAAATGCTGATAAAATTATGTAGCACTACTGGGCTTGGGACGTTATCGACGAGTTCATTTACCAATTCAACTCTTTCTCCTCTTACCGTCTAAGAATTGCGAGACAAGCGAGAGATAACGAGGAAGAGCGACAGATTCTACGGGAGAACCCCAACACTTGGGGCTGTTATAGCGTTCTAAACGTGCTGTATTCCTTAATACAGCGATCCCAGATTACCGAGCAGCTGGCCGCCATGAAGCGCAACGAGGATCCCGCAGCCGTTGCTGGAGAATACGGTTCTAAAACACTGTACCGCATGCTCGGTTACTTCTCCATCATTGGATTACTGCGCGTCCACTGCCTTCTTGGCGACTTCAGTCTCGCGCTTAAGACGCTCGATGACATTGAGCTAAACAAGAAGGCCATGTTCGCGCGTGTCATGGCCGCCCACTTTACAACCTACTATTACGTAGGTTTCTCTTACATGATGATGCACCGATATGCCGATGCCATCCGCATGTTCAGCCACATTCTTGTCTACGTATCACGTACCAAGAACTTCCAGAAGAACGCCCAGTACGATTCTATTACCAAGAAGAACGACCAGATGTATGCTCTGATCGCCATCTGTGTGGCTTTCCAGCCAACCCGTCTGGATGACACCATTCACACCGCTCTGAGGGAGAAGTACGGTGACCAGCTCCTTAAGCTGCAACGTGGCGGACCTGAATCGCTACCTATCTTCGAGGAGTTGTTCAAGGCTGCTTGCCCCAAGTTCATCTCTCCTGTCCCCCCTGACTTCGAAAACCCCGAGGCCAACGTGGACCCTATCGACCACCACCTCTCCATCTTCATGGACGAGGTCAAGACAAACATGTGGAACCCTACCGTCAAGTCCTACCTGCGCCTCTACACAACCATGGATCTTAAGAAGCTCGCTGGTTTCCTAGAGGTGCAACCAGAGGAACTACGGTCTTGGCTCCTGGTCAACAAGCAGCGCACCAAGCAGCTACGGTGGTCCGACCACGCCCTACTGGAAGGCGAATGGGTCAACGTCAGCGACCTAGACTACGCCATGCAAGGAGTATGTATTTCCCTTTTTGATATTCTTGATACAGGTCAAGCTTTGTGTGCGACTATGGAGATTCAGGTGTACGACGGTGCTAACGGACGCTCGCAGGACCTAATTCACATCTCAGAAGCCAAGGTAGGACGCAAACTGGTGGACTGGTACCTCCGCAACTTGTCACGGACGTACAACTAAGTATGTATGTATGTCGAGACATCAGTTTTAATGGAAAGTTTCATCTCTTCGGCAAGGGGCGGCAAGAAGGGAAATATCGAGAGGATGAGACTCGCGGGTTTTCGTAGTCGTCGGTTTGCATTGCACAGGCGTCATGGGATATGTCTATGTCACTCTCAATCACAGGAGACGGGGCGAGTGACTGGCAAAAAAGAAAGATATTCGGTCGTAGAAATGAGGGAGGATCCCGTAATGTCCTGTCTTTCAGGGTCATACGAACAGATAATCGGATGAGATCTTTGATTCGTACGTGCATCGCCCGCCCATCATTTCTCATTTGGTGAATGGCTAAGGTCCATTCCCCGCGTTTCCTTCCCCTCCTCTCTTCCTCCACCACCACCCCCCCTTCGTTAGTTATTTGAGATGTGAGAAATGAGGTGTAGGAAATAGGTATATACATCGGTATCTACGCTGTAGGACTTCGGGCCAAGAGCTCAGATTTGTGTGTTTACGCCGCAGTAGGAATACATACATACCTGAGCACACAGATAATGGTGGATCACACGGGGCGCCGCTTCGCCCCAACCTTACCTACGTCCTTTACATAGTATTGCCTTGTTCACACATTCATACGTAGCTGATTTGCGCGGAGTCGGATCGACGTTACAGCACATACGATGTGGAGGGAGTCCCCGCAGCTTGCTAGGGCCGAACCGAACTGACCGAACTGGATTGTGGGGGGGGCAATTGATGGTTAGGCTTCAGGGTTGTTGTTGTTTTTTTCTCCCTCTCCTTCTTCTTCGCCGTTTCTTGGCTCGATGGACATGCGGTTAGGGGGGAACCGGTGAGCGGGTATAAGAAGGCGGGAGGCCTCTCGGTGATCAAGTGAGGGTATTCGTGGATGTGGTCCAGATGTTCGTAAGTCACGCCGCCAAGATGCCAAGGAGCGTGTAGCGTGTAAGTGCGCAGCTAGAAGGGGGTTTCTGGGCTAGAGGACCGATGGGGGGGTAGTTCGTTTCTTGGCTGTCAGCTGTTAGTGCGGTATTCTTGGTATGTACATAGATGTGTTATTATGTATGTACCTAGATAAGATGGGAATGAGAATGGGAATGGGAATGGAAATGGAAATGGGAAGAAATTTTCTGCAGCTCGTAAACTTCGCTTCGTCTCGTCCCGTCGAGTTAGCTTGATGTGATGATGCAGGTTAGCTCGCAGGGCTGAGGAGAGGCCAAGAGGTTTAGCTTGGAGAGAGTCATGGCCGTGATCGTTGTCGTGGTCGTCGAAGGGGTAGGGTAGGTTAGGCAGAAGGATAGTTAGGGGGTCTGAGGGCTAGAGGCCGTTCTCTGCAATTTTCTATACGCACATTACCCGAATAGGCAGCGAAGACGGCATCGTCTCCTCCCTTACGTGAGGACTAGCTACGGGTCATAGCAACAACCCATTTCCCCCATACCCAGGATATCCATCCCCATCCCCAGATCGACCGTCTTGCATTGCCTTTGCTGGCGATGACTCGAACCTGGTAACCCGGTTACCGCAATCAACGCCGTATCTTCATATATCCACTTACGTGCATATGGACGTTCGCTCGGCCGGTCAGCCGCAGACGCGCCTGTGACACCTTGCACCATCGCCGTCGCCGTCACAACATGCCTGAAAAAAAAAGGGATACATGTATATGTATGTGTGTATGTATGTGTATGTATGTGTATGTATGTTATGTGGGCTGCCTCGGCGAGACAGGTGGGACGGTGACGCAGATGTCAGATATCACGTTTCGCACCCCCAAAGGACCGCGGCCGCATATGCGTGCCGAATGCGACGACGAGGCCGGATAGTCGGCATCTCTTGGCAGCACATGGTTCTCCTGCAAGGACGTGTCTCCTTCGTCGTCGCCCACAACGCCCCTCAGTCTCGTTGGCTGCCTCCTCCGTTCCTGCTGGCTTGGAGGGGGTCGTACATTGAACCACCGTGCTTAGCTCATCCGTCATGCGTTATCTGCTGCTGCTCTCGCTCTCGCGGGTTGTGTTGTCAGGGGCGAGACATGGAGGATCGGGGGTTATTGCGGTTGATATTAATGGCTGGAGAACGAAGGACTTAGGGTTAATGATCCTTTTTTGGGTATCCTAAGTGGGACTTACTTCTATAGAATTTAGGAATACACAAGTGGGACAAGATAATGGTAGATGTTTCTGATCATGTCATCATACTCTTTAGCTACCTGTAACACGTACGGAATCCTTTTGCGCCTATTGAAACTATGTTGATGAGGAAATGGATCAAAAATGCCTAGGAGGTAATTAGGATAAATTCAATTTTTATAATAAATGAATATAAATATCTTGAAAAAGGAAGTTAGGAATCCGGACTAATGATTACTTGGATTGGAATAATTTTACGTGATCGCTTTTCGATTCTCTTAGCCTTCCTCCATCGAAAAGTACCTAGTGAGATTCACGACGATCGTTCGTTATCTGTCATAATAGATGAGAAAACGGATACAGTACCTGAATGTGATGATTCCCTTTCCATCACCCGTACTCAAGCCCCCCAGAAATCGTTCCTAATACTTGTACGCCGGCAAACCATTGGATGATGATTCCGGTGCACCACAAGTTCCATACGATCGTCAACATCCGGGAAGTCCAACACGGAGACCTACGCAAGAATATCAAGCTTTCACCTTCAAAAACTCCAATAAGACTCATGATTTCGGATAAATGTGCCTAACGTTATTGTCCAAGACAAGACTAAATCCGCCGAAGGCTTATGATGTCTTGGAAGTGATATTATAGACATCATCGACGAGATCGCTTCCGATTGGGCGGGGCTTGATGAGATCCAAAAGAGCTTCTTTTGATCTCGTAAGCCAATCGGCCGATTTGGGAGCGGGGGGCGCCACTTAGTGAGATATGTAGTAGTTCTTTAAATAAAGCTTCATTTGGGCAAATCCCGCGTGCTGCTGCAAGCCGTGCTACTTGCCAAGTAGAAGAGCGGCGAGCCAAGGTGCTAAAGCTGTAACGAAACAGACATGCGCATCTTGGAATGCTTAGCACGGCACGCCAATTACCTGTAAGCAACGATTAGGGCTAGCTTCGTCAGTAGGTATGTACACGACCACCCCTAATCGGGTTATATGTAGGTATGTTTGAAAAAAAGCCCAGAGTGATACGGAAAATTCTGTTGGGCAAACCAGATTCACTCGGGACTCTGCGGAGCTCATCATCCGGCATTTCGAAAAGAAAAAACGTCTTCGACCTGGGATAATCGTGCTTATCGAGGCGTTATAGGAAGGTGAGCACGATAGACGGGTCATTTTTCATGCCTTATATCGGTAAGCAAGCCCTGACAAATCAAAGCCTGTTGTTGTTGTGGTTGTTTTTTGCCTCTTTCGCATTCCAAGGCTAGTAAACAGTCCAACAAGATGAAGGATCATGGGCGTACAGGAACCGGGCGGGGCCGAATCACGCCGACGGGACTTATCGTCATGCCCGTCCCTGGCGTTATTGCCGTCCGGCGGTTGGTAGTTGACTTAAAGGCGGTCAAGCCACCCTAGCTCGACGAGAGACGATAGCTCAGACAATAGCATGTTTAGGCATGTTAAAAGTGCAAGTCGGTCAAGAAGGTGAGAGGGTTAGGCAAGTTTTTATTTGTACGATATGGAAGCGAGCCCGGGGACGTGGGAGGCATGAGATTCGCCAATCTCATTGTATGCTGTCCCAGCGAGTCATCGTTGTCTATTCGAATTGGCTACCGTATCTTGGAGGTGTGCGGTGAGAGAGAAATCTTCCGGGGGCTGTTAGCGTTAGGGGGGACACACGGTTGTAATCTTTAGGAAAATGCCGGGTCGGCGTCAGCAAATAGCCGGACAGCATCGTAACCCGTGTGAGAGCGACGATAGCTGCGACGTCCTGAATCTGTGGTGCATTCGACGAGGCTGCAGGACGAGCCAAGATTTCGTGCGTCTAGTGACAAGCATGGGAGACATGGATCTTTATGTCGAAGACGCCAAGGTCAGGGCGCTGACTTCATCATTTCACCTCGTGCCATTTTAGGATTGTCTGTTTCGTCCAATTCGCGATTCTTGACATGTGAATTATAAGGCCATTCTGTCGGTAGCCTCATCCATTGACGTTCGATGTCGGAAATGTGCATATACTGGAAATTTCGCGAACCGCGGATAAGTTTTATACATACCGACATACATACGACAGTAGATGTGCTATAATACGTACATACATACATGCCATATACATACCTACATACCGAATGTTGACTGTCGATCATTCGATACGGCGTATGTAGGTATGTATTACAGGTATGTATGTGTGTATGTATGTATATACGGATAGATAATATAGCAAACTTACTATGTAGTATAGGGCTTCATTCCTAAAGAGAAACCATGTGACCTTTTATTGTCTCCATACCTCCATACATATCTGTATAGGTAGGACCTAGGCTGCTAGGTAGAAGAACATCCATGGATGGAGGTAGGGATTCTTTTTCTCCCCCTCCTTTTGATTTGTCTCGCTTTCGACGGGTAGCAGTGCCGATGCGACGAGATTCATCTACCCTATCCTACATCATCAATCGGGGAAATGTAGCCTAAGTAGGGAACCGCATCTGCCAGCGTTCGATCTTGCCATCTTGGTGGATGGTTGGTTTAGAAACGGGTCGACCCGTAGGCTCCTCAATTCCCATCCCGCTACATTGGGGTGGCTGCTTTCGGGTCCGCGCCTGGTAGCGTCAGACGTAATGCCAGGTACTGCTACGTTATGGTGGAGGTTGGAGGCGGAGACGATGCGTTAGATTCCGTCCATAACCCGTTAGTTAGACAAAAAAACGCCAAAAACGCCTGGATAGCTGATGATGTACCTAGTAGACTAGGAATACAAACGGAGATATGTCGTGTGGCCCTCCTCTGCTAGAACGACTGTCGTGCTACATGGTACATACATACTTACATACCTATACCTACATACATACCTAGGTACCCAGCCTGCCAGGTTCAAGACCTAGCAGACTCGCAGGCTAGCGACCTGCTGTAGATGTTTCCCCGTTATCTTGTCTTCCGTAGGAGTCGCACAGATGTGTCATCACAATGTAAAGGGTTGGAAAGGAAAACAATCCTTGCCCATCACTTGCTCTTGGCTACGCGATGTATGCGCCAAGTTCGCCAAGAGCACGATATTGTACCACTCCCGCAAGTCTTGTCTATTTCTTCTCTTATATTCCCCACGGTCTTGGTTTGTTGGAGTACATAATGCTTCTCGGCTAGAAACGAGGACTTTGCGGATCTTCGACTATCACTGACCATCATCATACATCTCATTCGAGAATCTGGGCATCATCTACTATGCCAGTATGCGTAGCAAGTAGGCGAGATGGAAATGTACAAAAGAAAAAAGCGGAGGCAGGTCGTGCGTGAGCGTAGGCGGGTATGTGTAAGCCACACCATGGCATCGGTAGTTAATGTAGCCGTGACGCTCTCGATACCCCTGATCTCTTTGATTGCGTGCCTTGATAGGAAGAAATTTACAACCCGGATGTACATACAATCCATACAGTCCACACAATCCGTGGAGCTACCTTCTGATTATGGCCAAGATGGTGCAAGAGGGAAAGGATTGGAGGGGTGAATGTTCCTTCTTGGCCCTAACCCGGAGGTCTGGGAGTGCGGTTGGCTCCTGAGCGTATGTATATGCTGTGGATGTTATGTTTAATATGGACAGGTGGTGTTACAATAATCTCAACTATCGTGTTGATTATCGATCAAGAGTCATAGCATGATGACGAGTACAGAAGGTGGACAGATTGGACAGATTGGAGGATAATCAGGCTGTCCAGGCTGTCGTATGCCCACTATTGCCCGCTGCAGCACTCGACCGGAATTTTACATATGTATGTATATGTATGTAGTATGTAGTATGTGGTATGAAAATACTAGTTAGATACCCTTTTTGGATACGGGATATCGATTCTCGACAGCTTTGCTGGCAGATCTGACCATTCCGCTAGCCTGACGTAACATTGGAGAGTCTGCCGGCGAGATGATGTCGGGGAGTTTTATAATCGTTGGGTGATTGGATGATTGGGCGAAGGAAAAATAAGAAGGGTTAAGGGATATCTGATATGTGGAAAAGTAAGACGACGAAAAAAGAAAAAATGGAAAGAAACAACCCTTGGAACCTCGAGATTTTTCTTATGAGGCGCAAGAATTTATTAGATTAGAAAACGGAGGCAAGATGACTTACATGCATGGGTCCATGTTCTTTTGGGCTATACTATGTAGACAAGGTATCGATGTATCCCTCTAGGGCTTCCACATACCTTATAAATAAATAAAAATGCATAAATTGAATATGTGCGTAGTGCCAAATGGTGACTCGTGCATGGGTGTACGGAACTACGGCAGTACGCCAGGCTACCTAAGACTCAATAGTAGAAGAGTGGATATGAAATGTACCACTACTGTACCATGTAAAAATAGGAAATTTCAATGGAAACGCGCCGTCACTACCGCAAGGTTTATTTTCTTGGCTTCTTCCAAGGACGTCTACGTACCATGGAAGGTTAAGAAAAAGAGCTTTCGTCTGGGCAGCCACAGCCTACCTACCCTACCCTCTTACCCATCATATGTAAATCTAGCTGTCCCTTCCAATGTTGCCATAGTTGCCCAATCCAGACTTACTTTGATTTTTATTATCCAGGTCCAAGATGTGACTAAACTAAACTGTTCCCAACTTACCAACTTACAACTTTCATACTTTTCTGACATTTTTGACCTCTGACTCTCACACCTCCACGTTCCACGCCCTTTTCTTATTTCCTGACGCGACTATCTCTTCATCTTCGTTACAATACCAAAACTGCAGAAATCGCAGAGGCTTCCCAGATTGTGCTTGTGGTCTCCACTTGTTTCTGTAAATTGAGAACAGCCCTAGAAGCGCATCTGTCTCTACCTGTCACCTTGCGCCACCTGCAATCCGTTCCTTGAAACTTAACGCAGCCAAGCTTTAAGTCAAGACAGATAGACAAGCTGAAGAATTCTTGAAACCTCGCAGCCTAGGAAAAGGAAAGAAAAAAAAGTGCCTGATCTGATCTATACTTGCAACGGGAGCTAAGCCACACTGACAAAACATACGACATCATTCGTATATTGATACCTTATCTACATATTCCACCTACCTTGGGAGCAAACGCCGCTTCGTTCTTGATAGCTCCCACCAGGAGACAGCCAAACAACACTCGTTATTCACAACTAATACATCTCCCTCTCCATTACCTCGTGCAGTACAACAAGCAACACATAAGCTTACCTATATGGCCACCATTTGACAAAAACGCAAAACATACTATACAACCAGCCAATCAGCCAACACGTGTTTCACGACCAATATCTTGTTATTGAGAAGGTATCCTTGTCAACTCACGTGGCTCATCGAATCAATCATTCGAGACCCCTTAGGTTCGCCTTGTCCCTCCACGCAGCTATCAGATCATCTCGAGAACGGGTAGCCCCGAGCTATCCCTTTGAATTTCCCTTCGATCCATCCGCGCTCAATGCCGTTGGTACGATTCTGCCATCTCCGCCCTCTCACTGAGGAAACGTGAGTTAGGTATAGACGGTACTGGTACCAGTGTTATCCTTAATCATCATAGTCTATGTGGGAGAAAAAGATAAGAGAAATAAGAAGGATGTCTGGAGGTTTGCCTGGTCGGGTTAGAAGCCCTGGGGATGGCGTTTCTCCTAAGTCGCAATCGACGCTTAAGAAGACCGATTACTTCAACCTTGAGAAGAAACCAACTCCAGCTTCCCCAGTTTCCGGCCCGGATTCCCAGCAAAGTAGTGGGAAGAGCACACCTCGAGCCGAGTCGGCGCGAGCAACGGTAGTGGTGGTCGACGTGAAAGGCAAAGGGAAAGAAATTGTTGAAAGCACAGGAGATGCTAGCGCGACGACCACTCCAGGCGAGACTGCTTCTAGTACGGGGAGTAGTGGTCCCCCGTCCAGAAAGGGTTCCATCTCGTCCGTGACTTTCGCGCCTCCTCGTAACCCTTCGCTGCCTCAGGGCCTGAAGAAGCCGCATGCCGGAAGTCGAATTCGAGCGGCTTCACCACCACATCGTAGGTAAGTCAATATTTCCTGTTTTTCCTTCTGCCTCCTTTTTGCACATGCCACTGCCCTCACCAGTACACACATACATTATCTCCCCCCTATTTATGGGTATTGTGTACCCAAATGCGAATCGGTATGCAGTTGAGAGGTTGTTACGCTGTCGTCACCAATAACGGTTGTGCCAAGACGCCGGCGCAACCATATATCACACAGCGGGGAAGCTCCTCGACAACTGAAGAGTCTATTTCGTCTTACCTATTACATCATGCATACGCTTGTGGATTTTTTAGCTATTAGGTTACTACCTAGATAGCGTCTTGGGGAATGATCGTTGGGTTTGCTGGGTGAGAAAGGCCCGACACTCCTAGTTGCTTTTGGTTTGCATGAATCTCCGGCAAAGGACGATGGCTACGACCTGACTTATGTGGCCTCGAGAAGAAAGAGAGGACGAAGGTTCGGTCTTCGAAAGTGGTCGCATGTCGTTCCAGTCGGGATCGTCGAGCTAGTCCGATTTCGAATCGTATGGCCTTACTTAGGACCCCTAAAGCAAGCGTCATTCGTCGAATTTCCCCCGTGTTACCCCGCTCACTATAACCCCCACCCTCATTGTTTTCTCTTTGGACAAACCCCGTACTTCTGTCAATGTACCTTGACCGAGGATGATGAAGGCGCAGCATTCTGGGCATTAGTGGCTACTGGGCTGAATTTCCAAGACTTCTTCCTCCTAGCTTGTTCATTCAATTTCGCGCAAATGGTGCCTTCACGAATTCGATCTGCTGTAACACCAACATCTATCCCCTCTTCCCTGTCCTACTCGCAGCATTCATTTGCGCCGCTATTCTTCTAAATGATGACAACGGAGACGCTAACCGAGTCACCTCGTTCGCAAAGGTTCGAGTCGCATGTAGCATTCGACAATATACCTCTCGGCGAGTCAACCGAGTACAATCCGATCTCGTTCACTCTTAATCATCGACATGCTGGGTTTCAGTTTAGACGACGCCACCGGACATTCATGGTCGGCGTAGACGATAATTCCTACTCCGACCACGCTTTACAGTGGTTACTAGATGAGTTAGTCGACGATGGCGACGAAATAGTCTGCGTCCGCGTAATAGAAACGCAGGTCCGTCTTACCGATAAGGCGTACCAGGAAGATGCAAGGGCCTTGATGGAGTCGATACAGGCGAAAAATACGCAAAATCGAGCGATTGGCCTAGTTTTGGAATATGCTGTTGGGAAGCTACATAACACGTTCCAGCATCTTGTCAGTACCTAAAATTTCTTGCTTTTTGGTTCACTTATTTTATGCATATTGTTATGCAGCTCATTGGATTAGGGCGTTGTTGCTGACTCAGACTGCATTAGATCAAAATCTACCAGCCATCCATGTTAATCGTCGGTACGAAGGGTAGGAGCCTCGATGGTGTACAGGGATTCCTCGTAAATCGAAGCTCGTTTTCGAAGTATTGTTTGCAGTATTCGCCGGTGCCCGTTGTCGTCGTGCGTCCTAACGAGAAACGCGAGAAAAAGAAAGCTAAGCGCGCGCATGACCCCTCTAGGCAAAGCTATGCGCAGATGTTACTTGGACAACCACACGAGGCCGACAGTGAGAACAGTAGTGTGTACGAGCTGGAACCCAACCTCACCGCAGACGAAGAGGCACACCGGGTGGCGGTTGCCGTAGGATTGCCAGCAGCATACGATCCAACGATAAAACCTATCGATCCCAGTACTCTACTCAAGAACCATACCCGACGATCCATGCTAGATGTATCTAAGGAGACTCTTGCGATAGTGAACAAGGGTGGCCTGCCTGCTGAGAAGAAGTCTTCTCCAGATCGCGAGGATTCAGATTCGGACTCTGAAGGGGAGTTCGAAGTCACTCCGGGTGAGGAGGCGCTTAGGGAGCGACTTCACAAGATGGAGTTGAACGAAGGAGCAGCGCTCAGAGCTGAGGCTAGGAAGTTGAGTTCTGGGTCTGCCGATAGCGACGAAGATCCGCCGGGAGGAGGGGGTGCCAAGACGTGACGTGACCATCACACATTGAGGAACCGATACCAGAGTACCACACAAGCCGGTCGTCCGCATGTTCCTATCTTTTTTCGTTGGTAGTGGTTAACCAAGGGGAAGGAGTTGGATGGGTGGATGATTTAACAGAGTTTTCCCAGCGTTATTGTCCTCATTGACGGTTATATTGCGAAGTAGCATTTGCGCAGGAATCCCTTACAAGAAGAACGGCGTTTCAAAAATCACATTCATGGAGGATCGGGGAAATACCCAGGTTGGAATTTTATACAGCGTTGAAGGTTCGTTATGGCATTAGCTTCATGATACAAGCGGCCACAAAGAATAAAAACAACTCTCCTCCATACTCGGACTTGGTGCAGTTTACTACATAGTGCGGAAACAGTTTGGGTCTATTGTGTTGGTAGGTATGGATATGCATGGATGCAAGTAGGTTAGGAAGACTTTGGCTTCGAAAGAATGATATTACATTGAAATCTGCGGTGGGCTTATCGAGGAACTACGAAGGTGGCTGTCGCAAAGGGACACCGAAGCTTAGGTATACGGTTGTTGTGTTGAAGTATGTTCGTGTCCTTACTAAAGTCTCGATACAGATGTCGACCTTTTATCTGCCAACCACAACCTTATACGGTCGAAGTCTTTATAAGTCTTGATAACACTCTGGTATATCACGTACGACCATAGGAGTTGGAAAACTCGGGATCCCGTCCGCTCTCCCAGAGATAAGCCAGCTACCGCTGGATTAGTAGTTGGGTCGGTGACGACCAGCGAATCCCCGGTGTTGTACGTTTCTTTCTTTTTTTAATCATTTGTTGGTATAGTAACCTCAGTAATGAATTTTGCTCGAAAAACAGGAATGTTGTGGTGTCGTTGACCATGTTAAGTAAGTTGAAGTTCTTTTTATGCTTTTCGTTGTTGGGGATAGTTACTTGGAGATGTCAATAGGAGGTCACATGTAAAGTGTTAAGATAGGCTATTGTAGTATATTATTAGGTAGGTAAAACAGGTATATATATCCTATTCATGAAAGCATTGCACATCTTAACTTGGAATACTTAGTCGCACCCATAAATCGTGGAGAATAACCGGTGATACGAGGGTTTCAGTTTGCTCTACTAACCTGGATGAAATACCCAATTATCAGATTAAATACGAGATGATGACAATACCATATGACGTAGATCTCATGAGATGTAAATAGTAACGGACCGAACATGTACTTGATCACTATACCATATGTCTTTACTAAGACAAGCATCGGTGTCTTTACTGGAGTTGTTGGGATGTCTCATGTTGGAGAGGTCTTGGCTCTCGAGAAGTAACAGTGACCATCCAGCCAAAGTCTTCGCCCTCAACACCTTCAACCGCAACCCCTTACCTCTCATCGCCGCCTATATCGCCAAGTCGGTTCTAATTACTTTCTACCTACCTCTGCAGTCATCAAACTCGAACCTCACCTCCAAAGACGCAGGCAGGATGTCAGTACAGAGTCCAAACAGAAAATTCCAAAAAAAGCAAAAAGTATGTCAGCAGCATATATCTAACAGCGAACCCAGTTTAATGTTTGCAGGTACTGCTAGCGAAAAAAAGCTGCTCTACCCTTCTCGGCACTCGTAAATGATCAGCGCATTTTGGAAATGTTGTAAAAAGTCTGATGATAAGGATTGGTGCCTGGATTCCATAAGGAAGAAGGGAAGACAGAAGGACGCAGAAATTTCAATAGAAATAGATGAACGAAATGTTAGTGGGACCCACAACACCGGGAGGCTGGTAAACACCCACATTGTGGCGTGTGTGGCTTGGCCTCCTTAGTGCCGTCTAGGTACCTATGTACCTAGTAATTCATGGAATTCCAAGTTTTCAAGAACCGAGACTCCATGAAACAGCCTCAGACGAAGCCATCTCAAATCGCCATGTGTTCTCATCATTGTTGTTTCAGAGACAATAGGCGTAGCGCAGTTGTTAAAGACATTTATCACAAGGGAAGTTCTTTATGATGGAAAATAAGTAGAATTTTGAAGCATACAGATTCGATATACCGAGTCAGGGATGTTGAGTACAGCGTATGAATACCCGAATATCCTTTCCCGATTCTAAATAGTACGTGTACATTCGTAAAGCTGAAAATAATCATAGCATTATGAAACTCCGTTTGGAAAAAATACCCTTATAGGGTCTTTCCTAGCTCAAGTGTAAAAAAAGCTCAATCCATACCGACATGCAATGTTGTCCATCCGTGACTCGTTACGGAGGGCTTGATCACCCAATTGCCAAACGCCGCCGCGTATGCAGGAAATAAAAAGGGAAGGCGCCGATGAGGATTCTTCCACATCTGAAGTAAAATCAGGGGAATCCGCATGAGGGTATCTTGATAAGATCAATGGCTCTATAGGTTATCCGAAACGTCCGATGATATGCCCAGTAAGCCGTAAAACGCCACAAAATGCACCAGGTTCCGTGTCTATCTTGTTGCTGCTTTCATGAATTGACAAAGCTAAGATAAGAGAATGCATCAAACCTCGAGGTCTGCAACTGCTTTTGTTACCTCTTGGCTTGCAATCTTCTCAAAGCGTCGTCGAGCGTCCTCATCGAGGGAATCCTCTGAAACCTCCTTATATAGCATATGGCTCAGATCGCGATTAATAGACGCATACTGATCCGCCGTAATCTGTCCAGAGTTCCAATGAGGCTTGAGTGCGTCCTTTACAATACCACTAATATTTGCCTTCATTTCGAACGGCAATGCCGCACGTGAAGGAGACGCATCCTGGGAACGAGGCGGATATCTAATAGCTATCGACTGTTGCCGGCGATGGGGTTCGGGTTGTCGGATCTCAGGGGAACCATTAGTTGCCCGAGACTTCTGACGACGACGCGATTGATGGCGGGACCTTGAATCGGAATCGCTTTGGTCACTGTTGCTTAGGGTCGCTAGGAAGTTCGAAGGGGGGTAGATCGGCTCAATATGTGAGCTAAGTGTGAGTGGTGAGCCGGGACGATCGCCGATTGCTCGTGGCGGTGGGGTGGCAGAGAGTGCTCGAGGACTACTATGCGCTGAAGGAGAAGGCGACACCGGTGATGATGGATTAGGTACCGCCTTGGTGGAAAATGTGAAGATCGGCCGGACGTTCTCATCATCAGAGGGCGCACTCATTTCAACTTCTTTCAGCAGTGAGGAAAGGAAAGAGGGTGCTTCACTGTTGCTTTGAACAGGGGATATGGAATTTAATCCGATTTCGTTCGACGTAGACTGATTGGTCTGTATCAACGGTCTGTTGGATGAGGTTGCTTCTATGCCGGGAGCTCTTCTCGTCCGTGGTCGTTTTAGCCTGCGTTCCGGTTGCTGAGTTGGTTCGATTGGAGATGCAGTCACCGACCGAGATTTTCTTTTTCGGTGATTTGAGGCCGGGGGGCTGAGGTTAGTAACCTCAACTTCCATAGCCTTTTCCAGGGCGCCCCATGCTTGTTTCTCTTCCGGCGTTTCTTCGGGTGGTGGTGGTGATGGCTGTTGTTGTTGCGCAACAGGTTGAGGTAGGACATTCGAGATGTTATTCGCAAATACTTCACGAGCCCCAAGACGACTAGCTATATTAAGACGTTGTTGCCATCTTTGATACTCGCGACGGTCTTGTTCTCTCCTCTGTTGCGATCGTCGGTAATTATGTAACGCGTCGTCATCGTCATGATTATCAAGGTCAAGGTTCAACGCATCCCAGACACGGCCTGCAATTTGACCCCATGCACCTTGCCAATCATTTGAGCGAGCGTGCTGTCTAGCCCGTCGCATAGTAGCCTGGGTGCGTGGCAAATAACCAGAACGTCCATTGGAGAAGCCGTCTATCGATACATCTTCGTCATGGAGTTCGGAAGTTAGGAGCTCAGCACCGGTATCAGTGCACTCTAAGCAGAACCAGTGCCCTCGGGGAACGCTGTCAAGGCCGACACAGAATGTGTGATATGGTGCATCGCAGCTGTCACAGAGAAGGAGAACATCCTCGTGGTCAGATCGGTTGCAGATGGGACAAGGCCTTATTTCCTCTTCCACCTCTGGATTGTCATCCAACCATGCTTGCGGATCAAATTCGGCAACCTGTTTCTTATCCTCTACTTTGTAAGATGACAATTGGGTACCTAAATAGTAAAAGAAAGAAAGGTGGTCAGTATCTTGGTGTAACATGTATTATAGGGACGAATATGATGCAATAAACTTACCCCCAACTTTATCATATACATGCACGAGGTGGAATGCTTGGCGGCAGATGGGACAGCTGTTTGCCTTTCCCGTCCACTCTCGCAAGCAAGCATCATGTAAGGCATGACCACAAATTTGGATGACGGCAATGTTACTGTCTTCGCCGCTGGGGTGGATGCCTAGTGGAGACTTCGATGGTAGTCGTGCCGGTGCACTTGCATTTGCTTCGCCTGCAGCAGACGACGAGCTCTGTGGGAGATCGTCTTCGGGAGGTTCGTGCAATTGCGAAAGCGACGGCGACGATTGGGCGTCTAGAGTTTCTAGACAGACAATACATTGATCAGCCATCGGGGCAGATTTTCATGGATTGTCGATGTTGAGAATACAACATATAAGTGACTTTAATTTAAGTCTGCCTCTTTTTTAAAGATTTGCTGCAGCGAGAGCAACAAACCCTTTGAGTGGATGAATTATATGTACCGTGATGTACTGGCTGGCGAGCTCGAGAAAGAGAGTGGGTTGGTTGGTTGGTTGACTGGTTGGCTGGTTCTCTCTGATTATAGGATATGCAGATTGGTGGCTTGATAAGGTGGGAGTCGATAAAGTCGATTCGGTCGATTACACTTGAGGGGTGGGCAGGTGATATGCTAACGCAGGAGTAGCGGCCAGGACGAAAGAAAATAAGACTAGGGAATAATAAGGGAAGAGTAATAGGCAAGGTGAATGTCCAGTAGTAGACGGTAAATGGTAGACGATATGACGAGGGGTGTTTTTAGCGTTGAACACGGGTCTACCTATTTGCGGAAGAAAGCCGTGCTTAAAGTGCTTAAACACGATTGATGATTGTCGATGAATGTTGGACAAGGTTTGTTAAATTGATTGAATACCTAGTAGGTAATTAATCTTCTCCTTTTTATTCTCCCGAATTTTGGTATTTCCGAGTTGATTATGTGATTCAAAGGCAGAGATATCAAGGTAGAGAAACAACCTTTTAGAATTAAATGTTTGGGAGAGAAATAAAAGCGCCCCCGGGCTGGCTAAGTTTAATAAGCCGAGCTTTGTCCAGAAACGCGCGTGGGTGGTGGGTGGTGGATGGCTGACGGGTGGCGGGATGGGAATTTGGTCAAAGTGGTCAAAGTGGTGGTAAGGTAGTAAAGTATGTACGTAGTAGTGGCAGTTTGCTTCCTCTTTTAAGCTTGACCCTTAGAACGATTTTAAGAGACGAAAAGATAAATAAGGGAAATATTGTCAGAAAGAGGAATTTGAGTTGAAAGAGCAAAATATTAATTTGCGATTCGATTGATTTCGGTATTTAGTGATTGAATCCACCGTAATTGATGAAGTCGTTTCGTGTGCAGTGTGCAGTGTGCAGTGTAGTATGTAGTGCGTAGTCGATAGCTTTTGCCTACTAAAAGAAACACACATAAAATAGGTGGACTTTCAATCAAAGTGGGAGTGGTTTAACAATGGTGAAGGTCGAAAAAAAGAACGGAGGGAGGGGCCTTCGAAAGCTCAAGGGAATTTGACGAGTTTAGCGCAAGCCACCTTTTGCCTGGTCGAGCGGGACCAACCCGGCCTATCAAATAACGACAACTGAACTATTGACCCTTTTTTAGTGCGTAGCAGGTAACTTGTACTCCTCGGTCGACGCTGAGCACTTGAGCACTTTGTACATGCGTACTTTACTCAAGAACCCTTGCAGCTTCCGTACATAAATGGATAGCTACAACCTGGGAACTTATGACCTCCAAGGAATAAGAGGCAGCTGGGGCAGGTACTGTGACTCAGTAAGAACGCTGAATAAACAAACGGACGTCTGGATGTACGGTAAGTAGGTACCTAGATACCTACACTACCGGGAGGGGGGGGTATTTGGACATGGTCACAACCAACGTTTCAGTATTTCGACCTGATCACCACCTTCTATAAGACTTGCCAGGGAT